CTTTACAAATATATTGGAAATCGCAAAGGAGATGAAGAATTTGAAGAACAAAACTCAACAGTCTTTTATCAAATGAAAATTAACACTCATAATTAGAAATGTCGAAAATGAATTATCATCCAAAGGGGATCAAGACTCAAGAGAACTTACAGTTGCACCAGGAAAGGACAATTGTTTCATTGCTTGATTTATATAGCAAAAACATTGATAAAAAATCCTGAAAGACCTAACACATTTCCCCGTGTACTGCGCCTATTCATTTAGCAATTCAATTGTAAACTTTCTCTTGAAAAAATACATCGATCAGATCAGATCAGATTTTTCTAGCGAAAATAAGCTACTCCCCCCTCCGTTCATTTCTTAGCTTCTGATCACCGGACATGTCTATGGTGAGACTCTGTTTTGGTCTTTTATCGCACTATTTTATCGGTGAACGTTTGAAAAGGAAAATTGCCTTGACACGCATCCAGAAAGTATGTCACGTTTCTTTAACTCACTATGTGGTAGAATCTGGTTAGTTACATGCAAGCACCACCTCTCACAAACGGGGTGACCAAATGGGGTGGCCGCACAAAAACTTTACCTTCTAATTTTGGAATAACTTAATATGATACAATCTTTTTATGTTTTTGTGTGGATAGAGTGTTCAAATGGATAGGAGAAAAAAATGGTTTACGTATATTGAGTGATTTTTTGATTAAGAGTATCACATTTTAATCTACTAAAACAATAAACAAAAGTAGTTTTGTGAAATTATGCGATTTCTGGCTTTGCCAGTATCTGAGTCATTTCCGGATTGCACTCATACATGCATTCTGATACTCATGGCATCTTTCTGTTTCACCTTTCTGTTTCATCAACTCAGGGCTGAGAAGAAATGAGATGTCTTGGTTTATCATGATGGCATACATGTATCAGTATTATGTGTATTATACCCATTTTCCTCAAAGGAGTGGTATCGATATGGCGAACTTTTTGAACAAACATTTCTCTTTCAGTCATCAAAAAATTCTGAAAATTTTACACATCGTCAATTTAATGGTCATCTTTTGGATGGTAACATTATAATATGAAAACTACACATATACTTTTCTCTGTATTGTTTTAGAAAACACATCAGACACTTCTTTTGTTCTTGTAGTTTGGAATGAAATAAAACATCTATCCGAACCTCATTGGAACAAAACTACATAAACACAACGTGTTTAGGTCTCTCAATATTGTAATTGTACAAAGGAAAGTTTGGTTGATTTTAAAAAAGTATCTTGTTCATGAAATAAAAGGTTTATCTTAATTTTAACTATTTTGTTCTATTTTTTGCATACTTTTTGTTAAATCAACCAAAATTTCCTTTGTATAACTATAATATTGAGAGGTCTAGGAAAATGTTGTATATGCTATTTTGTTCCAACAAGGTTCGGAAAGACATTTTATTTCATTCTGAAGAATTGTTAGAAAGGAACAAAAAACAATTGCACTTAAAAACAAAAAGACCATGTTTTTACAGAATGTTTTCAATAATTGGTTAAAGAGAAAAACATTATTGTATTCATAATAAAATAAATTGACTACGTATAAAGAATCATAAATTAATATTAAATAAATTAAATAAAATATAAATTGCGTTCTTTGACAAATACTGTGCAAGACGATCGCGAAGTTTTATTTACTTGATGTCAATAAACTAAAAAAGGTGATTGTCTGTGTTTGCGTTTCAAATTGTTGCCCCGGATTTCAATGCATTGAATAAGTTTCACTTTCAAAATGCTATTGTAAGCTAGTATTGAAAATAAATGCAAATAGTTCAGTGGTTTAAGGTTAAGTTCGTGGTTTATGTAGGATATAAGACTTGACGAGATGCCAAAAAGCACGTAGCGATGTGAAGGTCATAAAGAACATTGAAATAAGAACTGTTTCTAATTCAATGATCTTTTTAAATGAAGATGAAAAAAGATTTTTCTTGATGCTGAATAAGTTTTTCGTCATATTATTTGTCATAATACACTTCTAATGTCCCATTATTTGTTTGGAAAAAAATCTGTATTCATACCCTATGTGTCTCTCCGACAGACGATAAGAGATGACTTCATTAGTGCAAAATTGTCGTTTTGAATATTAACCCGACTGTATGTGTCGTCATTTAGAACCCGTATTGTTTGCTCACCCTCGAAGATTTATTAATCCTATTTGGGAACCATTGCAAACGTGGTTTCTGCATCTACATTGAAAAATTAAGTTCATTCAAAAATAAAAAAAATTCTTGATAATAAAATGGATATGTTTTGGCCCACCGAGTATACTAAAGCAGTTGTAACGGCACTATAAAAGCTAGCGCGTGTCGTCGAGAGCTAATTCGCTACCGGGTAGGACACATAAAATTATCGGGTATTCCTCCTGTTTTCATCGGAGCCAATAAAATTTATTTAATGATGTAATACGTTCCTTGGAGTTACTTGTGCTTTAATGTTCTCTTCAATTCACATAAAATGTCAATTTAGGCACCCAAAAACCCACATACAAGATCAAAACCCAAAAGGGGTGTCCTCGCATTGCTCATTCTCAACCACTTACATCTTAGAAAACAGCTCAACCTGTCAACTATAGATCCAGTGATAGCAAAGTGATTCCCAAATCAACTTCTGCCTCTAAAACTCTCCTTTTTTATGGATCATTGATCATACATGTACGTGTCATGCCGTAGCCAGCTTCCAGCCAGGGTGGTGCGATCGCCAAAAATGTTGGTTTCAGATCGTGGCATACACAGGGAGATATGCCGATTACTTAATTTGTACAAAATTACTACTAAATTAGCACTCTGGCAAAAGTGCACTCATAGGCACACATGCCACGAGTGCTAATTCATGATATTAGTACTCATTTAGTGCTGAAAATCAATTTTATTAGTACTATTTTATCACTCATGATATGAGTACTCTTTTAACGCTGAAAAATCAATGAAATTACTGCTATTTTATCACTCATAATATGAGTACACATTTACTACTAACACATGTAATAAATCAGTAGTCATGTCATAAGTGCTCATTTAGTACTAATATTAACTGAAATGAGTACTCAGTTAGCGCTAAAATGCCATGAGTACTATTTTAGTACTCGGCATATCTCCCTGTGTAAGTGAGCTCAAAAAAAATTAAAGTTGCAACAATTAGTGCAGAGGGGCCATTCAACGATCAACGATATTTCATCAAGATTTACATCTATTTTTATTTATATCATATATATGTACAAAGAAACCCCCTAGATAATATTATTTCAGCTGATATTCCTCTTCAAACATGGTGGATCTTAAAAATATAAAAGTGGATTTCCCCTTTTTGAAGCTTATAACTGAATTTACACTTCTTAATGCTGAAATTGATAGTTTATCTATACATTAAGAAAACAGGTATGTCAAAGAAGTTATTAAGCCAAATGTTGAGTTGATAGCTCAGAAGTTAAAATTTTCCTATTTTCTCTCTACGGCCCTGTTGCCCCTTTAAGATTTATTTTGAATCTTACAAAAAATGATGTAACTTTTTTCAAAATTGAACTAGAATCTTCAAATAAAAAGCTTCTTCAATTCATGGTTCTATTTTTATTGGATACGCCTACATGCGTGATGTTGACACCGAGAATGTCCATACATAATGTATCCCTGGGAGTAAAATTGCTGATGTCTGTGCTAAAATAGCAAAATCAGACTCGACTTAGAATAACATTATATTCATTTATTCTCATACCTTCGGAGTCTTCCCTTCGGTCCTGCCAGAAACCATAAAACCACGTAAACGTATTATGGAGTTCTGGAGTTTTGAAATTACGTTGCCTGATGTTATGATTTGGTATATTCTTATCGTATGTCATTTTTCATAATCGCGAGGTTTTTATAATCTTTAAAATAATACCATATTTGGAATTGTAAGAGTGAAAGTGGTTGGATCACATGATTTACATTAAAGAATATTGAGTAGTGATTTCTTCATAATAATATACCAACCATATCAACTACTTTAGTAATCTTTCATTTATTCAAAGAATATAAGCTATGAAATTGTTGTATAAAACATCTATATAATTGTGTAGAACACATTGGTTTTTTTAATTATTTAAACAATACAATACATAAACAGTACAAAATGTGAATAAGCACCGTCCTCATTAGTTTTTGTTCAAATCCATGATTCCTTGCAGGTCAAGTGACAGCTTCAGCACCTGCAATATAGTTGGCAAAATCTGGCCATACCTAAAGTTGCCAGTGGTCCTGTGGCCCAGTGGCCATTTCAGGCACTTCTTGCCAAATATCTTGCAAGTGCATGGTCAGAATCAAGACTTCTTAATCATTTAATTGATTCTAGACTACGCAATCATTTGATTCTTAAAGCTGACACTCTCGGCTTTCCAAATGTATATTGGTACCTTAGTGCAGATGGGGTCATTTATTTGACCCTAATTTGTACTACAACATGGTTTTCAGTTTGATTGAAATTTGTAAACGATGAATCATTTTTTTATAATTGTACCGCATAAAGTATATAAAAGAAGTGAGTAGCTCCCACAATAATTTGCCATTACTTGTCTTTCATCACCAATATACACATTACTCGATTTGTGTGATATGCATGCAATGATTGGCTCCCAGGATTCAATCTCGATATCATTTCGTTTCGTTTGGTACACACACTAAGTCACGGGAATTAACAAAGCCTCGAAGGATGTCGTGATTACGAAATTCAAAATAAAACACTCGGCATCTTCATATTTTGAATAGCGATTTCTGGTCTCATATATTACACAAACATTTCAAAACACTCAAGAAGTGATCAAGATATTAACAAAATCTTTTGGATTGCTGATTATGAATTCATAGCCAGTTTAATGTCAGACAATCGACATTTTCAATGGCAGTCATCCTTGACATGTTTGCCAGGAAACGCGCATTCACAAAGTAAAATTTGAAATCGTGGAAATGGCGGCTAACTCAGTTGAACACCATCAATTCTAAATTACATTAATACTTTTACAGTTGAGCTTTGCAAACTCTATGAGGATATTCAGATTAAAACTATAGTGAAAATTCTGAGATCAATTTCAATGGCAAATGATTCCAGTTTATAAAACTGATCATCGAGGGTAACAGTGGTATCTCTCAGATTTGGGAAATCTACTCCTCTTGCATAAGGCATTTATTTTATACTACATTCCCTGATGGAGAAGACTGTACTTCATTTCCATTCAATTCATGTCCATTTTGTGTTACTTGTCGAGGGTTTTTCTTGTCTTTTGACTCGGATATTTCCTTGAGCAAACTATTTATTGGAGAAATCAAGCCAGATGTGTCACTAGAATGCGGGTTCCTCTTGGCAAATAACATCTGAAAATATATGAATCTATTTATTGTTATGCAACTACGGTTGGCACAAATCGTATGTTCTAGATCCCACATCTTACCATATTTTAGCTCACATGGTAGGCTATTGTTTAAGCATGTTATCAGTTATTAGACAGTGTGAGAGATAGTGAGAACCATCCAATGACATTTGACATATTACGATTACTTACAGTACAAAGAATTACGATTGATGTTGAAATAGTGCACAGTAGAATGAACCCTCCAGCAACACCATAATGTACAGAGGGATCTGGTCCAAGGCTAAATGTGACAGGTATGCCAATTACTGCAGCCAGAACGGTCACATAGATACAGATGCCAAGATAGTGGCCAGTCACAGATCCCTTCCCATGGGCTGCAAGCCTGAAATAATTTGCCAATGTATTCAAGTTAAACATACAAAAATAATGTATAAATTGGATCAAATTGCCCAGACACAAATTAAGTGTTGGTGCTTTAATTCATCAAATACTTAAAATATTCTTGCCACTATTTATTCACTTGTATTAAGCATTGTAGGTAATTACCATGCCGGCCACGTGATAAAGGCAGCAAAAAGAAGTATAATTGCTTTATATACAAGCATTACGATCCGCCACACAGTCACAGTATTACAGTCACAGACTACACGTAATGTCTGATATATTGTATCTCGTTCCACATCATACTAAAACACAAATGTGAGCAATTTATAATTTATGGATTTGTTGAAATTCACAAACCTAAATATTCATCTTGTAAGACTGGTGTTTGAAGCAACCAATTCATTCCTTACCCTTAAATGGTTAGGGGTTTGATAACTTTTTTCAAAGTAAATCTTTTGACCCGATTTTCTGGCTTTTCTAAAAACTGGATAAGGCATGTTTTAGCGAAGAAATGTCACAATGTCACTCTAACCCCCCTAGGAGGAAAGTAAGACTTACTTCTCTCTGAAGATATTCTGTTCTTATATTAAGAGGATCTATGGACTGCCATAATACCAAAAGTAAAACATCAAGTAGAAAACATGGGGCTAAGATGATGCAGTATTTCAACTCCTGTTGTACCTAAAAGAGCATGAAAGACATGACGTAATTGTTGCTATAGTGACAAAGATGTAACTAACACTCAGTATGACGGCACATTGAAGAAACTACTTTATAAATATCAGAAACAAGTCAAATTCTTTACTTCAGAGAATATTTTTAATTTATTGAGACTTTCGACTAATATCCTTTAGTCTTTTTCAAAATATAACAGCATGTATACATTTATGTGACGTCATAAACAGACAATGGAAAATTTAATTATGTAACAAATGACCTAGTAACCTAAAAAATAACAACAACAAAAAACATAGATACGAAAAAACGAATGACCAAATAATAACCTTAAGATAAATATATCATCGTTATGGTAACAATTAAACTCAAATATTACTATTGCATACTTTGCTATACCATTCTTAATTTACAATATTTAGGTTATTATTAGGTCATTCGTTTTTTCGTATCTATGTTTTTTGTTGTTGTTATTTTTTAGGTTACTAGGTCATTTGTTACATTATTAAATTTTCCATTGTCTGTTTATGACGTCACATAAATGTATACATGCTGTTATATTTTGAAAAAGACTAAAGGATATTAGTCGAAAGTCTCAATAAATTAAAAATATTCTCTGAAGTAAAGAATTTGACTTGTTTCTGATATATTAACCAGAGAGATGAACTTACATAGAACTACTTTATAAATACTTTCAATTCTATAACTTGTCCTGAAAGTATAGGGGCCCCCTAGACAGACATATACCAATGTCTCCATAGTATGTGTCATATATCATTTTAACGCTTATCCAAAGTTACATTGATTTGCCAAGTATCATGGTTCAACTCACAAATGGTAAAAGGTTATAGTTATAGGCATTTCAAAACTTGGTGTTTGGCCAAAAATATAGTTTATTTCAGTATCCTGGAAACAGCCCTGACCTGAAGATAGGATCGATATTGAGTTCTAAAAAGAGGATCCCTATTTGAAGCACGTTTAATGTCATATATGGAAAATATTGCTGCTGTTAACATGGCCTAGGGAGACACACCAACTATTATTTTGGTGTAAAACTGACCTTAATTTTGGCCAAACACTTAATTTTGAAATGCCAGTAACTTTTTCCCATTTGTGATTTACTATGATACTTGGCAAATCAATGTAACTTTGGATAAGAGTTAAAATGATATATGACACATACTATGGAGACATTGGTATATGTCTGCCTATGGGGGCCACCTTACTTTCGGGACACCCTGTATTTGTACCAAATGCATCAAAATTTAATCTGCTGGACTTCTTTTACTGAGTTTAAAGAAATACTTACTGATTTTGTAAGACCTTTGGTATGAAAGTGGTACATGGCAAATGAATTAACTAGCATCCCACCAACTGCTAAAGTAAAGCCAAACACAAGCAGCCACGATGCAACCTAAAAATTCAGAAGAACGGTCATTTTAAAGGCAAAACATCAATTTCTAAATAATGTATAAATACAATTTGACAGTCATAGTTTTCATTGATTTCAGATAGTGTCTCTGATTTGTAAACCCAATAGCTGCTGTCTATCAAAATCATATGGACCCATAATTTTGTATATGCATCTGTATGTACATGTATGTATGTATGTATTTATATTATGTATTATGTCTGTGTAAGAAAGATGCAATAAATAAAGAAAATTGAAAAAATATAAAAAAAAGTTTAAAAATGTACAATGAAGGTGAAAAAATGAATAAAATATTAGAAGTTGTTAGGGCAGACTAATCTTATTGTAGTTTCAATTATCTTTCAAGTATTAATGATCTACATGGTTGTTATTAATCTGTATACATACATACCTGACAAGCACTTTGATGGTTCTCTGCAGTAGCATTGTGTTCATCAATTCCCATAAGGATAACAGCTATATTGAGGATCAGGCAGCCAATACATACTATTGCCCTAATGATCGGCCATCCATATGTGATGGCACTGTATGAAACACAATGTACCATGTTAGGTGTACAGAGAAAAAGAACAAAAAAGTAAACATTTTCCAAAAACCATATGGAATAACAGATTATTTCAATTAAAAGGCAAACCACTTTTCTTTAAATCTTGGATAGATAGTGGTATTATTTATGTCAAAGATCTTATCATTCGAAATGATTTTTTAAATGTAAACTATATTCTAGAAAAATTGAGGAATAAAATAAATTGGATTTCAGAATATTTTCAAGTCTCAATTGCAATAAAATCAATAAAAAAAATCATTAACATAGAACAAGCAAACTTCACAAATATATCAAGAAAACTCAATTTCAAAGTAAAAAATGTTCAATTAGATTTTAGAGGCCAAAAATCCAATTTCTTTTATAACATATTGAAGAATAAAAAATCTGAAAAATGGTTTGTCTCAAAAAAATGGGAAAAAGATTTCTGTATAACAAATCAATGTAAAATAGATGAAATAAATTGGCAGAATTTTTTTGTTAGCAAGATCATCAAAATTAAAGACAAAAAAGTTGCCAATTTTAATTTCAAACTAATTAATAACATACTTCCTGGGTTAACTGACTTATTTATCTATGGTATAACAAATTATTATCATTGTAGTATTTGCAATCACTTATGTGATTTGAAACATATTCTTTTTGAATGTTGTTTGTCAAAGAATATATGGAAATTTATATACAACACATGTGGTCTCAATATTTCGTATAGAAAAATAATAATTGGTTATAATGGCCAAGACTCTCAAACTAATTTTCTGAATTATTTTACAAGTATAGTTGCTTACAGCATTTACAAATCCTACATTTTAGAACTGAATAGTAAAGAACAAAGAACATTTGAAAAGATACTTTTTATGTTAAAATATGAAATTAATTGTAGAAAAAATGTGTATTATTGTTCCAAATGGAATTTATTATCCAAACTACTGCAATAAGATTATGTAAACCTGTTTTTATAAATCATGTACTGTCTATATATTTAGTAAATGAATGAAATAAAGACTATTTTAAAAGAAAAAAAAAACATTTTCCAAATTCAAGATAGAAATACTATTGTTCTTATGATTGGCCACCCAAATGTGATGGCACTGCAAGATACATGTATCGATCAAGAAATCCAACAAAAAAGTAACAAATTTCAAAATCTAAAATAGAAAACCTTAATCAGTAGAGACAGCCACAAGAATCAAAATAACTCACCTGTGATCTCTGTAAATGAACATAACTAGAAGAATAGCGAAGCATATGACAATACCAGCACAGGCAATAACAGAGTAGATCGCAAATAAGACTGCAGAAACTTGTAACTGTGTATATTCTAGACGAGGTTCGGTATTTGGTATAGTGTTACCATATGGCTCCCACATATATTCAGTACTCTTTCTAAAGTCCATAGTTTGAGTAGATCTGTCATAATATGCTATTGCCTCGGCTTTGCCACCTGGAATTGGAAGACAAGTATCAGTTCAGTTATGCTTATATATGTTTACGCTTTATAAAAATTAAGGTAATGAAACATTGTGATAATGTAGAATTCCTCATTTCACGTTTGTGATTCTTTTTCTATACTTGGTGAATTTGTATTATACTTTGTGAATTCGTATTGCACCGTTGTACTTACTTCTAATTTGCTGGAAGCTAAGGTCTTCTTCCCTCGTTCTTTTTTCAGTAAACGACACGGGTCCCTATAATAATAGAATAATCACTTATGGTACAAAATGCGTTTGGAGGGTAATCAAACTGAATATGAATAGCACTGCATTGGTACATTATTCGATTTCTCATGAAAGAATTACATGCATAACTTTACAAATATATTGGAAATCGCAAAGGAGATGAAGAATTTGAAGAACAAAACTCAACAGTCTTTTATCAAATGAAAATTAACACTCATAATTAGAAATGTCGAAAATGAATTATCATCCAAAGGGGATCAAGACTCAAGAGAACTTACAGTTGCACCAGGAAAGGACAATTGTTTCATTTCCTCAAGGAATAAATCTGTATAGTTTTTGTGTTTGTACGTGAACTCCTCTAGAGTGTTTGGTGCTATCCTCTTGATGGTGTTGCTCATAGCCAGGGCCATTGTCCATATCGAGTCATATCCATACAGGGACCAACCTGATTTATTTAGGTCACCTTCTAATCGGGCTTTCTCAAATACTCTGCTTATATTCTGTTAAACATAAAATGTAATTGAGATAATAATGAGTTATAAGAAATAATTTGATATAATGAGGGTGATCAATGATCATTGGCAATGCACAGAAAAATGTGATACATATTAATGCTTAATAATTTACCTCTCCGCCTATGGTTATGGTATCTGGGGACTGTTCAAGGAACGAAAAACTGCTAGTTCCAAACTGTCCTTCTACAGATTCTTCTATCTGACTCCAAGTACAGCTCACATTGCCATGTGTTGAATAATACGGTTCAAAATCATCCTATAAAAAGAAGGAACACAAAACAAATTGATATGAATCTTACTTATTTCATAGTCGAAAAGCAGGCATTGGAAATACTGTCAGAAAATGAAGACGATGGTTTAAGAAAACTTGTTCTCGAACGTATACTATTTTGACCAAAGGGATAACTACATGTCCCTTTCAATTTTTACCCTGGGACCTTATTACAAACATTTACCTTAAACCTGTTATACATGTACTCATTCGGGCAACAAGTGAATATTCAGAAGAAGAGAACTAAGTCCTCTCAAAAATAGTAGCTTAACCTTCCTAATATATAATAAGTTCAATTTGAATTCAATTCAATTTCAAAATAATTTATTTCATTTTTCATTACAAAATTTACAACATTATACGGGCTATGACACCCCAGGGGGTGTATGACTGCCCATAATTAAATTTACAATAAACATGATAAACTGTGAACATTTAAAGTTGTACATAGGTCAATACAATAATATAATATAATATGAATACAATATACAAATACAATAATATGAGACAATAAAGAAATTAAATAAATGTTTTGGTTATTCTGTACTCAGGAGGTCAATTTTCAAACGAGATATGAGTGAATTTAAAGGTTTATTTCTAATATCTTCATTGAGGGAATTCCATATATATGAACCATGGACCTTAATAGAATTTTCACCAATTCTGGTTCTATGTTTAGGAATATCTAAGTTATGACTAAATCGAGTTATACGTTGATGTATGTTTTCTCTAGTTTTAAAATAGTGATCGTATAATTTTGAAGGGAACTTTATAGATTTGCTTATAACTTTTTTCATGAAAGAAACAGTTTGGATTGTGTGAATATGATAAATATTAAGTATTTTAAGATCTTAAAAATTGGGAATGTATGAGCTAATCTATCTGAATTTGTTATTAATCTAACAAATTTCTTTTGCAATATCAGTAGTTTATTTAATAGATTCTTACAAGCATTTCCCCATAAAATATTAGAGAGAATATCAGAGAGTTATATATAATCATCTTTGATTTTAAAGTATGAGCACAATTTGTTCGATGTAACATTCCTATTAGGGGCTCATTTGGTAGCCAAAGGTGGGCCCGTCAGTGAGCAAATTTGAACCACATTATTTATCTCGGGAAACATGTCAGATTTAATGATTTGGAACTTTGACGCCCAAAAAGCGACCATTATGGATAGCTTTTCTAGGTTTTATACCCCCCGAGGTTATTTTTGAGGGGGTCTCAACTCTTTCTTAATAACTTAAAAAATATTAAAGATATGTGTCTGAAACTTGCAGGGTACCTTCCTGGGGTCAACACATAGCTGTATTGAAAGTTGAGGATTATTTGGAATAACGGTTGCTATAGCAACCAAGAAAATGTGTTTCTGAACTGGTAATTTACAGCAATTTTGGCCTGCAGCAACCTGGTTGAAGTTAGATATTTTTTCTATTGATGAATTTTCACATTGTTAATTGGTTTCAAAAACACACTACAACTGTATTCTTTCATTTTATTGCAGATTAGAATTGACACCATTAGTATTAGAGGTCCATAATCGTACATGAATGAACCCACCCCCCAAAGTCTATAAAAAGTGGGCGTGGCACCAGACATGTTCCAGTTTGTAATTCATAAGTTTAAACACCCAATAAATAATGTTGATATCTATGTTACCATGTTTCCAGTGGTAGTTGAAGAAGTTCTTTTAAAAAAACTATATATATTACCATGGAAACCATATATTTATGTTGCCATAGCAACAGAACTATGGTAATGAAATAGCCAATAATTTGATCGAAGCCCTCATGCATGTGGTCCCATATATACAAAAATCAAATGTCCTGTATCTCTCAAAGATCGTAAAACCTTCCTGGGATCAACACAGAGCTGTATTGAAACTTTGGGATTATTTGGAGTAATGGTTGCTATAGCAACCAAGAAAATGTGTTTCCAAGCTGGACAATTTTGCCCCACTTCAACTTGGTTGGAGTTTGATATTTTTTCTAGTGATGAATTTTCACATTGATTATTGATTTTAAAAACACACTACAACTGTATTCTTTCATTTTATTGCAGATTAGAATGCCACCATTAGTATGAAAGGTCCATAATCATACATGAATGAACCCCCCCCCCCCCAAGTCTATAAGAAGTGGGCGTGCAACATGACATGTTCCATTTTAGTAGTTGAAGAAGTTCTTCTAAAAATATAACCATGTAATAAAAAAAATATATATAATATCATATATAAATATATTATCATGGAAACCTTACATTTATGTTGCCATAGAAACAACTTTGGTCTGTTAACGCAAGGCTTAATGAAATTAAGGCTGAATATATATCCTAGTAGTTTACATTCTTTGTAGTCCACATTTGTATGAGCTACTATTCTAGTATATCTGACACATCTCTATTCTATAGTGATACTTTTACATTTGCTTGTAGAACGTAATATGTGATAGGCCCCAGAGTGATGGCACTGAGAAGACTGCATATGATATCAAATGAAGCTTGTAAAAGAGATAATTAATACAGCATACTATGACCCTGTCATTTAACCAATAGATGAAGCGGTAAAGTTCTTAAACAAGTCTATTTCAGTTCTCCCCAGTCCTTTGTGAAAACTTCACCAATATAATTTTGAAGCTCATATGTGGGTTCTGACTCTTACAGATCTGTCATAGCTGGCCTCATCACATCAACAAGATCTTGTCGTAATATATTTGATGTGCACCAGTCTAGTTCTAGTACACAAGATAAATTATTTTTCAACTCATTGCCTCTGGGAGATGAGAGTTCAGGCTTACAGCCTGTGTAAGCCTGTGTTTCAGTTGTAATATTTGTAGATGACCCAATACATTAATTTAATGCATTTTGGTATTTCTGGCTATTTCATAGCAGAGTTGGGGGCCTGGTTTTTCCTCGTTGAACAAATGCACTAACACAATAACAACCTGTGAGAATGGTGTATCATCAAGACTAGAAAATCTGTGTCTGGGGAATGTACAATAATGTTCTTTGACTGATCAAAACGTCTTGACATGTACTCATCTTGGTGTCTGCTTCTTCTTGTGTTGACAGTAGATTGTTATCAACATATTCATAATAGGATTTTATTAGTACTGATGCCCTTTTAGGGCCAAACGTACATCCAATATACAATTTTCAATAACAGTAAATATAGGCAATAAAGTAAAGAAAATAGGATTACATTCTTCAAATGACATATAAAATGTTACTTTGATATAAGAATCCTGTCTCTACCCATCATTAGATACTTTATCATGTCAGCAGATTCTTTTAATATGATCCCCTCACTCGTCAATAGAAAAATTGTCTTTTGGTGGTTATTCATGTTTTTAAAATTACGACACAGGTTTTCAAGTTTTTCAATATGGGATTTTCTGATAAACTCCAATTTTTTACGTTTGAATAAAAAGTTTGAATGTCTGAATGTTTGAATGTCTCTTTACATATGATCGGACATTTAGACCATCACTAGTGAGAATTTTGCATGTAGTCCCACATGTAAAGCATATTTTTCTGTTCATCAGCTTGGCTGAGTACTTATCTGTTTGCCACTTGCAAAGAGTAAGACTGTTTAGTTGGGTTTAGTTTTGGCTGTTGCTCAAAAATTCTTACCAATTCTTAGGGATGTGGTCCTTGGATCATGAAGGATTTTGATGTTCCTCTTCTCATTCTCTCTGGTTCTTTTATTGAATCTATGTATTTGATAGCTGTCAGTTAAGAAATCTACCCTCTCTGACTTCAGTGGTAGCATGTCAAACACTTGCTCTGTCAGTTCGTCAAAGGTGGATAGACGCTGCACTAAGCTGTGATATATAGCATTACCATCATATATGTAGAATGATTCATCTTTTGCTGGTCTTGAAGGGTGATGTTGGAGATTCTCAAGAGCATTTAGGAGTGTTGCTTTTGCTGCCTTCGCTGGCAGACCATCAGGAGACCCTAGCGCCCATGACACTGGACTAAGCGGATACTCTATAACGTTCATGTTCTCTTGAGATATAAGAACTAACTGTCAAAAATATTCCTTTCAGCTCTAAACTTGTCAGATGTTTCCAGGATGTCCTTCTCGATTGTCACAAATGTCTTCATCTTTATTCTTTTCACTTGAAAACTCTTGAACAACATCTTGAAAACTTTTGGTGTCACTATCAAGTCTTTTTTCAAATTCCACCTTGCCTCTGGACCTGACATGTAGTAGGTCTTGAGCTACATCTGGAACAGGCCGTATTCCTGATGATAGACAGTAGAGTTGATTATAGCATCTGTCTCAAAGGGGTCTAAAAAAGTTACCTATTGCGGCCCTTGCTTTTGAAACACCTTCAAAGCCTGCTATGTTTGCACGGTAGTAGGCATTTGGATTGGTGATAAATCCAATTACCCACCCCCTCAGATTTCGCACTCTGATTGATAGTCTGTTCAGTGGTTTGATCAACTGGCAAATATAGTGCAGGTACTTGGGACCTGTTATCACTAAACCCAAGGTCTCTCAATAGCCTTTCTTTCCCTTGGTTTGTATGCTTGAGGTAAGCAAGTATGACATAATGTGCTGTTAGATATATAGCATAGTTGGGCTGGTCCATTGTGAAAAATAGTGGACATAGGACTTGTAGACACTAGACAAAGTAAGTGGAGGTCACAATCATCCTCTGCTAGCTTGGATGAATCGTGATATTATATAACAATAACCTCTTGTGAGAGCATGGGAATTGGTAGCTGGCAAATAAACTTGTCTAACAAATTCCTTTGTAGCAATTCCAGGAAGATTTTGGTCACTCTGATTGATCTGTTATAATGGTTTCCAGTTAGCACATCTTCAAGAGATCCACTAGAATATATGCCAGCTTCAATGATGATATCAGAGAAACAGTGAAAGCAAAGCCAATGAGTAGCCAGAAATGCCAAGATGCATTAAATTAATGTATTGGGTCATCTACAAATATTACAACTGAAACACAGGCTGTAATTGAAGAGTTTGTGTGCAACACAAGCCTGAACTCTCATCTCCCAGAGGCAATGGGTTGAAAAATAATTTATCTTGTGTACTAGAACTAGACTGGTGCACATCAAATATATTACGACAAGATCTTGTTGATGTGATGAGGCCAGCTATGACAGATCCGGAAGAGTCAGAACCCACATATGAGCTTCAAAATTATATAGGTGACGTTTTCACAAAAAACTGAGGAGAACTGAAATAGACTGGTTTAAGAACTTTACAGCTTCATCTGTTGGTTGAATGACAGAATCATAGTATGCTGTATTACTTATCTCTTTTTCAAGCTTCATTTGATATCAAAATGATATCTTCTGAGTGCCATCACTCTGGGGCCTATCACATATCACTTTCTGCAAGCAAATGTAAAGGTATCACTATAGAATAGAGAGGTGCCAGATATACTAGAATAGTAGCTCATACCAATGTGAACTACAAAGAATGTAAACTACTAGGGTATATATTCAGCCAATATAGTTTACTCATACATTTGTTGCTTTCTCTAAATGGCCAAATGAATAGTCAAATGAACAATAATTTCATTAAACCTTGCGTTAACAGACCAAAGTTGTTTCTATGGCAACATAAATGTATGGTTTCCATGATAATATATTTATATATGATATTATATATATATATATTTATTATATGATTATATATTTAGGAGAACTTCTTCAACTACCACTGGAAACATGGTAACATAAATATCAACATTATTTATTGGGTTGTTATACTCATGAATTACAAAATGGTACATGTCTGGTGCCACGCCCACTTCTTATAGACTTTGGGGGGGGGGTTCATTCATGTATGATTATGGACCTTTCATAGTAATGGTGTCATTCTAATCTGCAATAAAATGAAAGAATACAGTTGTAGTGTGTTTTTGAAACCAATGATCAATGTGAAAATTCATCACTAGAAAAAACATCAAGCTCCAATCAAGTTGCAGTTGGGCAAAATGACCATAGATTGTCCAGCTCAGAAACACATTTTCCTGGTTGCTATAGCAACCATTACTCCAAATAATCCCAAAGTTTCAATACAGCTCTGTGTTGACCCAAGGAAGGTTTTAAGATCTTTGAGAGATACAGGACATTTGATTTTTGTATATATGGGATCACATGCATGAGGGCTTCGATCAAATTATTGGCTATTTCATTACCATAGTTCTGTTGCTATGGCAACATAAATATATGGTTTCCATGGTAATATATATAGTTTTTTTAAAAGAACTTCTTCAACTACCACTGGAAACATGGTAACATAGATATCAACATTATTTATTGGGTGTTTAAACTTATGAATTACAAACTGGAACATGTCTGGTGCCACGCCCACTTTTTATAGACTTTGGGGGGTGGGTTCATTCATGTACAATTATGGACCTCTAATACTAATGGTGTCAATTCTAATCTGCAATAAAATGAAAGAATACAGTTGTAGTGTGTTTTTGAAACCAATAAACAATGTGAAAATTCATCAATAGAAAACATATCTAACTTCAACCAGGTTGCTGCAGCCCAAAATTGCTGTAAATTGCCAGTTCGGAAACACATTTTCTTGGTTGCTATAGCAACCGTTATTCCAAATAATCCTCAACTTTCAATACAGCTATGTGTTGACCCCAGGAAGGTACCCTGTAAGTTTCAGACACATATCTTTAATATTTTTTAAGTTATTAGGAAAGAGTTGAGACCCCCTCGAAAATAACCTCGGGGGTATAAAACCTAGAAAAGCTATCCATAATGGTCACTTTTTGGGCGTCAAAGTTCCAAATCATTAAATCTGACATGTTTCCCGAGATAAATAATGTGGTTCAAATTTGCTCACTGACGGGCCCACCTTTGGCTACCATATGAGCCCCTATATAACATTTGAAACTTTTCTATGAAGAGCATTGATATGGGGAGCCCAAGATAATTTTGAATCAATAATTACTCCCAGTAATCCTATCTCATCTACTTTTTCTAGGTTGGAATTTGCAATTTTTATTTCATTGTTCACGGATATATTTCTTTTATTTCCAAAGACCATATATTTTGTTTTCTTAACATTTAAAGTAAGTTTATTGGCCAACAACCAATCATTGATGTCACACAGTTCAGAATTTACAGTTGTGGTCAAATTATCAAGATTGTAATCACTCCATAATATATTAGTGTCATCTGCATAAATCACCAGTTTGAGTTTATCAGAAACTAGATAGAAATCATTTACAAATATGATAAATAAGAGGGGGCCTAGAACAGACCCTTGGGGTACTCCACAGTTAACGATTGCTTCTTCAGACAAATATTTCTCAGATAAACTTTTAGAGTATTCAGTTTTCATTTTTCGATTTGATAAATAAGATGAAAACCATGAAAGTGCAATTCCTCTTATACCATAATGTTCCATTTTTTTAAGTAATATTGCATGATTAACAGTATCAAAAGTTTTGATAGATCCAAATATATTCCAATACAATATTCTTTATTATCTAATGAATGTCTGACATTTTCAATAAATTCTAGGAGTGCCATGTAAGTTGATCTATGTTTTCGAAAGCCATACTGGTGTAAATACAATAATTCATATTTCTCTAAAAAAAGTAGATACTTTGTCATGCATTATTTTTTCAAACATCTTAGCAAATACACTTAAAATAGATATTGGCCTATAGTTTGTAAATTTATCATGTTCCCCTTTTTGAAAATTGGAGTATGACTGAAAAGTACGACTGAAAAATACAAAATGTCAATGTAGCACTTACGATGAGCATGTTGTTGGCTATCCACACATATCTTGGTGCATACATGTTCTGCTTATATGCCTAAATAATAAATAAACATAGTTATATTTATATTTTTGTGACTATGTTTAGACATCATCTGACTGACGTTATTATAAGTTATATACATGTGCAGCGTACATATACCAGTGTACATAGTACTATACATATACCATTACATAAATACATATACCTCTGGCATATAACATTGGTATCTAATAAGTTAGTTTGTAGTGATGCACCTTCTACTGACAGGTGCCTTTCTCCTATACTAGAATAGCAGATCATTCGGTCCAAGTCCTCTTTACAGTGGAATGGACTAATTTTTTCTTTGCCACAATTGCAAGAAGAACTATTTAATGTTGAATAATAATTATAAGCCAAATAGGCAATTTTATTGCTCACCTCACATAAGAGTTTGTAATGCATTTCTTGATAGACTTGAATAACTATTATATGCACCCCAGACTCCTGAAACCAGAAAACAAACAAATGTTTCACACACCACATTTCACTGATGTAGCCAACTTTGAGGCACACGATTGAACTGTCTCGATAAAGGTTTACAGTAATTCATGTAACTGGCAATGAAAATCCAATTCTAGGAATTCAACTGGTTTCTCATCAATTTCACAGATGTAGCCAACCTTGAGGCACACGATTGAACTGTCTCGATAAAGGTTTACAGTAATTCATGTAACTGGCAATGAAAATCCAATTCTAGGAATTCAACTGGTTTCTCGTCTCGAGACACTCATCCATGAGAGCACTTACTCCAAGATAAATCACCTCATTAAAATTTATCCCACATGATGTATGAAATGTATGAAACAAAGAGTTTTCGTTACAAAGGCTACCTTAATAGAAGCAACTATGTCTGCTGGGTCATCCTCGTCATCCACTAGGAATGTGTTAGGCACAGTTACATTCACTTTCTTAAGTTCATCTCCCAGAAGCTTCCCAAGCTGTAAAACATAACAACATCCATGTTTCGATTTGACTGTGTTTCATGCATAACACTGTTTTTTGTCAGATTTTAAAAACCTTTTCAGAGCACTTCCTATCTTTCATTTGATGTATAATGCATATCCTCGATATGGATTGATTCTCGTAGATGAAGCATGAAATTTGATAATAAATAAAACATAAAGTGTTCCACCTTGCAGGTTAAAGTGTATCATTTATATATTGCAACAACAACAATGGTGTGAATCTTTATGTAGATGTTCCTGAAGGAAGGGTGGGGTGTTAGTTATATTTATATATACATTAGTTCATTTTTGGAGATGGTGGGGAATTGATTTTATTAATTTTACCATATTCATACTTACTGCATCGAAAGCTAAATCAGTTATAATGCTGACTTTAGTCCATTTACTTTCTTTAATAAAGTGGGTGGTGAGATCATTAAGTAAAGAATCTTCTGCAAGAAGACTCACAAGGTACGGATATCTGGAGAATAAAAATATGAAATTGAACATCAAACGACTCACTGATAACGGTAAAATAAGTCCAGAATTTCCTCTACAGTCCTTGTTGCCACTTTAAAAGACAAAAACATCTTGTGTTTTGGGGATTGTAAAAGTAGATCATTAAAGGTGAGAAAGGAATGTTAGATATTATCTCTTTCTAAAACAGGCAGAGAAAATGATGTGGTATAAATAGATCTCATAAATAACACAAAAAGTCAAATATAGGGTTAAGTTACATTACCTAACTTTATCAGATAGCTGCAATGCATTCGCCAGTGGGGTCACCTTAAAATGATGCGAAAACATCTCTGTTAGTATATGCTACATATGCAGAGAGGCTGTTACATAAGAAGTGGTACTAAAACCCCAACATTTTTATGTAACCTTCACAAAATATGTGACCATACGTGAACTTAGATTGAAATATATTTAATAATTATGACAGTTACCTGCACGACATTCCAAAGGCCTGTCAGGTATGCCGATGACTCGGTGTTAGAGGCAAATAGGTTCCCATATATCATGTGGACCATTGGATTTTCAGATATGTACTCCAACGTCTTTATGGTTGTGACACGGACAGAGTCGCCTCCAATCGAGTGTCCATCTGGCTGCAATATTCACGATATTTCATAACTTGTATTTTGTAATTCAGAACATACAAGTAAATTAATTTGAAGTAAAGTATAATTTATTCATAATAGGGAGGTTAAACTACACGTTTTTAAGACAACTTGCATGTGATTTATTGTTCCCCTCTCAGTTGGTTTTTCCAGGGATCTCATTAAAACTACTTTCCTTAAACCAGCTCCAGACTCAACAAGGCAAGTAAATACCAGGAAGGGGAGAACTAATCCATAGAGGACCATAATTCTACACGCCCAAAAAGTAGAAGTTATCTTAACGTGTAGATCAACCTCCCTACTACTATTGACGAGGCACAGAACAATGACGGAGGCGTGCATGAATAATTTATGTGTGAAACAAACTGTGCAAATCTTCATCACGCCAACAGATTATAAATAAAAACTTACAGATACATTCTTTATATGTAGAACTAGATTGTAGTCTCCGAGTACGTCTTTCCTCTTGTTTATCTCATCTATCGCAACCTGGGCGGTCGCCTGTAGTCGCTTTCCAAATATGATATCCAAAGGAAGGAGGCCCCCTATGAGTATGTTGGTCTTATCTGCATCTAGCGCTGAAATCAATAGACTTATTTTAATCTTTATCCAATCTAGATGAACAAGTGATGAACCCCTGCTGTAAAACTGTTTTTATGTTAGAAACTGCTCGTTCGGTTTTATTCAAATTTATTTAGAATGCAAGAATAAATCGTTGTTTACATAGCCATGATGATGCCAAAGTACGAGAAAAATGGACTTATATAAGGTGCCGGTGTAAAAGGGTAGGAGGTCCGATCAAATTATGGTCCTACTCTCCGGGATATGGTGTTCACGAAGTAATGACACTAGGTTTCCCATTTCTACAGTTTTTAATCAATCTTAGGTAACATATTTTATTTTTCATCAAATGATAAATAAAGATTTGTGTGAAGGATGTCAACACCTTCAAGTATGACAAATTGTACCGTAGTTCTTTTACAACGGTGTTTTGAATAGCTTTGGTCTACAAGTGGTCTTTTCACGTGTGCTTCTATGTACATACTGTATCATAATTGAGAAATGTATGTGTCCCCGTAGAGGGTATAACTACATATATAAGGGTTATGTACTGGGAGGTTTTGGATACAGGGTTTATCCCAAGGGAAAAAGGTGTATCTCCCGGATGGGACCGCAGGGAGATACACATATTTCCCTTGGGATAAACCCTGTATCCAAAACCTCCCAGTACATAACCCTTATATATGTTTGTACTTACCTGAATCAGGAGGGTATGTAACATCCTCAGCTAAAGTAAAAACCCAAAATGTCATCACGAAGAGACTTCTCATGTTGGTCTGGTATATTTGCCACATTACAGACCTGATGATTCTAAAAAAAGAAAAAAGAAACTTTGTGTATGCTTCTGTAACCTTACGGTATGAAGGATGCTCAATAGCGTTCCTGACTTGAAAAATTTGAACTAACGCCCATTATATCTGTTGTAAATTTATCTAAATAGCCTTTTGTCCCGCCTTTTGTGTATAGCATTTTAATGCGCCATAATAACCATAATATTTCTCAAAACTTAGCAAGCCACGCTTTTCCCAAATCTCTGTCCTGGACATCTCCGATATAACAGAAAAAATTCCATGAATGTAGGACTTCTAAAACGTATAAACCAGATGTCATCCGAGAGGGACTATGTTATAGTGAACGATGCCTATTTCATGTATTTGTTTTGGCTCAACAATGGGAATAACTATTAAGAAATATGTATGGACATTACAATTAAATTACAGGAATAACACATCTTTATAATTACATGTAATTCAATCTTAAATTAAATTTAAAATGCAATTTCTTAATTTCTTCTAAAATAAATAGGAAATAATATTGGAAAACATGAAATATCTTGTTAGAAATTCTCAGAGCTTTAAAGATAATAATGAACCATTGTTAAAATGAATAAATAGTACCGTGGGTACTGGGCTCACATGGTGTTGCTCAAAAGTGAATGATGGCTAAAATGGCAGAAAATAAAAAAATTGATATAATTTTTGCCGATCTTTTGTAACAAAATTATTTCATACAACTACTCTTTACAGTGACATGGCTTTTTACAATGCAGGACACCTGAAATTATTTGTAAAGCTAGAAGATGGGCCAAAGGTGAATTTCGCGAGAAAAATACCGACCATTTTGAAAATAGGCGAGCTTTTGAACCAGAAGTCATGGGGGAGTTTTCTGTATTCTGTAACTCAAAACGGGAATCCTATCGACACAGGTTTTAAAGCAAATGGTCCAAAAGTAAATTTCGCGAGACAAAAATGGCGGCCATTTTGAAAATAGGCGAGCTTTTGAACCAGGAGTCATAGGGGGGGGGGGGGGGGGTTCTATATTGACGTTGAACAAAAATGAGTTAAAACGAGAATCCTATTGAGTATTGACAGAGATTTAAAAACGGGCCAATTGTTGACAGACAGACGGACGGACGGACAAGTGAGTGATTGCAATAGCTCACCATGTGAGCTAAAAAGGATATCCAGAGAAATGGTTCTAACAGTACTTTGATGAAACTGATACGAGTTGTTACTACTTTCTGAACTTCATCTGTTCGTAATCGTGCTCTAATCTAAGTATAACATGACATTGGCTGATTTAACAAGAAACAAAAAAGGAACAAAATATGTTGTCATTTAAATTCACATAAATAAACAAAATAATAACCAAGGCCGTTCAGATATGACATTTTCCCGCTTTAAAGTACATAACCCTAGCTATTATATTGCACGATCCAGAATTTTTTCAAATGGTCAACACTATAATCGACAGAAAAAACTTCCATATCGCTGTTTTGATTAAAAATTATTTCACCAGTTACATGAACTCCATGTACCATTTCACATGCGTAATTGCACCTTTCTCAAAATGTCTGGCTATTACCAATGTCTGGTGTCGGGTGATGACAAATAATGATGATAACCAATAGCTGGTTATTACCAATGCTTAGCCATTTCAAGTGCAAAGGGATTACCAATGTCTTGTGATCACCAATGCATGGTGGCTCCTCATGCAATTACCAATGCCTAGTAATTATCAATGACTGGTGATTACCAAAGGCTAGCGATTCCCAATACATGGGGATTACCCGGGGATTACCAATGTCTTGTGATCATCAATGCCTAGTAATTGCCAATGACTGGTGATTACCAAAGGCTAGCGCTTCCCAATACATGGGGATTACCCGGGGATTACCAATGTCTTGTGATCACCAATGCCTGGTAATTACCAATGCATGGTGATTAACAATGCATGGTGGCTACTAATGCGATCACCAATGCCTAGTAATTATCAATGACTGGTGATTACCAAAGGCTAGCGATTCCCAATACATGGGGATTACCCGGAGATTACCAATGTCTTGTGATCACCAATGCCTAGTAATTACCAATGACTGGTGATTACCAAAGGCTAGCGATTCCCAATACATGGGAATTACCCGGGGATTACCAATGTCTTGTGATCACCAATGCCTGGTAATTACCAATGGCTGGTGTTTAACAATCCATGGTGACTACTAATGTCTGCCAAATATCAATGCTTGGAGAAGGCCCAGTGATTACCTCGTGTTGTGTTTTATCATCATCAAACCACGAAAACATGTTTAAAATACATTTGAATACTTAATTTATTAAGTGTTTTTATGTTTGTATGATTAAAGCAGATTTGCATGTATTGGGGAAAATATATTTTCCGAGATAATCGATGTGCTTTCTTCGGAAACAAGAAATTGACCGATAAAAACCAATATATTTCAGTATGGAAATATTGCTTTGCAACATGATTACCTTAACAAGTTGCTTTACATTCAAATTTTAAAAAATTAGGTTAATACTGTTGGACCCCTAGGTCGGTCCAATTCATTCTTAAAAGTTTATCTAATTTTGTAAAGAATGACAAACAAGTCGATTCCTAATACTCATACTTTATTTAATAATTTTAAAGTTTAGTCCAAACAGTTACAAATTACAATACATCTTCACAATCTAAAGCCAAGCCGAAAAGTGTCCAATTCTTTACCAGTGCAGGTTTTTAAACTCAAAGTGACCAGTGATCAAAATGATTAATGGCCTTACAACAACACAGAGCAGATCAGCGATTCAGCTGGCTTATGCAAACCCCAGACTCTGGAAGTTGACCCCAGTATCCCAGGGCACCTTGCAAGCTATGACCCGGTCAGAGGGAATGTTTTATCTATCACTGGCTGGATCACTGAAACTCTGCGTTGAGCGTTCTTTGTTCCCAGCTCTAATCTCTAATCTCATTAAACCACTGGGTGAGGAAAACTATTAATCTGTCAACATCTTTTTGATGCCTGAGTTTCAACTTTTTGGAAGAAGCCCATAAATCTCATAACATGACATACTGAACTTTTAAACCCATATAGATGAAACAAGTTGTTCCTTGATCATTCAAAACTGTCATCAAAATGATAAGTTCCATGCAGCAAATATTTAATCAAAATATAAGTTTACAGTGTGTTCCTGAAAATGTCCAACAATACTTACCTGATGCAAATGATAAATCCAGACAAAAATTCCACCTATATCTACTTGTCTTATCACATTGATTTAATACCCATTGTACTTTGCAAACCACTGTGACTTATTAATAAGAGTATTTCATTAACACTAATCAAATAACAATCAATCCATACAAGCTGTTTTTACTACTAGTGCACTGTCATACTCTAAATAACAAACATACAATATGTAACAACATGTGTTTGCTATAGGCTATGAAAAATAACTATGTGTAACTATTGTGATTTTCGGATGCTCCGTTGTCTGTTATAGTGGCCATTGTAGTTCGTTCCACATACCACCTTAACTGTTTTGCCATGTATCGCGGATGAAGGCGCATGGTCAGGTACAACGAAAGGTGGAACATTTACATAAATCAGATGTTTTCATTACCTCAGAATGCGGAACTACCTTAAAATTTCACATTTTCACCTTTCCAATGGTGTATTGGATTTTTGATGTCCTTGTCATGACCATATCAAGTTCATCTACGAAAACGATACACCACTTAATAAAGCTCTCTTAACCCCATAAAAACGTTAAATATTACCATTAGGATACGATGTTTTTGTAAACCTATATTTTGTCCTTCAGGTTTATTTTGTATGATAAGAAAACACATAAATCCACACAATGGGCATGTTGAGTACTCACCAGTTTCAGTTTGTAATACGCTGATACGGCAGTGTTCACGATTCAAAAAGCCTTGGTTGTTCTGAAAATAAATATATATGTTTTCCAGTTTCCACTAATCCCAGCAATATTCCAGAGAAATAAAGGTATTGATTCATGTAACTGTTGCCTCAACACAGGTACGCAGGTTGGTACCGTAGCAATATTGATGACTATGAACGCAAGAAAAAACGATTGGAACAAATCATTGTCTGATCCAGCCTATACCATGCTATCCCTTGGCCTCGTTAGGTCGAAACAGAATGGGAACAAACACAAAATATATATGTCCCATTTCTTTTTTCTCCTAGACAAGATGTAAGCTTGTATTTCGACTGCAAATAGCGACTGTCGGCTCACGGGTTAACATACTATTTTATGACTAACCCATTTAAATACTAGTGTATGAAATAGTGGCAGGTACTATTCAAATTTAAATGGGTTGCCCATAATATAGTACGTTAATCCGATAGCCGACAACCTAAAGTTGCATTCGCGAAACTGAGGCCCGGGAATACATAAAACATTTTAAAGTCACTTTTCTTGTGTTACAGGGGTGGATCTCAAAACGGACGTTTTTGGACCCCTATAACCAAAAATTGCGCTAAAATTTTGAAAACCTAAGGCCATTTTCTTGATAATCTGGCCTAAAATTAAAAAAAACATAAGGTCCAGTAATGCCCAAAAGGCCCACTAATTGAGGCCCTGATAAAAGCTGCCTACGGGCTATTATTACATATTACCAACTCAGTACACCGCTGGACGTTTAACATATCCCTGGGCCTCAGGACCATACACGATCATAACAATACTGTATCACTGAATTACTACTTACATGTAAAGTCCATTTCACTGCTTCATTTCGTCAGTAGAAGGGCAAAAATAAGAAATTTGGAGACCATTGTGCAATAATATATGGAAAAGTATATTCATAATGTACATGAATGACATTTGTATATTTCAGATTTTTTAGTTTTATGTGCAATAAGCCTGTGCCGTCTTGTAATTTGAAGAATTTCAGCCATGTTAATCTTATTAAAAATAACATGGCAGAGAAACATCCAAATATAAGAGACCACACACTTTATAAGCCAAACTAGAAGCAATCCAAGATATACAAATGTCATTCATATACATTATGAATATACTTTTCCATATATTATTGCGCAATGGTCTCCCAATTTCTTATTTTTGCCGTTCTACTGACGAAATGAAGCAGTGAAATGGACTCTACTTACATCAAAAATTGGCTAGAGACTCGAGTAACTCCTCTCCGATCCCTTGTAATCTGCTACTTGAAATATTCTTGAATCAATTTTTCATCCTGCCTGTGTTTTGATGTACTTATTCCTGGTAGTATTCCAGAATCAGTTTGTTTGTCCCGCCGTATTATGTTCCTTATTTAGTTGAGTTCCATACGTCAAAATCAAATGTTTTCTTTTTAGCTACGATATCATATTTCTCCAGAATGCTCCAGTCAACGGCAATAGTAGCTGAAAATGAGTTTCAGGTCACCGGGTCATTTGCTTCAGTACAGCCAACGTGAGAGATGACAGTCTCCTATTAGTTTCCTTCTAGAGCAGAGATGGTCTGAGTATCAAAATGTGTTTCAATAATGATAGGCATCAGTCAACATAATGATGCGATTGTTTGCTTTCTGCTAATATTTCAATACCAGCTGTTTTGCTAAGTTTTTTTCGTCATAAATTCCCAAATCCATGTGTCTCCACTTACTGTGCACTTTCCTGTGATTGTTCCCTTACAGTCAGTGTGGAGTTAACGGATTATCGTCTGTGTAACTCAGTCCGTTTGTTTTGTAGTCTGAGCTGTACTTACTTATAATGTATTACATTTACACTCATATATCGATTCAGGTGAGATCTGTGCTGGATTTATTTATTACCTGTTTGTACGATATACTATTTACATTTCTTCATAATGTGGATTCCAGATATGCACAGCCATCCTTCTTCAAAGGACTTCATTTATGCTTATATACTTGTAATTTAATACCCTTGTAGCAAGGATGATGCACAGCTCCTATAAATGGCTATTAGAGAGGGTTTAATAGTTCAAAATGACATTTCTAATATAAATTATAGTGTTGTTGATTCGAAATAAAATTTTAAAAAAAGCATACAGGTCATACTATACTACAGCACTGCGTATGATCCATATGCAATGAGCGTAACGAGGTGGAACAAACATTCAACATAATAGACCAGTATCTACGTCTACAGTCTCGAGTGTACTTCTACCATGGTTCTACCTAATAATTTGGAAGATGCTAAATAGCCCATTATTACAGCAAATATACGCTTTAATTGAAGAACAACCTTCTAGTTGAATTGTACTGAACGCATTATTTTTTACTTATGTCCCCATTTGCCCCTGACTAAGAACCTATATATCGACCGATGTTGTTATTCCTGTGCCAAATGTCACCCCGGGTATCCACGATTAAAATAACATAAGAAGCGGTCAACTGAAAAGTGAGGCTAAATCCGATACTATTTACAGATGGTGCATACAGCTACGAATGACTTTTATGCCAAACGGGTTCGGCTTTTATTGCTCTATCGTACTTCAAATATCCTGATGAACGAAGTTTCAGTTGCTCGTTTATAACACGGCGGGTAAGTCACCCCCGTGATAATCGCGATAAACCATCCATCAGGTGTCTCACAAATTACAATCACATTTAGATATCCATGTCTCAGTCGAACTCCCGTGCAGTGATATATATACCGAGACACTGCATAGGAGTTCGTGTCTCAGTATGAATCCTGACGTTTTCTTCGTAAACAACAAAAAGTTTGAGTTAGAAACAAGAACTCCAGCTTAAGGTCAGGGTGCATGATAGGAAATTTTCTGCATTCCTCAATTGAGTCACATGTTATTTTTCAAACAAGAATCACTCCTTCCCTTCATTGTCTATATCTTCACCCTATGCAGACAGAGCCTGTGGGAAATATTGGGTGCGGCGCAAATGAGCGGAGGGTGCGGAGCTAACGGTCATTTTTGAATTTAAAATTGGGATATTTCTGAAACTAAGCCGTTTTGGGACTTCAAATATACCAACGTATGTGTATTTGACACCAAATATCAATACAATTGTGAAAATAGTAGTGCAATTCATTTTATAGCGACGCAGTATGCCTTAAACATTTCCCAGACCTATATATTTTGAGACTATCCTTTTAATACTGCGTCCCCAGCATTCATAAAAAATGGTGTTCAAGATACACTACCAATGCAAATTATTTTTGCATCTTGGAAGCCAGGCAGTATCTGTGTGATTTTATAAAAATTCGGAAATGTTCTTCAGATATGAGCCCCTCTAAATATTGGGTGCGGAGCTACGTTTATGGAGCTGCTCCGCACCCAATATTTAGAGGGGCTCATATCTGAAGAACATTTCCGAATTTTTATAAAATCACACAGATACTGCCTGGCTTCCAAGATGCAAAAATAATTTGTATAGATAGTGCACCTTGAACACCATTTTTTATGAATGCTGGGGACTCAGTATTAAAAGGATAATTTCAAAATATATAGGTCTGGGAAAGGTTTAAGGCACACTGCGTCGCTATAGAATGAATTGCGCTACTATTTTCACAATTGTATTGATATTTGGTGTCAAATACACATATCTTGGTATATTTGAAGTCCCAAAACGGCTTAGTTTCAGAAATATCCCAAATTTAAATTCAAAAATAACCGTTAGCTCCGCACCCTCCGCTCATTTGCTCCGCACCCAATATTTCCCACAGGCTCTGTCTGCATAGGGTGATCTTCCAGTTTTGCACAAAGAGTGCACTTATGTGCCTAGAAAAGACTTGTGAGAAGAATGTTTTAATAAAGTGTATAAAAAACAACAAAATTCAGTGAAAAAAATCAGAAAATTTTCAGAAATTTTTTTCACTGAATTTTCTCATTTTTATACATTTTACAAAACAAACCTTCTCACAAGGCTTTTCTAGGCACAGAAGTGCACTCTTTGTGCAAACTTGGAAGATGTAGACAATGTGGGGAAGGAGTTATTCATGTTTGAAAAATAACATGTGACTCAATTGAGGAATGCAGAAAATTTCCCAACATGCACCCTGTCCTTAAGCTTAGAGTTAAGAGATAATATCAGGCAATTCTATTAACAAATATTTTGGCTAGTATAATTAACAGTTTTACTCCATTAGCAGAAATTATAAGAGGACCCCCCATAAGACACGATCGCTATCACTGAAGATATTTTTTGATCTTAATACAATAACCTGAGGCCCAGGAATACGTTAAAAATGTTTTTAAATGTTCGCTAGTGTACGGAGTTGTTAATGCGTGGTGTATACATGTATAGATTACTTACACGTATAAAAATACGACTGATTTTTATAAGCTTATGGATAAGAATAAGACTGATTTTTTGTTAATGACAGTATACCTGGGCCTCAGACAATAACAATGGCTATTAGATAATATGCTATTTGCAAATGAAGCCTTTGAAACACTCGATGCACATGTTTCAAAGGTTTGGGGTTGATTTGTTGGGATGTGACATACTTGGATATATGTCAATGACTTTATTTATTTGGGACATGAACAATAAACAAATCATGAAACACTTAAGACATTTTTAGAATTTTATTGTTTTTTATTTCATTCTTTGTTGATTCAGCTTGGTTGTTTTGAACAAAAATCAGACTTGGGGATCATAAATTGTTTTAAGTCCTGTTTTGCATTCAACTAGCTATAAATTAGCATGCGGGATATAAGTTTACGATTAAACTAGGCTATACATTTACCAAGGACGTGTAACACGTTACTATTAAAACATGCTTGATCAAAGCCAAATCCAAAGACCCAATTTAAATCAATCATGCACTATTTCATCTGAATTCAGAAAATCATGTTTTCTGCATTGGCATTCACTTTTGATGATTTCTCTGTTACTGGAAAACACACGAGCTGTTTGCTTTGGAGACAGTATTACAAATTACCATTACAATATACTGTAGCACTTTTAAAGTGCAAAAAATAAATGTCTAGTGTTACCTTTCATTAAATAAAAGATACAACGAAATATCTTAAAATATATAATGTGGGTAAAAACAATCCACAAAAAAATGCAGTCGATTAAAACGTCTATCATCCAAAGAAATATCCACAACCACAACCAACATTTAAATATGGTACAAGAGTCACATAAGTTACAACAATTTGTATATATCATTTTAAAGTGGAACTTCGTGACAGTGTATTAATTGAAACAATCAAAACATTTTCACTTGTAAACCATCACTATGTTTCCGGGATACTATATGCAATTGTAATGTCCAATGTGTTGTACCTCAATGTGGAGTATGTATCATTTTAAAGATAACACCATATATGGAAGTAGGTCGGGAAGTAGGTCAACAAACAATTTTATTCATAGAACACTACCCTTTCCCATAGTTTGATATTGCCTCTTTAAAAGAGAGCTTCATCTACTCTCTCTGTGATATACAGATAATCCTTTGATCTACATTAACAAATCAGAATACTGAAAATATGGACTATAAAAATTAAAAATCCAGCTACCTAATCAAAATCGAAACAGTATTCACTCAATTTAATGCTGTCATGAGTACCTGGCATTCATTTCGTAATGAAACTCCTAGTAAAGGCCATGACAGCTACTTTTAGGGTCAATGAGATCTTATGAGCATCAAAACTGTATATTTATCTCTCCTGTTAAGAGCCTAATGTTAAATGCAATAGGCTCGGACAATCAGGGTTATAGGAAACACATTGTTATCATACAGCTTTTTGGACCTCCACCCTAAAATACAACATGTACTTAATACAGTTCTATAATTTAAATGCTATCACATTGTAATGCAATGTCCATATTTGGACATGAGGACAAGATGGAGGAATAATGTCACCGCGGTAACTGTGGATGCTTCCAATGTTTTTGTTTTATGTAATCTTTTAAACTGTCCAATGAAAGTGGAGGAAGATAATTCCCGATATGTTTTCTTTTCCACCACTGACCCTTTTGTGCTGCTTTAGAGCCGATCTTTGTAAACTGGTATCTGAAGTGTTCTGCTCGAATAAATCTGAAATAAATTTTAACAGAGTCCAGTTGGTATATATTATTCATACTCTAGGGGCGAGGAGGGAAATTCTCAATAAATGGAGTATAGTTGGTTTGGCAGCATTTTCAGTTAGGGGAGAGTCTTGGATGAAATTTCCACCTAGGTGATAGCTTCACAGAGTGGTAGGAAGTTCTTTTTTTGAAGAGTTAGCCCCCTACCCCACAAAAACACCCCACCCCGGGGAAAAAAATTGTTCACACTAAATAACCTTAGATATTTTGATGTTTGTAAGTGACATACATAGATATTATATATATGAATCATTTGCAGTATAATTGATGCTGATTACTCTTAAAAAAATTGAATATTAGTACAAAGTGTGTACCCCAGGGGGCAAATTCGTGACCCATTTCCTTACTATTTTGATCCTAACTTTTCAACTAGACACTGTAAGAGGTTGAAAAAATTCAGAGGCATAGGAAGGTGTAAATTCAACAAAGCCAGAATGTTATGCTGTTAAAGCTTCATGTTTATGGTCATACCTTATTAGTGTTTTTGAAATGTTTGAATGTTTTTCACCATATAAAGTCATCATAAAAAGTCAATCTTTAAATCCAGACACAGATCATTCTCAATTTTCTAATGAAAATGTTTATTTTCTCGAACGACTATAGACGGCCAATAACCCAGATGCGAGTAGAAATAATCTTGATTTACGTCATTAAAAATTCAAAAGTCAGTCAAAGTAATATCATATTTAAAATCTACATGTAAAATTACATCTAGAAATGTGGTTTTAAAAAGTGTTTATCAACTTTGAAAAATTAATTTTCTTTGAAAATGTGACTTCTAGCTCGGGGAGATTCCCCATAGACCCCATGCTATAAAATCACAAAAAATGAAATATCTTTTCTTTTAGTGGACAGATAATATTTTGCTTTACTGGACATATTTTCATTAGTATAAGTATCAGACACATAAGGGTTATATTAAAATTAAGCCACTTAAATTGATAATATTCAAGTTTAAGGGAACTTTCTTATATACCTGCCATGTTAATTGACCCGAATCAGCCACCTGGTGGTGAAACTGGTAACTACCTACCCGCATTTGGGTAATTTCTAGAAAGCATAACGGAACATGCATGAAAAAACTTCTAGTAGGTATCATAACTTTACCCCTCTACCCCAATCACCTTGATTTTCATATGCTATAAGTGTACTAATACATACTTTGGTGGCTCTCTCCCCTCAAATGTATTATATGCTATAAGTGTACTAATACCTACTTTGGTAGCTCTCTCCCCTCAAATGGATTATATGCTATAAGTGTACTAATACATACTTTGGTGGCTCTCTCCCCTCAAATGTATTATATGCTATAAGTGTACTAATACCTACTTTGGTGGCTCTCTCCCCTCAAATGGATTATATGCTATAAGTGTACTAATACATACTTTGGTGGCTCTCTCCCCTCAAATGGATTATATGCTATAAGTGTACTAATACATACTTTGGTGGCTCTCTCCTCCAAATGGATTATATGCTATAAGTGTACTAATACATACTTTGGTGGCTCTCTCCCCTCAAATGGATTATATGCTATAAGTGTACTAATACATACTTTGGTGGCTCTCTCCCCTAAAATGGATTATATGCTATAAGTGTACTAATACATACTTTGGTGGCTCTCTCCCCTCAAATGGATTATATGCTATAAGTGTACTCATACATACTTTGGTGGCTCTCTCCCCTCAAATGGATTATATGCTATAAGTGTACTAATACATACTTTGCTGGCTCTCTCCTCTCAAATGGATTATATGCTATAAGTGTACTAATACATACTTTGGTGGCTCTCTCCCCTAAAATGGATTATATGCTATAAGTGTACTAATACATACTTTGGTGGCTCTCTCCCCTCAAATGGATTATATGCTATAAGTGTACTCATACATACTTCGGTGGCTCTCTCCCCTCAAATGGATTATATGCTATAAGTGTACTAATACATACTTTGGTGGCTCTCTCCCCTCAAATGGATTATATGCTATAACTGTACTAATACGTACTTTGGTGGCTCTCTCCCCTCAAATGGATTATATGCCATAAGTGTACTAATACATACTTTGGTGGCTCTCTCCCCCCAAATGGATTATATGCTATAAGTGTACTAATACATACTTTGGTGGCTCTCTCCCCTCAAATGGATTATATGCTATAACTGTACTAATACATACTTTGGTGGCTCTCTCCCCTCAAATGGATTATATGCTATAAGTGTACTAATACATACTTTGATGGCTCTCTCCCCCCAAATGGATTATATGCTATAAGTGTACTAATACATACTTTGGTGGCTCTCTCCCCTCAAATGGATTATATGCTATAAGTGTACTCATACATACTTTGGTGGCTCTCTCCCCTCAAATGGATTATATGCTATAAGCGATGTTGCATTTTTATCATTCACTAGGAATTTAGCAGCTAGGTGGATCAGCCAATCATTTTGTTGGTAGTTCTACAAAACAAAGAAAAATATTCTTTATATTCCTTTAAAATTGTAAAAAAATCACATATAGCTCAATTACAAGTAGTACATGAATGATCAACTCTAGAAAAATATGAAGGATGCCTAACAGTCAATGAGCCTTTCTTTAACAGAAATCTTACTTGGAAGGCAGCAAACCACATGAGCCAATCAAGCCTGTAATGATATGGCGAAATAAGGCAAGGTCTTCGAAACACATCACCTGAAAATGAAATGGCATATGATGTAAAATTATTAAATTTAATTAATCATTAAATTCTTAAAACATGAGTTTAAATGGAAGATAAAACCAGGCGCCACATACATGAATTTTAATCTGCGTTGTATTCCATATACAGGGAAGGCCAAAAAATGTTACCCTTTTATTGTAGTGTTCAATCAGACAGGGTAACATTTTTTTGGCCAGCTCTGTAGCATGTTAAGCCATGAACATCTGTACCACAATGGCAATTTGGAATAAAGATCTTTTTACTATTATAACAGGCGAGTGTTATTGTAAACAATCAATTGACCTATTTATAGTATAATTTGTAGCTATGAATGTACTGCTGTCAACATTTTAGTCTTGCATTGAATCCATATGACCCCCAAAATACACTTAAAACTTACCAGGCTTACACTTGAATTCAAAGGCAGACTTACACTTGAATTCAAAGGCGGGCTTACACTTGAATTCAAAGGCAGACTTACCAGGCTTACACTTGATTTCATAGGTACACTTACCAGGCTTACACTTGAACTCATACTCCTCCCACTTTGCATCAGGGTCATTTGGGTTGATGCTGTGAGTACCTTGGAAGATCACCTCAGTCCTCTCTTTTGTTATACTAAAAAACATATACTTAATTGCAGTTTTTGCTTTTCTGGGCTCAAGACATCATTCTAAATACCATCTGCATGTTTCTATAAATTCAGTGATTAAAACTATACTGTAGAACAAGAAAATCAAAGAAACTGCCAAAATATATGAACTAGCCTTGTGACTTTAGATTACAAAAGAAGAGTATGCATTATGAGACCTGACATTTGCAACATAACATGTCTCAGAAGACAAAATTACCTGCCAAATGCACCATATGTGTTGACAATCCTTAATGGATCAAAGGATGTATTCATGGCTTGTCTTGTAGACATCAAGTTCTGGACAACTGGGATGCTGAGATACGCAATGAGTAGTCCTAGACTTAAGTTAAATACTTTTCTGATGTAACATCCTGCAATTGGAAAACCAGTACAGTAGTCTGAATGCCATTGGAGCCAAATTGTAAAATATTCTAAACAAGAAGTAACATCTTAAACTGAGCTAAGGGTTTTCATTAGCCACAGTCAAAAGGCGATTTTCCAAGGAAGTTTATACCAGAACAATGCATATAATACTTCTGTAAAAGTGCGATTAATGTGAGTTAAAATGAAAAATTGCACCATCATTCAAACTCACCTATTGTAAGATTAGGGCCTGATTTTTGATTAACCTCTATTTGGATTTGCTTGACACGAATCTTGAGACCTGTCACTTTGTTAGAGAACAGGAATGCCAATGATTTGTCATCGAAACATGCAATTGCAGGTAGAATTGTTAACCAGTTCAGAAAGCTCAAATTACCACTTATAATTATGAGCACCTGAAAGAAATTTAAACATATTTGGTAACTAAAAAACTGAGATTTGTAAAATTGGGAAAATGCATATTATGTATTCATCATCAGGATACAGTAAATGTTTAAGTATATGTACATATTTGAAAAATTATGTGTTTAATGGCCTATATCATCATTGGAAAACCCATGATACTTGTACGTTATAGTGAGGCAAACTTGGATCTCAAGGTTTCAAGGTCCTGTCATCTAGTGTCATGTCATATAGTGACACTACAAGTTTAGTTTGTAAATGTACAGTAAAAATGTGCAAGTGGAACACCTATGGTACCTCTAAAAAATGTTCCACTTGGGAGGTGTTCCACTTACAGAAGTGTTCCACTAGACATGTTTTACTATACCACAATATAATGTTCCACTTAAGGAGGTCCATTTTACATTAAGTCAACAGAACTATGAAAGAGTTCCCCTTACGGAGGTATTCCACTTATGAAGGTGATCCACTTACAGTTGCCTTTGAAACATGTTTAACTGTACCACCTCGTCAAACTAGTATTGATAAACTGTTAGAATATATCACTCACTTGGAACAATATTTGGATAACTCCGCCAGCGATTCTTAGTCGTCTAAATGGTAATAATATAAACCAAGGCGCAATCAGCTCAACAAAGTGATTGGTAAGGGTTTCAAATCTGTGAAAAATCACTGGACTTTGGTGCATAAAATAGGCCATCGGATTTGGCACACATTGGGTCTGAAAAAAAAAATTTCAATAATTATTATTAATTAAATGGAATACAAAGACTAGAGATGAGAGGAACTTTCGAAAAATTGTGACAATTGTACAATTTATTTTGCTAACTAGGTAAAATCCAACATTTTTAATTTTATGATATTTTTTTGATTTTTAAGGTTATTTGGAAATAATTTTGGAAAAGCCACCCACCCAGATGCATGCACAAGACGACAACAATATAGCACTTTTTCAAAGTGCGATAAAAATAAACAAACAATACCTCATAATGGTAATCCATACATGTGAGATCTCTCCAACATTTGTCTCCTCGTATTTTTATGAGGCCCTGTAAAATAAATAAATATTTCCTACAGCATATACAGAGTTGGCCTAAAGAAAAATACAAGCAAATTCTAAATGGATGATCAGTGTATAATTGCATGTATTACAATAGTCAACATACTCTGTTGAGTTGTCCATATATTCTTTAACACATATTGGCAGCTTTATCTTTAGCATTTTAAAACATTATTATGATAGCAGTGATCCTACCAGGACTGACTCAACGGAGAGCTTGGTTGTCTCTTAAGTCAAAGGCTGGGGAGATCACTGGACAGAACAATAATTTACTCACAGATCCAATCATTCTACGGAACAACATCCACTTTAAGGCATAAAGCACAATACTCGAAGTTGGTGTTTGTCTAGGGAGCGACTCCAAATTGTAAAGGGAACAGAGAAATGTCGCAAGAAATAGAGTTTCTCTAGTTTGATTCTCCCATCCTACAAGGTCAAGGTCATTTTGTTATCAATTGCAGATGTTTAGGTCAAGGTCACTTATTGAGTTCAGAGACATTCTTGACTTAATTTTGAATGAGTACATTTGATTGCTGTAGGGAAAAGTTATCACCCTTGGCCAAGCAATCCTATGTAAATACTTCTTGTCCTTGACCTAGATCTACAACAAATGGCCTTGACCTTTGATAATACATAATACACACTCACAGCACCAAGCATTATTCTGAAGATTAGCCATCTGTAGCCCCATATGGTGAACCGGGAAGTTGGTGTGTTACGGGGAAGTTGCCGGGTGGTGAATAAGGGACACATAAAAGCTGCAAGGAACCCAGTCTCTAGTATTTGTGATTCCCAACCTAATGTAGAAAATATAATCATTTTGAGTGGATATGTGGTTGTAATATTATTTATTGAAATAAAATGGATTTCAAATCTCCCAAACTGATTTTGGACACATGGATAGAATGACTTTTAATATGTCAACACCCTGAGTTAAAAGGCTGAAGTTTTAAGAATACCAAAAATGTAATTCGAAACCTTACATAAACATTGAATTAATGATTTAACTTACCAAATCCATACCAGCGCTGTCCAATGTTGCATATTGAATGATAGACAATCCACATCATGAGCATTAATATGATATTGGCCGAACCTCGCCAGATTAAAACTGATGACATCACAAGTCCTGAGACAGCTAATCCATCAAGAATCAGATCTAAATACTTCTCATAGTCAAAGAAGAATGCGATGGTCGGAGCAATTGTGAATGTATCTATATTTAAACCACCTGTATGTTCTTTGATTCTGTTGAGAAAGAGATCCCCTGGGAGAAGGCCATCCTTTCCAACAAGCTGTTTGTTCTGATGATATGCGACCAGAAATGCAACAACTGAAAAGAACATGCAATATTAATAGGATAGTTTCTAAATAGCAGAAAAATCAATGAAATCTAGTGCTGCCATCTTTTATTCAGCTTTTAACTTGGGCTAGAGCTCCATTCGCTTACATGCTAAAATCTTAGAAAAGTGGCTTAATTTCATGATTCACCAAAGTGTGTTAGTTGAATCTGAATAAAACTTGAATGATATACCACATGATGACCCTGTTTATGTACATGTTGTGATTAAACATGCAAATGTTGATTGACATACAAATAATCCACGGTTTTAAAGACTTTTAGCATTGCATAGACTATGAACATTTGGCCCAAGTTTTTTTAAATTGTCATAGAAAATTATTCAAATTACATAACTGTGTAAATCAAAGCTATTATAGGAGAAAACATTTCACTGAATTCAAATATGCCATTTAAAAGAAGGTAATGTAAGTCATTAGAGGTCTAATATGCAAGTCTCTTAAAATCTCACGAAAAACGAGATTTAGCGAGATTTCAAAAGCTATATGGAAACTACACTATTCAGCAATAATGCACTGTTAAAAACAGGATGGGGCAAATATAATCCCAAAAAATCGGGAAGTTGTCTTTGACACAAATATAATCCCATAAGACTGAAAGTTGTTTTAGAAACCGATATACAACAGTAAGAATTAAGGGATGTGATTGGTGGAGTTATTTACCCCCTGAAACTGAAATGTTACAGATATACTAAACATCAAATACAAGGAGTAGATCACCTTGAAAGAAAGGTTTGGTTAGTGATTAGCATGAACATGGTCTTAAAGCAGAAGCCCTCTAATGTCACTACCATCACTACAGATTCTGGTAGAGCTGGTAGAACATGTATGTTCCGATCCCTGATTGTGTTTGGAAAGGATGAAATCTTGGAAAATCTGTTACAACTTGTAGACGTATTTACAGAAAAAAGATACGATGAATTTGTTCCTTTGGAATTGGGGATGCCGTAGACTGTATCATAGATGAGCATTCAGCATGATGACCCCTTTTTGTAAAGTGATACGTGTGTAATTATGCAGAAGTGTCACTGTGTCATAATACATGTACATGTATGATAGGATTGCAAAAGAATAGAATCTAGAGTCCATTTCACTGCTTCATTTCGTCAGTAGAACGGCAAAAATAAGAAATTGGGAGACCATTGTGCAATAATATATGGAAAAGTATATTCATAATGTACATGAATGACATTTGTATATTTCAGATTTTTTAGTTTTTTGTGCAATAAGCCCGTGCCGTCTTGTAATTTGAAAGATTTCAGCCATGTTAATCTTATTGAAAATAACATGGCAGAGAAACATCCAAATATAAGAGGCCACACACTTTATAAGCCAAACTAGAAGCAATCCAAGATATACAAATGTCATTCATGTACATTATGAATATACTTTTCCATATATTATTGCACAATGGTCTCCCAATTTCTTATATTTGCCGTTCTACTGACGAAATGAAGCAGTGAAATGGACTCTAGCTATACATGTAGGCCTGAATTGTAAGTGTACATCAATCAATGGCCATGGGCTTTCAATCATAAGATGAAATATCTGGATTAATTTTATCACACATTCAATTACACAGCATAACGACTATCCAAATCAGGCATAATATCAAAATTTGTCAAAAGTGAAAGCGAAACTGAAAGTGAAAAACTTACAATAAATAAATCCCAGTGACCTTAGGAAGACAATGCGTGTAAGCCAGTATGTACCAGGCTCTAAATATAGTCCACGGTGCTGCTTGATATCTTCTTTCATCTCATTTTTGACATTTTGAACCTCCTCTCTGTGTTCTTCACGTACATGTCGCCTTCTAAGCGAAGGAGGCTGTTGATCGTTTTTCGTGGCCATTGCTTCCTGTCACGTGACTTATTGAGTTCTCCTAACTTCTCGTTGCTCATTCTTTCAACGAGATCAATCATGGAGTCACCCGGAAAAATATTTGCTCTTGTTTTGGTGGTTGTTTTGCCAGTTTTGATCGCAGGTAAGTAATTATTTGTTCTAAATTGTAGTCAAATAATTATTAAGGACTACGTTTGTAATATACATCAAGTTAGTTTGTGTAGATAATGCACTTTACCTCACGAATCGTTCTGTATCTTCTGAAAACGTACACGTGTCAACATTGATAACCGATTCAGTGATGATAAGTGTACTAACGACTATTCCATATGTTAAATACATAAGGTAACACCATCAACCAAGTATTGTTCCATTTCTAAATTACGTTGATTGGTTGGTTAGATCCGTTTTTGCGGTGATATCATGTCACCACAATAAATGAAGATGAGCTTTAGAAAATATCTCAGTCAAAATATTCCAGTTTCAATTTCCCAAATCAAACTGCGATTGACTGGAAATCTGTCCCAGTCTATTTCAGCTTCTGTTTTCATGTATCGCCCATTTCACTGTTTTATTGTGTCAGTAAAACTTTAAAAGAAATCAAAAGATCATTATGCAATAATATAAGGAAAAATATTACCATATTCACTGCCTGTGGCCATAGAATATGAATAAGACACTCTTTGTTGTTTTGAATATGCCTTTAAATTGCCCAGCCGTCTTATTTTTATTGATGAAAACATAATAAACTCACCTTCGTTGATCTTTACACGCAGTCCTAGTTCATACATTCGTCTACTTCGCAGGATATTTACTCACAAAAATTAAAACTGAAAGAAATATTTTATAACAAGCGCGGCCATCTTGTCTTTTTGCGATAGCGGAAATAAGCCATGCTTTCAAAATGGAGAACGGGACGACGTCTATTTTAAATGAAAACGTTTAATATCTCATCAACAAGACAAACCGTTATCATTTCAATTCTTGAAATATTAACAGGACGGTTTTAGAATATTACTTAAATTTATTGAACGGCGGCTAAAGATTTTACAATAGTTCACGATGTTCCAGATGGAATTACGTCTCTAGCCAATTCTTGGCTAGAGACTTGAGTAAGAAAAATATATTCCTATTGTACATAAATGACACGTTTATCTTGGATTGCTTCTAGTTCGACTAATAAAGTGTGTGGCCTCTTATATTTTGATGCTTCTCTGCCATAGTATTTTCAAAAAGATTACATGGCTGAAATTCTTAAAATAGCAAGATGGCCACTATGTTGTGGCCTTCGTCCAAAGATAAATCCCTGCATGTTTTTTACTGCTGTATAAGGGTCATGTCGTAATCATAAAATTTGAAAAATGTTTGCCAATTTTTCACATCACAATTTGAATTGAGGGTTTTGGTCTTATTACCTCACCAAAAATTCCAAAATACAAATGCAGTGATCAATGTATTTGTTCACATCTTCTGGATCTCTAACTTAGATACAGCCAGTTACTTATGTCAGACGTTAACAACATTTCGTCCAGTTTTCGAATATCGCCATTTTTCTTGGAGCTGTTTGTTTTAACTTAAGACGAAATCCTGACAAAATCATGCAATATCTCATCAAGGAGCCTAGTCAGTTCCATTTAAATTCATGAAATATTAACATGATTGTTTTTCGAATATTACTTAAATTTATTGAACCCCGACTACAATACTGTAGTTCATGGTGTTCCAGATGGAATTACTTCTAGCCAAGTATTGCCTAGAGACTCTAGTAAGCACAGGCTTATTTCACAAAAAACTAAATAATCAGAAATATGCAAATGTCATTCATATACAATATGAGTATACTTTTATTCATAATGGATTCTTTGAACTGGTTGTATGCAGGCCTCCTAGACTTCCAACAACGCGAACATCAGTTCTGATACCGCGAACTACGTTCCTTGCACTCGAACCACGAATCTCAAATCGCGAACGTGAAATCTTATGTCGCGCACCACTATTTCCTTGTTTCCGAACATATTTCTTGTACCTCGCACAGAGATCCGTTACCGCGAACAATTTGTACATAATACATCCGGGTGTTTGGGATTCCAAGTTACATGTATATACCAATATGCAACGAAGTGAAACAAGGAAACGAAATAGACAAGATGCGAGTAGAAATGATCTTGATTTACGTCATTAAATATTCAAAATTCAGTCAAAGTGATGTCATATTTGAAATCTACATGTAAAAATACATCCAAAAATATGGTTTCGAAAATTGTTTATCAACTTTGAAAATTTAATATTTTTTGAAAATGTGACTTCTAGCTCGGGTTGCACCGATGATCATGATCTACCGTTTTTGTATAGTTAATCTTTTTTCTTACACTGGCTTTAGGTGCCATGTTAGTTAACAGGAAATGACAAAACAAGAAGTGACAAAACCATGCTGGATTTCAAACATTTTTTGAACCAAGATATCAGAGTTCTGCTTTGACCTCCAGTCAGTTTAACTAGTTCCACATACCATTTACATGACCATGATCACAATGACCATGGTCTGATTGACCCTAGACATGATGAAATTAATTTTTCAGCCCTCTGAAATTTGTGACTGAAAAATAGATAAAAGTAGGAGCATAGGAAAGGTCACTGAACAGAATCTCTTGCATTTTTCAGAAAATGTGCCTAATATATTGCTCTCAATGATACAATCTTGGGAAATTTGATATCATTCGTTAAAAAAGAAAAAAATGAAAAAAATTGAATTGAAAAGCGATATTTTTTCCTTTTTATGACCGCCATTTTTTCAGACAAGTTTCGAAAATTTTAAAGATTGTATCATTTAGAGCAATATATTGGGCACATTTTCTGAAAAATTCAAAAGATCCCGTTCATTGACCTTTCCTATGCTCCTACTTAAAGTTATTTACCTTGACTTTTTCAGCCAGGGCTGAAAAAGTTATTTCATCATGTCTAGGGTCATTCTGACCATGGTCAGTGTGATCCTGGTCACGCTGCATCATGCGACCTTAAACTACAAGGTTTAGTTTTATACAGTACACCTACATTGTAGTAATCAGTTATGGCTGTATTCTGTGTAGATGCACTGGCCCGCCCCTCCCTCTGAGATGGGCCCAGAAAAAAAGTGTCCGACATTTCAGCGCTCCACGTGTCTTGGGTCAGATATCGTCTTGGTTGCTGAAGTCAGGAATTTTTGGGGAACATGAGGCAAAACAATAATTTAGATCCAATGGTAAATGTAAGGAAATCTGTCAATCATCGCGAACTTTCATGTTCCATCTTATGAAGGGATTATATTTCACATTTTCTGTGATTTTTCAGAGTGTTCGAAAAGAATGTTGAGAGTAGGGCAAAATGGCCCATGGGTGGGGCAGAACAGCCCACAATGAAAGCTTCGGTTTTAAAACCAAGATTAATTAACTACAGGACTCGTTAACACACATTTATCTCAGACGGTCAAAGATTAGACAGATAAAGTATTCTTAGCCCTTACCCTAAAATTACGATTTAGTAGTCATTTGATATGTTTTGAAACAAAAACCAAGTGTTAAAATCTTTATCAGGATGATAGATTGTTATTTTCCTGTATGTAAACAGTTAATCCCACAAGCCGTAATGGGGGGGGGGGGCAACATTTAAGTTAAGTTTTCATGGCAAAGGGTAGCATCTTCAAATTATCAGTAACTGGAGCTAGGGCCCTACAGATATAGCACATCAAGCAGGCAGTATTCTATAAAATCAGGAATATTGTACATAGGGTAACTCATTTCTTTATTATGATGCAATCATCGGCTCAAATGGACAAAATTGGAAAAAGCTGTCACTAATTTGGCCATACGTGTTTTTACTCAAAAGTCAGGTTTTTGTTTTTTTTGTTATTACCCAGCCCTTTCACTGAAAAAGTCAATGCGCGTGATTGCAAGGTAGTCCCAATATTTTGTGTTTCCTAGAGCTTGAAAATACTGTTATCGTCAATGAGTGGATATTCATTCACATGCATGAAAACTGGGAAAATATTTCTTCCGAATTCCATATGAAAACACCTCCTTGGAATTTTACTTATGCGTAATAATACGAACAAAATTACGGACTTTTTTTATCAGATGCGTGGTTCTCGGTAATGGATCTCTGTGTGCGGTACAAGAAATATGTTCGGAAACAAGGAAATGGTGGTGCGCGACATAAGATTTCACGTTCGCGATATGAGATTCGTCGTTCGAGTGCAAGGAACGTAGTTCGCGGTATCAGAACTGATGTTCGCGTTGTTGGAAGTCTAGGAGGCCTGGTATGGGCATAAATTCAGTTTGTTGTGGGTTACATATCAATCCAAAGATCAATGATCTCAAGCTCATTTTCGCTGTAATTCATTGGTAATGTAAACCTCTACATGTGCTTCCTCACATATGTACATAAAATGGACAAAATGTGTGCAGGTGATCATAGGATTATTTTTGATTATTTTAGGAAATTCAACATATATGGAATATTTTAATGAGAATGTTTACAAATAAATTGCTAAACATTACTTACTGTAAACTATTGAATGTTAGACCTTATAACTGCTACACTTCTAAGGTTTTAGATCTTTTGAAAAGTGCAATGTCACCCTTGTGTAATTTTCGCTATGAATCTTATATTTTTTCTGAAAGAAGAATTGAGATTCTGATCAATTATAAAACTTTAAGTTATTGAAGAGTTGGGATTAAGAAAGGTTTCCATTTTATTGATAGAGAGTGATTCTCATTTTATGATTTTTTCCAGAAATGATTTAAAAACAAATGATTTTCCTGAAATAGTTGGTCCTTTAACTCAGTGGTAGAGCAATCGCCTTGTAAGCGAGGGGTCGTGGGTTCGATCATCACTGGGGTTGACGGACTTTTTCACATCAGCCCTTAGCACAGGATTTCATTCCGTGTTTTCATTAACTGATGTTTTGATGTTTTTAGAACACATGCTGACATAGAATGATGAATAGTGTAAATTTAAATCTGTTGTAGACCCATGGCTAGCATTTGTTGTACCTATAAGCAAATTCCTGGACTTCATGTCCATGGCATTTACTGAAGACAAACTCTTTTATTAATCATTATGTTTGTTACTTCCAGGTGACACATGTCTGGCACCAGATGTGAAATCCAACATTTACACAACCACAGAGACGGCAATGTCCAGTCAGACAGTGTTCATTGTAGAGTTCTCATTAGCATGTAAAAATAAACTCAAGGTATGTAGCTCAAACAAATTTGAAATTGCAATCGATTCAGCTATTTTAATTACCAAAGCTAACTACTGCTTGAATAAACCTGCATTAGTTTGACATAATCAGTCTAATAATCCAGTTTATATCTCTTCTTTCATCTAGTACTTGACAGTAAATCAAGGACGTGTTGTTTATTTTTCAGAATGTCAACGTTTATGCTGATCTCAATGGTAAGACTGTACCTGCCAGTCGCTCAGGAGATAAATATCAGGTGAGTTATTACTAATCAAATCAATTGTAAACAACACAACAAAATGGACTTCTAACCCACTCCCTTACACAATTACATTTTCAAAATTGAACAATCAACAAAATTGACTTCTAACCCTATCCCTTTACACAATTACATTTCAAAATTGAACAATCAACAAAATTGACTTCTAACCCTATCTCTTTACACAATTACATTTCAAAATTGAACAATCAATGGACCACTACACACATATGGAAAATGCATTTCTATTTTTAAGACATAGGCCTAAAGTTAGTACAATGGACCCAAGGAGGATTGGCTCCCAGAGTGCACCACCGATATTCTGTCCCATATATGGGTATGTCGTAATACAAAATTCGAATTCAAACAGCCGCCATTTTGTTCACTTCAACATTTAAATCGTGAATTTTGGTCTTATTTCCAAACGAAAAATTCCAAAACTCACAAGAAATGATCGAGATATTGGTTCGAATCTTTTGAACTGTTTATTTTGAATTTAAATTCGGTTTTAATTTCAGAAAATAACGACATTTCGACGTTTTCATTGTTGGAAAATATCGAGTTTCGATCCTGGGAGCCAATCCTCCTTGCAATGGACCTAGAAATATCCATTTAGAAACGTATATTAGATATATATATGGGGATCATTTGATTGATTACTCTTGGTGTGGAATGGGGTAAAGCTTGTCTTTTCCTTAAAGACATGTTAGGATTTCTCAGTGTATTATTGCACTGTGGTCCTTTACACTTTTAAAATGAATGAGATTGTAATCAAGTGTGCACACTTACATCAATCATAGGGTACATTTGGTCTGATCATGGGCTTTCAGTAGAGCCCATGGTCTTATAAACAAAATTCCTATCATATCATCTCTTTTCTATCTTATCTATCAATACTATAGTCATTTGGTTGATATGTTTTATGCATAATGCAAATTGAAATAAATTCTGATTCTAATAATTATATGAAAGAAAGACTAGGCATTTGCGGTTGCAAAGGACTCTATTTGTTTTGTTTTATGTTAAGTAATTTAAAACTGACTGCAGTAAAACCTGATTAACCTAAACAACATTGTGACTTGCCAAAATCGTTCTGATTGATGTGTGCTCATATTTTTAGTTTCTTTGCCACATTTCTACTAGGGGTATTTAAAGATGAGACTGATAAAATTGTTTACATTGAGAGGTATAAAACTAATAGTAGAGACATGTTCAGATATACAGGCTCTACCTACTCTTTTTGCTCATATTGTTGCTCTTTTTCTTCAGGTTAGCTTCAGTGATGAGCACAAGAAACTGTCCTCAGGCACATATACAGTAAGATTCTTTGATGAAGAAGGCTATGCAGCACTCAGAAAGGTGAGTAAGACTCAAAATATCACCCTGTTCAAATAAAGTGTATAGTCCATTACCTACTAAAAACACTGTTAAAAGTCCTTTCATTAGCAAAATGAAGACCAATTTCTTAAGGTTTTCATTGGTTATGTAATATCAATTTAAATCTTGAACTTTCCCAAAATAACTCTTCTTTTCTTTATTATTAGTTTGTGTTTCAATGACAGCATTGTCCAGATGTTTAAAACTGGTGGAATTTGGGGACCTCCACTTTATCTTTGGCACCCTGCCTCTTTATAAAAAATATTTTATATGTTTTTCAGGCTCAAAGAGGAGGTGATGATACATCAGCCGTCAAGCCACTTTTCACACAAGATGTTGTTCATAAGGTCAGTATCATTGATGTTTACCCATAAACATCATATAAAGGGAGGAGTAAAAGTAGACAGCATATATCACTGACATGTATCTGTTGACTATAGACTTTATCTACAAGGGCCTTCATAAAAACTCTTCTCTCTCTTAACTTTGCATAGTTTCATAGATGTGTCTCTGGCAATCAGTTTTAAAGTAAAGAAGAAAGAATTGATCAAGGCATGGATGTTAACCAAATATTGTTTTACATTGCAGGGTGCGTCAAGTGGTCAATACGTACAGAGTGAATTTGTTGCAACAAGTGCTGCTCTCCTCGTCTTTTACTTCGCATGGAACGCCCGATCCAATCTTGGAGCATAGTTTAATAAATAATATAGCAATAAAAAATATCTCATCATCTGCCATTTTAGAATTTGAACGTCATTACTTACTTAAATACAATCGTATCATGACAATTTCATAACTTAAGACATTCATTATTATAGATGTTTTTATCTCTAGAAATTAGTGTTTCAATCATGTACAAACAAATGTAATGTGTAAAGCTCACATTTTTATCAAGTTGTGTATATTTCATTGTGTAATATCTAGTGTAAATTACCATGTATTTCATTCCAGTTTCAGAACTAATTTTTGTACATGTTCTTATACAGAATGTAATATTGTATAATATTAGAGAAACTTGTGCGAAAGCAGCCCTTAATAAAAAAAATTACAAAACAATATAGATTGTTGCCCAGATGTGACTGAGCAAAAGCTTAGATTCACGGGTCTTCTCAAAGAATCTGCCAGTCCTCCTATTACGCCGCCTTTTTGGCCATTTAAGGAGATTATCGTTTTGTATAAACTCTACTTTTTGCTCATATATGGAGAGGTGTTACAATGTAGGATAGTCATTTTGAAGTGAGAAATTCTGAATATTCTCGTGTCTATTACTCAATACTTGTATATTGCACCATTCTTTCATCATATTGGCAATATACACCTGAATAATCTATTGCCGAGTAGTTAATTGTATTGGTTTTGACAGAAATTAAGAGAAAGTTCGAGGAGAATCTGGTCATATTATTATACAGGTGTTAAGATATACATTCAGGTTTTACAAACATATATCATATTAAAACAAAACAATGATTTGGGATAATCAAGGATTCAACAATTTATTTTGACATTTTAGGGTCATACAATATAAAACAATTACAGTAGTGAACAATGAAATATACTTCCTAAACATCTTACAATTTGAAACTGTAACAATATTTTGCAATAATATTTAGATTTAGTTTTAGAGGATTTTTTGTTGAAACATCAAGAGTCCTTTAAATTCCCAGAAAATGTCTTATCTAGTACAGAATTCTAATTTGATACAATAAAAACAGTACAGAACAGATAGCAGACTAAATCTCAGAAGAAATGCAATGGTTAAATAATTTACACAGAGTTAATACAGAATAAGAGTTTTATGGTGCTTTATAACACATAACATCTACTACAATGGCTAAAGAAAGTGTGGCTTGTTGCACAACATATTCATATGTACCATCAACACCATTCAAGCCTGGTCATATGGAAGTATTAGTGGCTCAAGCTGAACAATGTGAACAATGAATATGGTATCAACTAAGCTACATTGACTTGCATTGACTTGGCATCAGAGAGCATGAGTCAATGGTAACATTCAAAAGCTGGCTCTGAAGATGGCTCGCACACTTCACCATTAATATACACAGGTATTACTGTATGAAATATGTGTTGATATATGAGTAGAACAAGCCACCAGAGTTCAGTGATTTGTTACAATATGGTCTAATTTTATACTAATTAACTCATAGTCAAATACATACATCTATAGTGTTTAATATGTACCAAATGTGTCTTCAAAATAATAGAGCTCACTTAGTTTACCAGAAGTAAGCTTCTGGATGAGATCTTTAAATCTACTGCTTAAAATCATCCTTCATTCCATGATGGTAAATGGACTGAACAGAAAATCTCGCTGGACCGGTGCTTTTGTCACACCCAGAGTTGAAATGAGTTACTTTACTAGTCTAACAAGTACATGAAGCAGAATGCTACTACATAATATACTTATAGTTTGGATATCATGTTGCCCATTATGAATAGTGCTCATTTTCCCCTACGACTCAAGGTTTTTCTTTTATGGAGTGTGTTAGGTTTTGTAAAAATGTAAAAACCAAAACTTCCAGATGAATCATTTTTAAATATGTATTTGGCACAGATATCAGAATTTTTATTAGGAAATACATGTACCTCCTAAAGTAAGCGAGTTTTTCTTTATGTATTTCCGAAGACAAATTCTGCCATCTGTGGTATTTGGAGAGATATTTGGGTGATCAAAATAAGTCAGCTTTGTATCAATCAGAGACAAGGGCACAAGACTGCATGCAGTAGATATTAAAATTAGTTTTTACAAATATAATTAGTCACAACTTTTAAGGTCTACGCTACAATACAATTATATGAAATACAAGCAAATAAGACGAGTTTTATAAAAATGTGTGCATATTTTAAGAACAATTGATAAATATCACAAAGTAAAAATGTTAAATTTAGGCCTATTCCATATGTGGGGGAGGGGCAGTTCTTACACCCCCCTCCTTAACAAATTAATAGATTTACTTTTTTACGTAAAGCTCCAAGAACCGGGAGTGAAACATGCCATTGTTCAATTGCAAAATCTCCCATCATTTACTTTTTGTTTTTATTTCATATCCTCACCCCACTTCTAGATCAAACCTGACATTCCCCATTACTTTCACTATTTTTTACCCATTGACACATGTTTCATAACATCCCTAGCTCAATTGGAATTGCTTAAAACTGGGTAGAAAGGAAAAGTGTAGTGATACCGTTATGTAATATATGATCACTTCTGTAATATCTTTTCCGAATAATTATTTCATGCAGACCTATTTTAACAGTACAAGTTGATTCAGATCATATTAGACACAAAACATAAGTATCATGATTCTGAACACACTTCATAGAGTAACGCAGTGTTACAGTTAGAGTAAAGCAGTTGTTATGTTGTTATGCAGTGTTACAAGTTCTATGTATTTTATATAGTACTGAACATGGTGAATTATATACGTAGAACAAAAAATATGCACACAAATATCGAAATTATAGAGTCTACTAGACTATGTCTTAGTAGACATTTCTTTTACAGATGCTTTCTTAAGACTGTTGTCTGAAGCATTACATTCCATGTGTTGATCATGTCAACGTTTTTGTTTCTTTTATTTGAAAAGTAGACGAGCTGTAGATGTAGTTTATGCTACTTTAAGTAACTCCAGGTTTCTTGTCCTAAGGAGTAAGTTTTTCATATCTCACTTTTTTCTATCTAAATGCCAACCCCATAAGGCATGATAGCCTGTCATTATATACCTTTAAACCTCAAATAAGGTCAAGTTACGTTTTCCTTATGTTTTCCTTATATTGCCTTCTTTCTCAACTAGCTCATGCAAACGAATTGCTTAAGTTTGGAGCAAAGATGTTTTAATTGAAACAATTTTTTGTTTTTTGTTAGCTAGATTTTTACAGCTAGCTTTTGAAGGGCCATTTGCCACTTCAGATTGAAATATCTCGTAACATACACAACTCGAGCAAAAATCCATCAAAATTTTAGCAGTAAAATTTCCGAAAACTTTTCTAAAGATATTTTAGATTTCTTCGAATATATAAACATTACATGATGGATCCTTGATACAGTATGTGTATGTAAATTAGATTTTTATAAAAGTTAAAGATTTAAACGTCTGAGAGTCTCTCATCTCAACTTTGACGTTCCAGATTTTTTGAGTTTCTGGTTTGAAAAACGTGAGTGATACCATTTCATACAAGGGGCAAAGCACAATAGAAATACAAATTATACAAAGTGTCAAAATACAAATATGCATTATATTTAATAACATACCATTACTGTTATCAATATATATTCTATGATTCTGATCGTTTCAATAGTATTTGTTAAAGAACATTTTCTATTTACAATATTCAAGTGTTTATATATCTTATCCACTTCAAGGAGCACTATACTAGAATGAGATTGTTGTCAAAAAACATGAAAATGCAATGTTAGTGTGTTTCCTTGTAGCTGTATTGTTTCAACAAACTAGTGAGGAATGGTGTCGAATTATCAAATAAAAAAAAAATTACAAAAAATTCAATTTCAATATGGCTCGTATAATGAAATTAAATTTGAGAATGTTGATTTGTCTTTGAATATTCAAAAATTAGCCAATGAAATCATCATCTACCAACCTTAACGAAACTGTCTTACTTCCACAACTGTTGATAAAATGACACAATCCTAAACTCCAAGCTGATTATAGTTTAAACATAATGTATTAGAATCTTATATGGTACTTTCAAAAGCATGTTGTTAAAATTGTGATATTATATTATACTGCGTCAGTGTAATAATCAATAAATATCAATCTTTTATGATATTATAATTTCTCGTTTTCATCTCTGAATTTCATCTCCTATACTAGTAAACAGCAAGATGTTATATCATCAATTTAAGAAAATGTTGAATTGATATTCAACATTTAAAATGTATTTTTTATGTTTTTTTTAATTTTCTTTCATATCAAGAGATATCAGGAGTATATCATACAAAAGAGAAAGACGTGATATAACACTGCCTGAATCAGGACACACTGCCTGAATCAGGACACACAGCCTGAATCAGGACACACTGCCTGAATCAGGACACACAGCCTGAATCAGGACACAGCCTGAATGAGGACACACTGCCTGAATCAAGATACATATGTTTAAATTGAAGTGACAAGTATCACCTTGAATAAATCCAAAATGGATTATTTTTGAGAAATGCAAGCAAATAACTTTCAGATTTCATATATGTCAAAATTGTTTAATATTAAGGGAATTATAAGGTTACGTTTGTGTATATCAATTCCAACACTGGAATTGCATACAAAGTGTATTGTTCACTGATTCAGAAAGTGTTATATCAACCCAATGCATGAAATGGTATCACCACAAAATAAACTCATACAACTTGAAACAAGATATTATATTTATAATTTATATATACTTGCAAGGCATGCAATACTCAACTAAATTGTTTTTACATTTGCTTTTTTGCCAGAATTACTTTAAACTAACCCCTTCCCACATTGTTGTTGTTGTTGTTGTTGTTGTTGTTGTTGCTTTAAGCTTTAGCTTGTTTTATTTTTCTATTTAATATTTATGGTATTTCAGCTTTTAAAGAACTACTTTATATTTAAGTTTGAAAGAATAATAAGTTCACCATTCACCTCAATCTAATAGACTATTTTGCCGTTTAACTTTAGTTTGGTAATTGAAAAAAAGATGGCAGCAGCTATTATATATTGTCACCACCCTCTATTATCCCAATTGATTTTTTGCCCTAAACACTGTCAAAATAATAGTAGAAATGTACAAAAATAATACATTCCTTTAATATAAAAATCTGTCAAAAATAAACAAATCCCATCAAAACTGTAGAACCTGGCTTTGAATGGCAAATGTATAATAACTTTATGGAAGGAAAATGATTCCATAAATAAATACTAAGACATGATAATACCAAAATGACCAATGCTTAGTTGAAATTTTTTGAAAATCTCAGAAATTATAAGCACTGGCTCATTTCTTAAACAAGGCAATGAAATCATTTTCCATCCATTATAACACTAGACCCCTTAGACCATACACAAACCTGCCTCATATAATAACAACATGTGACCTTGCAATGAAGCACATGGATGAGCTAAGGGGTCTTAAAATATATGCACCAACTCCATGGATCAATCTACTATATTTAAACTCGTATTGATTCCACTATCAGGACTACGCGGATCGCCATTAATTTTGTTGTCTGCATCCATGAATTGTCCTATCTCCCCTGTCATTGGTTGTTCAGAGAATGTTGCACTGGTATCTAGTGAACTATCGCCCCTGGAAACAATTGACTACATTTATTTACAATAATCTTGATTTTAAGAGATATTTCTAAAAAGAAATGAGGCCAACCATGTTTGCAAATGGGAGTGGTCTCCCCAGGATTTTTTGTGTGGAAGATTTTGATATTTTTTTAATGCAACACTTTAGCATTTTGTAATTTTTTGTGCAACATTTTACAATTTTGTAATTTTTTGTGCAACATTTTAAAATTTCTTTATCTTTTATTGTAACATTTTATGAGCCGCATCTAATTGCATTGAGGAACATTTTGCTTTTATACAACACATGGAGGTGCTGGCCCTCAGAGATTTCAATGTAGAGAGAGCACTGAATGGTATACAATTCTGTAAGTTGTGCTTACTGTCCCTCTATGGTACACCCCCTGCCCCGTCCTGCTGGAGACACCTTCGTTCTCTCAGCTAGGGATATCTTGGTAATATCACGACTGTTGTTGCCCCCTTTATGGAACCTCTGTTGGTATTGTTGACCTCCCCTGCCACCACGTCTTGCTTGCTGTGCTGCATACATGGTCTGCTGTTGGTGCTGTTGATGGGGCAACATCATACTCACACCCTACAATGGTTCAAGAATATTTGCATATAATCAATGACCCCTATATGCAAGGAATTAACATACCACTTGCCATATGTCAAAGATGCCCAATGTTGACCGTTGAATGGCAAATACTGAATATAGACCACCTAACACTGTCCACAAAAAAAAGTTGGAGACTATTTACAATATGTCACCAATTCTGGTGGTGACATACTGTAGATACACTTAATTTGACGCTACTTAATTTGGCGGATTTCCTCAATTTTAAATATTGGCTGCTATTTAATTTAGTGGGGTCAGGACTGAGCTCAAGTTTTATCATAAATCTGAAATGTTTATTTCAGATTCATGTGTTCTGGTTTCAGTAAGTCTTGGTATAGCACTGACATCCAAACTGCAATACTTACACAAGTGAAATAATGGCAAATTACAAATTCTCTAGGGATTTCCCAAAATAGATCTGAAAATTGGCGTATTTATAATTTGGCGTATTTTTCCAATCCGCCAATCCGTCAAATTAAAACTGTAGCCAAATTAAGTGTATCTACATTAATTATGTTTAATTAGGCCATATAAAGTTGATCATAATATTGATTTACAACAATTGATTTACTGGGGTACAAAGGAAATCCTGTTTAAGACAAATAACATATTTTAATAAGAGTCTAGTTAATGTAGTGTCTGTTGTGATTGGATACTTTATCATATTACTATTGGAACCATAACAATAACCATGATTCCTGATTTATGGCAAATATTTGACTTCAGATTTTATTCTCCTCGATTTCAGTTTTCGCAATGAACAGAATAAAATCTTACATCATATGTTTTACTATATAATAAAAAATCATAGAATTTGGATCTTTATTTCTAATAATTATTTTATGTTTAATGCCTTGATAATCTTTTCATGCAATAAAAATCAGAAAAATTGTTGACTTGGGGTCCCAATTTATAATTTTTCGAATCGTTCTGTGGTAAAACAACAATTAGATGATTGATTACCAAATAAATCTATTTAGAAGAAATGACAGGTCACAGCTGACATTTCCAAGAAACCTATTTATTCATGCCTTTTAAAGACAACTGAATCCAGCTCTTACTTGGTAATGTGTGAAGGGGTCCTGATATTGTAGATTGGTTCCCATGTGTGGGTTAGCACCTATTGCTGTAGGATTGTACGGTTGTTGGTAGGCTGATGGGTTGGGGGCCATACCTCCTCTGCCGCCGCCTCTCATTGCTGGACCTCCCCTGGAATTCACAAGGAGAATTAGTGGTGTAGTGGCAGTCAAATGTAGGCAGGAAATGGTACGATTTTATCAAATTGGTTTAGTTTGGCTTAGTGCCTACTTTGCCTAAATTATGTGAACAATTATTCATTATGTGTTGAAATGATTTATCACACCAAGAAATCCTAACTATGATATGTATATACTAGGGGTGAGACGACAACCCGATGAGTCGAGGACTCGCGGGTTTGGGGCTTCGAGTCGAGTCGAATCGAAGTTGATGAATCGAATCATTTTCGAGTTGAGAAAAAAATTCGAAAAAATAAAAAAATTCAGAAAAATACTGTCAATATGCATGTTTATACTCGATATTGCGTTGAATATATAAGTTTCAATGACTTGGATATGCTTGTATTAAATTATTATATTGTATGTACACATAAATGAAAGAATATATGTAATAAAATCAGAGTAATCTTACGACGAATTGTGTTTGTTTATATTTCCAGCTTTCCACCATTGACGCATTAAAAATACGAACGGTCAAAAGCGATGTTGTTCGCACTTCGTGCGACTCGAGACGGATTCGAAACTCGAATCGTCATTTTCTGACTCGAATCGGATTCGACTCGAATCGGATTTTTTCGACTCGTCTCACCCCTAGTATATACTATAATAATGTAAGCAGAAATTGAAGAAAAATAAACAAAATTGCACAATGTATTTTCGCACTAAGAATCATTTCATAATTGCGTTGTACAGTTCAGTTACCTGCGCTGTTGTCCTGGTCCTACTGATGTAACCTGGGGAGCTATATGTGTGGACCTTCCTCTCCCTTTATTCCCACTTCCTCCCCAGCTGCCGACCACTACACCTGCAATCTGCAATTCTCCCCCTCTCTGATCAACTGGACCCCTTGGAGCTTGGTGCCCTGCAATGTGGATCATTTAGGTTTTCATCCTTTTCTAGTGGAACATATACAACTATACATATTGCAGGTGTTTCATTAGCAGCAGGCAACAGGTTATTTTCACCAGTTGTTTTCACAAAATTGCCTGTTGTTTTTTGAGACTTTTCAACTTTTCCATGTTAAATCTATGATTTCCATTTATTTAGCCTGTTGTGAGAAAATCTACTTCTGTAAATTGCTTTAATTGGACAGCTGTTTTAATTTGACGGATTTATAAATTAAATAGGTGCCAAAATGTTTTAGCATCAAATTAAAGCAATTTTAGCTTAGTGTCCAACACTTCAAATCACCAAAATGACAAGACATGAATAGTAGAAATCTATTTTCATTCTGATTTTGAAAATGGATAATAAAACTTGATGCAATACATACTTTTACATTTGAATCAATAATTTAATGTGTCAAAATGGCTTGAATAATATTATGCAGTACATGCATGTATGTGGATTATTTTAACATTATTCATCTTTGTTCACTCGGCTCCTGTAGGGTGTAGGATGAACGCAGTGAAGACCAGAGCGTGCGAAGATGAACATTATTAGCATAATTTAACATTTATTTTAAGTTATTCTAGATGGATTTGATCAAACATCGGAACAAACTGTTTTATTTTACATTTAAAGTTTGCCTTTTATGACAACTTCACTCTGAGGGGAGAGGCTATTTACTGCAAGAGATCTATTGTATCAAATGTCACATCATTTGTATTTATTGTGATGTAGAACACATGGGGTATGATGTTATAAATATAGCAGACAAAACTAATGGTGGCAGCGGGAGTTTTGCCAGGAGTTTCCAATCGTTTTGAAACCACATGTATGGCTGCCCTTGAAAGTTCAGTGACTCACAGTTCAAGTTATGTGACGTAATGTACAAGTTTATTCAAGTGCTCTGTACTGGAAGTCTCAGGTCATTTCAACCAATGTCGTCAATATAACTTAAGAGTACACAAAAATATATTGATAAATTTAGCAATGACAATATCACCACCCTGGATCTTATCAGACATACAGACGATTTGTTACGAAACTGAATCATTGATCTTAATGGAAACAAATATAATCACTGTGCAAGGTTATTTTGTTTTTGACATGGTAAATTGGTACAGCCCAATATGTCGTCATTTTTTGAGTTTGGTGAAAATGTCCTCTGGGTTTGTATTTAGTTTTCTTTCTGTTGTACTCCTCATTACTAATAAAAGAGAGCTATTCTGTAGTTTCATTGTCTGAATAATTGAAGGAAATAACTTAAACATTGGGGTTCTTAGTAGGTGGTCAGATGGTTAACAAAAACTGTAGAGTACCTGATATTTGACCTGCCTCCTAACATTGTGAGAGAAAATTAAGAATATGTGAAAACAAAAAAAACAAAACCTTAATCCAAAGATATAGAGTAAAAAAGCAACAGGGAACGAATACAAGGCATTAACATTAACACCAAAAAATTGGTCAATTTGAAGCAAGATGAAAAGAGATCGTTTTGACCTTGAGAATGTCATTTAAGGTCAAATCTTTTTTGACCTTGAGAATGTCACTGAAGATGAAATTTATAGCCAGATTTGAATTGTTGAGAACTTGAGATAACTTTGAGATAATTTTGAAAAACTGGTCAATTTAAAGCAAGTTGAAAAAAGACCCTTTTGACCTTAAGAAGGTCATTGAAGGTCAAATCTAAAGTCAGATTTGAACTTCTGATACTTGTAGATGGCTTTGAAAACAAGAACACAAATGTGTACAAAATGTCCCCACCAATGAATGATCCCATCAAATGGTTATCCTGAAAATGAGTAGACAAGACTTTACTGACACAATTTGAGGACGGAAAATCCAAAATGGCCGCCTTTGAAATTGATCCGTCAAACAGTTAAACAAGACTTTACAGACAAGATTTTAGGATGGAAAATCCAAAATGGCTGCCTTGACATTTACCCAGAATGTCAAAAAACTAATCAGTTCTAGGTTTTCATACTAAGAATCATCCCTGAAAATTTGAAATTGATCTACCAAACGGTTCACCTGGAAATGCGTAGACAAGACTTTACAGACAAGATTTTAGGACGGAAAATCCAAAATGGCTGCCTTGACATTTACCCAGAACGCCAAAAAACTAATCAGATCTAGATTTTCATACTAAGAACGGTTCACCTGAAAATGTGTAGACAAGACTTTACAGACAAGATTTTAGGACGGAAAAAACCAAAATGGTTGACAATAAAAAAGTGATTATGAGTTTTTGCTGATTTCCTTTTACAAAATTATCACATATACATGTAACTACTGTTAACAATAACATAGGCTTTTTCAACAAAGTTCACCTGAAATTATTTATAAAGCTACTAAATAGTTAAAGAATGAAAACTCAAAAACACCATTCAATATGATACAAAGTATTATCGCGCGCTAACTTTTCTTCAGACATTCAAAATGGCTGACATGACTGAGCTAACAGGTCCAAAACCTAATCAGATGTAGAATGAAGTGAGCTGAACAAGATGTTAAAGTTTTAAAAGCAACTGTGAAGCCGTTTTTCTTAAAGTTTGCAGACAAGGATTTTAGCATTTGACCTCAAAATGGCCGACAGGAAGTAGGTATCGAGTTAATTTTTTTTCATCCACATCTGTATGCACTCACAAGTTATTCCTGAAAATTTGAAGGTGATACCTGTAGCGGGTTTGGAGAAAACTGCCGGATGTACGGACGGACAGACAGACAACCAGCAGACAGACAGACAGACGGACGCGCCTAGGACGACAATATGGCCCCACACTATGTGGGGACATAAAAAGGGTCAATTTGAAGCAAGTTGAAAAAATACCTTTTTGACCCTTTTTTGACCTTGAAAAGATTATTTTGAAAAAAATTGAAGTCAGTCTAAACAGTATTTGTTAAAGTTATTCGAAGTTGAAAGAATTTGTTACAGACGCCGATTGCCAACCGCCAACCACCACCACTTTTCGGTGGTGACATAAAAACTTACATTCTCTAATTATTCTTATTTTGAAAGTTCATACTGAAACTAGATAACAGCAGACATTTTCAAAATAAGGTCTACCCCCTAAGGCACATGTCTACAGAATATAACAAAAACCAGCCAAAGTTATTTTGAGTTATCGCCCAGACAGACTTTCCCTATATCCCTCCAAACTTCTTTCGATGGGATAATAAGGAGTCAATAGTAGCATCTTCCTTGGCACAAACTTATCCCATGATTCCATGACACAACATGAACTTCATTCAGTGGGATAATAGTAAAATAGTATCAGCAATTCACCATAACCAAAACACCAATGCCAAAAGTCTCTCAAAAATAGCTACCTGATTTTTGTTTCAAATCTTCTGCAAAATAAATGATGATATGCATAACATTTTTGAGAAATGAAATGGTAGTATTATATTATACTACTGTGCATGGCATTTTTGAGAAATGAAAGTATTATTATACTATTGTATTTAACATGCATAACATTTTTGATGCAGGGGAAGTCTTATTTAAGTGCCCTTATAAGTGCAAATATCGTAACATAAGTGTTTATTGTATTGATAGTCTTAAATGCTTGTTCTTAAGTAACTTACATAGTATTATGAATCAAAATACTTTTATTAGTGTTAAATAGTATGAGAATCAATTTGTATTTATTTATGGACTGATCATACACAAAATGTGCAAATTAAATATCATTGGCATACTGCTATCGAAATCTCTGGTGTCATATGTACATATATTATATCAAAGAGTGGTTGTAATTCCAGTTTAGCATATATTGTAATAATTACACTGTCAAATAATGGTCATGAAAAGGACCAGCTAGAGATTATATAAGAAAAGGTTCTCATAGGTTGGGCCCTTCTAATTATTGGGTTTCAAAAGTGACATATCGGATAATGTTAATTTCAAATAAAGCACCATGGTTACAAATCAGAAAGCTGACACTAAAAGCCAATCACAAAACAGGCTTTTCACTTTATACCCCATTTTTACCAAAAAAACATGGTCCATATTTAACAACAGCCTCTTATCAATAAATAATTGTGTTTATGTGTATTGCAGATTTGACTGAGCATAACTTAACATGCTAAGTCACAGAATTTTCTATGGAGGGCAATCAATCCCATCAGCCTATTTTTCCAAATGCACCTCAAAGTAGCTACCGCAACATGATTGGCTACACCATGAGTGTTATGAGCATTGGGAACAGATCTGAAGAGGAGGTGGTGTGCACTTATATAATTACCTACAAAGTCCCCTAAGAGACCAGTACCTCGACCAGTGCCGCGTCCTCTAGCTGCAGGCATCATGTTTGGGCCAGGTGGACCACACATACGCAAACCTTGAGAAGTGCCCATTCCTGAAGATAAGGCAAAAAACTATCCAATAAGAGTTCTCTTTTTTATTTCATAATGTTAAACAAATGAACTGTGCAATGTATTTGTTTTCATTTGGTGAAATTTTGCAATATGAACACTAGGGGTCCCACGATACATCATCTTCAATTTCGATACGAGCAACGATATTTACCTCACGATACGATACAAACGATACGAGCAGTCTTAGTGCATAACATATAAATTTACTATAAGAACATGTGGGTAAACAAGACATTAACATGCCAAATGTGCCAACCGCTAAACTTTGTACTCGAGAAACAGTATGAATGTCCTAAAGCTAATGTCCACTAGTGTCAAGTGTCCACCAATATATAATCCATGATTTATCTGATATCACTCAGAAGGCAAGTCTTAGTACTGGCGATGTAGACTAAGCTAATACATTGAGACCTCACACATGGTACTTGATTCATCTTTCTTTAAAATACCACTGTCCTTGGCGATAATTAGGGAGCAAAATGGTCCAATACCTTTGTTCTTTCGAGAATTTTATTTTCCTAGTTTTTTTCTCCGACCAGAAGTACATTCTACGCCAGATTACGCTAGGTAATTAACAAAATGGAAAATACTACTGAACATGATTTTGCTGTTTTCGGAGGTTAAAACAATACAAGATTTTAACAGATATTCAAGGTGAGTATGGATACGCTCATATCGTGCCTAACAGCTCGAGCGCACACGCAAATCCGAGCAAGTAGGATGTCTATTATGACATAATTGTATTATGACATACCTGCTGGCATGCCTGCTGGTCTAAGCATGGGGTCTCCCTGGTACATATAAGGATTGTTGGGGATCAGGGGTAACTGGGGCCTTGCAAAGTCTGCCTTCAAGCCCTCTAGGATTGCCTGTCTCATCCTCTCTACCTTCATCACCTGGTCAACCTGGAATATGGAATTACATGTATATATTACTCTCAAGACTGCGATTGTAAAATTGGTCAAAACAGTCACATGTCATATTCACTGGCCATGCTTGGAAAATTAGATGGTATTTGCTCATACTGCATTTTTGTCTTATTTACAACCAATTCAAACATGACTGTGCTCTCATTGAATTTCTCAACCAATCAAGATGCAGCATAGCCAATAATGAACGTTCTTTATTTCTCCATACATGCACAACCGTGCTCTATTCAATCTGCTTCCAGGAATCTATGTTAATGTATTGTGTTGTATTATGACGTCACACTTGGAAATGGCGAAAATAATGATTAAGCTGGTTAGAACAGTGTGTGAAATATCAATAACACATGCAAGGTTACAAGTTAAACAGTTGTCATGGTCATGAATGGACTTTCCACATTGGATTTGATGACTTGTTAACTTGACCCTTGCAAAGAATTTCATTGAAAATGTGTTCTTTTCGTGATTTTGTTCATTTTGGATGATTTTGTAAAAAGAAATTGCAATGTGTGAAAAGAATTTAAGTCCAATACTCAATGCATTGTAGCTGCTTCATTCCACCCAGGCGTTGTTTCCTAAACTTTTGGACTTAAGGTTTGAAACAACACCTTCATGGTATGATTCAGCAAACAATGCACTGAGTCCAGGGCTTAAATCCTTAAACAATGAATGTGTCTTCAATCTGCACTACAGGGTGTTCAAAAAAACGCAACCCAAAGAAATCGCTATATCTTGGAAAATACTAATCCAATTATGTACATATTTTCAGGAAAGAAAGACTAGACTGTGTATGTATAGCCCCTGTTGTTGGTTGTAAAACATGATGTCTTGGACACTTGCTCAAAAGACAGTTTCAATAGCAAAAATACGAAAAACATGAATGGAAAATCACTATATCTTGGAAAATACTGATTCAATTATGTTCATTTTTTCAGGAAAAGAAAGAAGAGACTGTGTATGTATAGCCCCTGCTGTCAGTAAGTTGTAAAACATGATGTCTTGGACACCAACTCAAATGACAGTTGTACTATGAAAATATGAAAACGCAGTCAGATGTGACTGCCATAGCAATAAAGCCAAATAACTTTCTAACCATAGTGTTTTGACTCTTGAGATTTGGCACAAATTATCCTCATTCAATTTGTGGAGTTTTATCAAAATCACTCCAGGGACTTTACAGTCATGGTCAAAATGCCTTCTTAAGTCTCCCTGAACCAGGGCGTTTGACTGCGATTTGAAAACATTTTGACCATGACTGTAAAGTCCCTGAAGTGATTTTGATTTCTCTCTACAGATTTACCATACAGTGAATGAAGATGATTTGTGCCAAATTTTAAGAGCCAAAACACTATGGTTAGAAAGTTATTTTCGTTTTTTCCTGTTGCAGTCACCCCTGACTATGTTTTTCGTATTTTCCTACAACTGTACAACTGTCTTTTGAGCAGGTGTCCAAGGCATCATGTTTTACAACTAACCTTTTACAGGAGCTATACATACACAGTCTCTTCTTTGTTTCCTGAAAATATGAACATTATTGAAACAGTATTTTTCAAGATATAGCGATTTCTTTGGGTTGCGTCTTTTTTTTAACACCCTGTATTTCAATCTGGAAGTCATTCACAATTTCAAAAGGTAATAACATCCAAATGTTTGGACAGCTTTGTGAAGCTTCTGACACTCTTAATATTACTAGGTCACAGTGATAAGAAAGGACAATTTATGAAGGTTGAAAACAAATGCAGTTCAAAAAGCAAGGCCTGATTTGTCTAATTTGTTTAATATGGAACGGTTACATTGATTTACAATACAAATCCACAAATATGACATCAATGATAAAAATGTTCAATACTCAATCAATGTTCCTATTCATCAAAGACCAGAGAACAACCAATACTAATATAAATAGGTAGTGTATTTGATAATCTACGTCAGAATAATTTATCAGCACATGTTTAATGCCATCAACAATTAACCATCTCGTCTAATAACAATACACTGTATATTGTTACTATGTATATATTGACATGAGCTCTAATCAGAGAATGAATGCCTAATTGGGATCTGGGAAAGGGCAAAATCGACAATACCTTAATTTCAATAATAACTAGGTAGTATAATAAAGAGGAGTGTCAAAAATGTAATTGAAGCAAATAGATAAAGTGTCAGAGTTAGATGAAGTTTGCTTTTAATTCAAACTACATGTTTTGGCAAGCGTACAGCAATGTCATCTTGTCATTTTCAAATAAATATTTTCAAAATGAATCACTGGTTGTCATTGAAAGATTTGTCCAGCTTGGGAGAGCATGTTATTTTTCATAATAACACTAAGAAAACTTCCCAAATTCCTTTTTAACTCCAATGTTTCATTATACCAATATATCAGTTGCAGATAACCTTCACTTCTGTTTGAACTCCAACCAGAATAACGGCAATGCCAAAGCGTAGCGAATCCCATCGAACAGAAATGGCTGGCATTTTTACAAACGAAATAAATAGCAAATATCATAAAACAACACACCAGAAAGGCCACCATTTTCAAAATGGTTGCTCACTAGCCAAGTTGTCATCAGAAGAAATAATATGCTTTTAAGAAGCTACCTATAAAATTTTTGAAAAATCCAAACATGTACTTGTAAAATAACACACATAAAAATGGTGGCCATTTTTCAAAATGGCCGACTACTCCCCAAAGTTTTATTAGACAATGTGCCATGCTAAGAGTATTCACATATCAAATATGAACAAAATTGCTCCACTACTTTTCGAGTTATAGTAAAAAATGTAAAATGACAGCCATTTTTTAAAATGGCCGCCTACTATCCGAAGTGTCATGAGACAGTGTGCAAGGCTCATGAGTATTCACAAATCAAATATGCACAAATCGCTTCACTACTTTTCAAGTTATAGTAAATTACGTTAAAATGGAGCCATTTTTAAAAATGGCCACCTTCTACAAAAAGTGTCATTAGACAGTGTGCCATGCTCTTAGTATTCACATACCAAATATAAACAAAATCGCTCCACTACTTTTCAAGATATAGTAAAATACATTAAAATGGCGGCCATTTTTCAAAATGGCCACCTTCTACCAAAAGTGTCTTTAGACAGTGTGCCATGCTTATTGTATTCACATACCAAATATGAACAAAATCGCGTCACTACTTTTCGAGTTATAGTAAAATATGTTAAAATGGCGGCCATTTTTCAAATTTTTTTCAAAATGGCCACCTTCTACCAAAAGTGTCATAGGACAGTGTGCCATGCTTATAGTATTCACATACCAAATATGAACAAAATCGCTCCACTACTTTTCGAGTTATAGTAAAAAACGTTAAAATGGCGGCCATTTTTCAAAATGGCCGCCTTCTACCAAAAGTGTATTTAGACAGTGTGCAATGTTTATAGTATTCACATACCAAATATGAACAAAATCGCTCCACTACTTTTCGAGTTACAGCAAAAATCGTAAAATAACGAGTAAAGGCCGCCATTTTTCAAGATGGCTGCCATGTGCTTTTTTAATATCTACATTTGTAGCTTTATTAATGTCCTTTATAATTTTTTTACATTTAAAACATATTGCTATTACAGTTTTACATATTGCACCTAAATTACTGTAAAATCGGCACTAAAATGGCCGCCATTTTGAAATGAGCGACCATTTTGAAAATCGACTTTCGAGCAGAACTTCTACCCCCATAGGGTATATGTGTACAAAATATGAACAAAATCGGGCCAACGGTATTTGAGTTATTGCCCGGACGTACGTACGGACGGACGTACGTACGGATGGACGGACGGAGGCGTTCCCTATATCCCTCCGAACTTCGTTCGATGGGATAATAATGCTAGGAGTAAAAGCTATTGAAAGTGGGGCCAGAGGTAGTGGCGCCAGACATAATATTATCAACATATTCTTCAGTATAACTTAGAAGGTATTAAAGCAGATATGAAATGGTATTTTTAACCTAAAGGAATCAATATAATTTTTTGATAAATGTATTTGGACATGTTTTCTCATCAGTAGTGTGAAAATTAATTCACTCTAACGATCGTTATAGCTGCTTAATAAGCAATATTCTAATTGGTTGTGACGTTATTGGCCCCCAAATGATCTCTCACTGGTCCCCAGGTTGCCCGTTTTGGTCCATTAGATAATGACGTCATAATGCCAAAATGTTTTATTATTTGTTTACCCAACAATCTTATGGTTGCCGTGACGTTGTCATTACTAAGGTACCAATAAACCAAAGCTATATTTTGTATATGATGTTACTAATCACATGGGGGCCAATTTGATTGATCAGTTAATTTATTTCGTTATCTATGACCGTTAGCAGTGATCTAACATTTATTTTATCAAGGCTATCACAAGAACTCTGTTAGGCTTAGAATGGAGAAAACACCATTTTTGTAGCTGCAAGTTGAGAAAGGCTATTTCAGTTGTCCTTTAATGAGATGTAGATGTAGATTTTTATGAAAAATATAATAATGTTTAATTTTTGTGTCCAGCTTGGGGGAGTAGTTTTGTATTTCACATTTGAACTTGCTCCCCAAAGCTGGATTTTTTTTATTAAAACATATAAAAAGACCTGAGTGAATATCATATCAACAAGATAAAGTAATGAATGTCACACATCGAAGAGCAAAATGGTCTCCATGTAATTGATCCATCATGACTAAACTAAAACCTTTTCAGTTTAAAATTTTAAAATGGATGTTTTACTAAACATAACTAAAAATTACATGTTATTCTGAATATTGAATATCCTACCTGTCCATCACATATCTCATTGAGGGGGGCCCCATTAGTAGCTTTCAACAGTTTGTAGTGTAGCAGTTTACCATCAAAGTACATCCAGGGGCATGTCAGACCCCATGGTATGGGGGCCCCACAGGCATCATTGGCAAATATGGCATTGTCTACCCCACGCATCACTAACGACCCAATCTGGACCCCTCGTACTGCTATCACAGGTAACTAGAACAAGACACATAGATAAATATAAGTATCACTCTTGAAGGACAAATGGACAGCTTATAAATTACAAAAATGCCCATAAATGAAGTAGATCTTGGCACTAGTCTGCTTTTGCATCTAAAAATTTCAAGTTAAAATACTGAATCGTTCTTCTGCTATACTGAGGACAAGATTTCTTGTCTACCCAACCACACTAACTTTCCATGACCAAAAAAGTGTTTTATAAGACATTTTTTAAGAAAAAGTATAGTATCATATGATAAAAGTAACTTACTTTTTTCAAATATTATTATTATTAATTATTATTATATTATTAATATCAAATAAGAGGAATTTTGTTTTTGCAGCAAAACCCTGTTTTTCTACCCTTCGACTTACAGATTGAAACACCATGTGTTCTTTACTTAAGTTTAAAAATAATAAATAGTAAAAAGATTTATATTCAAACTTAAAATGGGGCTAAATAATAAATCAAAAAGATTACCTTCATATCTTGCATTGTTTTTGTATCAATGAGTTGAGGAGAGACACTCTGCGCTAGGATAGCATCCAACTCATAGCGTCTAAGGATAGGCTGACCCTTATATTGCATCATATATCTGGAAATGTAGACATACAGTTTGTATACACAAACTAGTATATACATGTACAAGATAGTATTAGAAAAGCAGCTAATCCAAGAGTAGCAAATTCCAAATTATTAGCAAAATGTCTTGTAACGAAAATCTTTCAAATCTGAGGATGTCAGAGTCAGGGTAAATGAAAATGTCCTTTCTCAAGACCGATGATGATTAACAGCAAAAAGGGAATTTTGACTTTACAATGACTGACAGGAAATTTCTAGGGCGATTCTGTATATACTTAAAAGTTATCTCTGAAAATTTGAAGGTGATATCTGTAGCTTTTTGGAGAACACTGTTGGAAGTATGGACAGATAGGTGCGCATAGGCCGACAATATGGCCCCACACTATGTGGAAGGTACATAGAAAGCAATCGAATATTCTTACTCTTTGCAGGTTACTACAACATAAAACAACAACAACATGTGACATGCCACATGGTCGCATATTGATTGTTGTGGCATATTGACCTGTTGGCGCCAATCAGTAAATCAATGATCATGTATTGGGAAACAAGTAGAACTCTGGTGATTAACAAGGTATAAACAATATAACAATGACAAAGTAAGGGAACCAGACACATGGTGAACTAGACAACAGCAATGCCAAAGTGTACCAAATCCCATCGAAAAGCCATAATTGGCATTTTTACAAATGAAGTGAATGGCAAAAATTGTAAAGTAACACACAAAAATGACCAATATTTTCAAAATGGTTGCTCACTAGCCAAATTGTCATCAGAAAGTGTAATATGCTTCAAAGTATGCACATATAATATTTCAACAAAATCACACACATGTACATGTAAATATTGCCCATTTATCAAAATTGCCACCTCCTAGCCAAAATGTGATAAGGCAGTGTGCCATACTTATGACTTTATGAGTATGAACAAAATCACTTTATTACTTTTTGAGTTATAGTAAAAACCTAAAATAACACACATAAAAATTATGGCCATTTTTCAAAATGGCCCCTACTCCCCAAAGTGTCAATCGAGAGTATGCCATGCACAGGATTTCATTCTGTGTTTTCATTACCTTATAGTTTTCACATATAGATCAAATATGAACAAAAATTGCTCCAGTACTTTTCGAGTTATAGAAAAAAGTTAAATGACACATGTTAAAATGGTGGCAATTTTTCAAAATGACCACCTACTACCCAGTGCCATTAGACAGTGTCCCATACTTATAGTATTCACATATCAAATATGAACAAAATCGCTCTACTACTTTGTTCCATGGGATAACACTATAATGTTTACAAAGAGTACCATTTTCAACTTCAATAAATCTTGTAAATTCATCAAAGTGCATCTAATACAATCACAAAACTCACATAGATCTCACATAGACTTTTCATCTTGAATGCTCAACACTTATCATTTGCCCCAAATCCCAAAAGCTAATCAATTGAGATTTTCATACAAAGAATCATCTCTGAATTTGAAATCAATCCTTCAAATGGTTTGTCTGGAAATAGTGTAGACAGGACTTTAGAAACAGATTTTTAAGATAGAAAGCACAAAAATTGCATACAATAAAACAGCAAGTATAAACTTGAATTTTTACAATGCAGAATACTTTAAATAATTTTTAAAGCTACTTAATAGTTTCATTATGAATACGCAAAAATACCATATTAAGACATTCTTATTCTTAAGACATTCAAAATGGCTGCCATGACTAAGCCAATATGTCCAAAACCTAATCAGACATAGAATGAGGTTTTTCTTAGAGTTTGCAGACAAGGATTTTAGCATTTGACCTCAAAATGGCCTACAAGAAGTACTAGGTATGCAGTCTAGTCAAAATTGTTTGTACCCCATCTGTATGTACTCAAAAGTTATCCCTGAAAATTTGAAGCTCATATCTGTAGCAGTTTTGGAGAACTCTGTCAGACGTATGCACAGAAGGATAAACAGACGGACGGACAGATGCGCTAAGGCCAACAATATAGACCCACAGTGCTGCAAGGACATGAAAAAGGATGCCAAAACGACCACGATTAAGATTATGACATCATCATGATAACAATATTGATTTTTTTTTTATTTAAAATGACCTCAAAACCATTTCTTGAACAATTTTTAGCTCTTCTCCCTTTTCATCTATTTTTTCACTGAATGTACTTACTTGTATGTGTCATAGCCAATTCATAAATGATTTTCTAAATAATTTTTTTTTTAAATATTCTTAATATTTAAACTTAGAAGTACATGCAGACCAACTATTAAGGGCCTGAGCTAAGCATCGGTCCGACGTTCATGATGGACAGATTCACAAAATGGACTGGCTAAAATGAGAAACTGATGGTCAATTTTATCGTCATTGACACCATCACATTACACCCATTTTTGAATGTCCAGCACAAAGATGAAGTAGCTTCTTTACGTACAATTGCTTACATTGAATAATATGATTATGAATCATTAATTTGTTCAAAAAGTGAAGTTTCTTTTTCCTCCATTTTCGCGAATAACTCGACATGAATTTGATTGGCCCAGCATCAGTTTCCCAAGAAAACAGCTAGGCTATATATTTCTAGGATTTTGATTGGTCAAAATACCAGAATTTGAAGTATTTATTTAGACACAAAGAAAATACAATAGAGACAGGGGATTTGGATATTGTAGCCAGTAACTGTACCACCTTTTGTTTACATATGAACAGTTATGAATAATTGTAACATATTTGTATTGTATTTGTATTGCATACTAGTATATGGTATATTTACTTTGAAGTTCAACATAAATGTTAAATTGATTAACTTTGTTGAACTTTCATTGTATGATATTAAATGTTATAATATATGAACTTGAAATAAAAGTGAATAAAAAACAAACAAACTACCACCTTTAGTGTGTTCATTGTAGACAGGTGGACTCATTTAATATTCTTCATCACATGAAACTGATCTAGATCCCTGAACAAAAGATGTTCATAATACTTTGAAAATGCCCACTAGTGTTGAGACACTGCTGCACAGGGATTCTGAAGAATTGACCTAGAGCTAAACAAGTTTTACTGTATGAATCAAGACATATTACTCCAATAGAGTAGTTTCTAAATAGCTTTAAAATCTCGCTAAATCTCGTTTTTTCATGAGATTTTAGAGATTTGCACTTTTTACCTCTAATGACTTACTTTTCTTCATTTTTGATAGCATATTTGAATTCAGTGATATGTTTTCTCCAATAATAAGTTTGATTTACACAGTAACTGTCATTTAAATCATTTTCCATGACATTTAAAAAAAACTTGGGCCAAATCTCCATTGGTGCAATGCTAAGATTCATTAAAACCTTGGCTTATTCGTATGACAACCAACATTTTCATGTTTAATCACAATATGTACATTAACAGTATCATCCGATAGTATGCCATTCGAGTTTCAGACAGATTCAACCAATACTTTTTGACAAATCATGAAATTAAGTGACTATTAAGTTTCTAGCATTGAACTGAATGAAGGTGTGGCCCAAGAAAATCAAAGACGAACAAGGGTGACATCTATTATGTCAGCGTTATTCAGCTATTTAGAAACTATACAATTGAACATAGCTCTTTTGATCAATTTTATTAATCCTTGATATTGGATCACAATAGGACATAAATTGATACAGATATATTATAGGACATTCATGTAGATTGATTTATAGACCAGTTGATACTAGTTAATAAGATCAATCAGAATCATCAGATTCTTGGACTGTGAAGACATTTAATTTGATTTATGTTATATTCTAGACTAAACAAGGAAAGGCTATCAAAATATATCAAAAAGTCAGAAGATTCAATGGATTTTTCTTTAGGTTTGATAATATTAATGTATAGTGTTGGAGCAGTAGATCCAGTAAATGGTGGACCAGTAGCTGCAGGAGGTGCTGGAGCAGGCGATGCAGGAGCAGTAGATGCAGCAGGTACGATTTTAATTTAAAATGTTTAGCTTAACAATACTTCTAGGTAACTCTACCATTAAATGGCCAAAGACCATTCAATTGGAAAACATAGAGATTTTCAGATTAATTACGAAAAAATGAAAAGTAACAAACCCCATATACCACAGGATAGCTCCATAAGTCCCATTTATAATTTGAAGTGTCTATGAAAAAAAAATTTCACCAAAATTGAAAGATCTGACCACATTTCCACAATCTATTCAAATTTTTAAACAAAATCAGATTTCAAACTGAAGACCACCATCATAAAAAGTTAAATATATACACCTAGATTAACAAAATAGAATGTAAAGCCTGTTCATTTTCACTGGTGATTGCACTGATAAAACTAGAATTCAATCAACCATCACCCAAATTCTAACTCTTCTACCTGTGGAGTTATCCTTTCTCCTTTTAGTAATTATGGTTAACTGTATTCTTTAACAAAAACAGTTAAAACATACTTCAAGAATCTGAAAGATAGCCTTCTATGGTTTATGTACAGTATTTTGTATATCTATTTTTCAATCATTTGTGGATCCTTAAAAATTCAAAATATTCAGTAAGCTTTTAGAGTTCAAATTGTTTCTAGTAATGACATAAAATTCAGTAAATTGTTAAACTATAGAAACACAACATACAGAAACACAACTGAGGACACATTCTCATCTTGCAAATTTTGTAAATTTTTATTTATTTGCAAATTCTTTCAGCCAAAGGAGGTAACGAGGGTGTTGAAAAAAGCGTTGACTGTAGTCCTTCAGTCGGTTGGTACAACCACAATGGGACATGCTACTTTTATCAAGACCACAGTGAAACTGCGGCTACTGATCTCAATATAAAATGTAATAGTGCTGGCGAGCGGTTGAAGATTTATTCCACTAACGACATGGATTTCATCGACAAGTATATTGATAGTAGTGTCTTGGTTGACATTGGAATTGAATCTGATGGCGCATCATGGGTTTATATTGATGGAAATCCACTAAACATAACCATGTAAGTCATTTTCATCCCATTTCACCACAGAAAGCAATGAGATTATGTATTTATTTCCCAATTTGAGTAAACTTATATTTTCAAGTTATATTTCAATTAATTGAAACAATAGTTTAGTTATAATTGTGCTGTTTTGCTTGCAGGTGGGACACAGCTGCAGGTCATCCTAACAACTCCATAGGCAACTGTTCTGCAGTATACCCTGGTCAACTGTGGCAGTCTATACCCTGTGATACCAGCAGAGCTGTGGTCTGTGTAGATAATGGTGATTTGAGTTTTTCAGCTGGGACTATGTTAATTACAGATAGTACAGCATCAGAGACTACAGTTACAGAAAGTATATTATCAGACACTACAGTTACAGATAGTAGTGTAACAGTATCGGCATCTACAGTTACAGATAATACAATATCAGCCATTACAGTAGCAGATAGTACAGCATCAGAGACTACAGTTACAGAAAGTATATTATCAGACACTACAGTTACAGATAGTAGTGTAACAGTATCGGCATCTACAGTTACAGATAATACAATATCAGCCATTACAGTAGCAGATAGTACAATATCGGAGACTACAGTTACAGATAGTACATTATCAATAACTACAGTAACAGAAAGTACATTATCACACACTACAGTTATAGATAGTGCTGTATCAGTATCGGCTTCTACAGTTACGGATAATACAATATCAGCTATTACAGTAGCAGAAACTACAATATCTGTGACTAGAGTTACAGATAGTACAATATCAGAGACTACACTTACAGAATCACTGAGTACAGATAAAGATAGTACAGTATCAGTAACTACAGTTACAGATAGTACAATATCAGAGACTACATTTACAGAATCATTGAGTACAGATAAACATAGTACAGTATCAGAAACTACAGTTATAGACAGTACAAAATCAGACATCACAGATACAGACAGTACAGTAACAAAGACTACTGTTGATACTCGCATAAATGCAATAGACTTTCATGAAATTGCAAAAGAAAATGAAGAGGCTAAGATATATAAGCCAGCAAAAAAGATTGTGTATCCAGCAGAAGAAAGCGAAGCAGCAGTAGCTATTGGAGTGCCACCTATAACATTTTGTCTGGTTCTGTTGATACTAATTGTTTTGACAGATGTCCCAAAGCTATCACGTGATTTATTAAAAGGATTAAGTCATGTAAAAAAGGCCTTCATTGGGTTATCAGGAACACAGACCCATAATCTTTAGGATACTGGCTGCATGGGATTACAGTTTTTAATTACTTCCTTTAAAAATATTCTTGAAGCCTCATCCAGGACCAATGTTCTCTACTCAATGGTGAAATATGCGCTTTATTCAAATATTGGTCCAATAATAATGGCTTAACAAAAAAACATCTGTTAAAATAGATGAATAAAAAAATATTTATTTACCATACATAACATAATTGTCTTTTTTATATTTATGTAACTTAATATAGAACCTAGACAGTATGCTAACCATTTAATATTCAATTTGAACTCTAGCCTTAAAGTTGTACTCAAACCGTTTTACTTGAGATATATTAATGCTATCTTACCGTATGAAGGCAACACTTTACGATGGTGAACCATCAACAATTCCAAAATATTTATTTTATCATGGTATCGGGAATAAAGTCAGCACGTGTCTGTTTTCGCGGCGAAACTGATTTCATTTTCAGAGCAGAAATCTTACGTCACGTGAAATGACGTGTGTGGTTGAAACAATTTGCCCCGAAATACGATTTTGTAAATAAAAATGAAAGTAACATGATTTGTTGTCCTAGTCAAACATGTTTGAATTTATGGCTCTGTTCTTTTTACGCATTGCATAGGTGCACTGAAAGCTTAGTGTCTCATGTCTTGTCTAATCATAAGGTGTTCATGTTTTCTGTATCAAACAGATTTACAATGATTTTACACCCATGAGAATAGGACATAAACAGCAGTTGCAATTAAAACAGCCATTTGAAGAAAATAAGCAACCTTGTAATGGAGTTTTGGTCATTTATTTAAAAGAAAAATAATTTCAAACTACCAAAATATTACCCTGTCCCGCTATATTGTTATTGAGGTTACTATAGTAACTATAACTTCAGAAATATTTTGTACCAACATCTGAATTTTTGATGACTGAAGAAATGAATGTTCCAGTTACTCTGAAATATTGTGCAAAACGAATGATAAACTTTTAAGTTAGAGCATTTTTATCAGGACTTCTGGATCGGCCCTTGTTATGAATAATATTGCAGTGCTCTTTCCAAAAGAATTTCTTTTTGTGAAGGTCAATCAATTAAAAATATTAATTTGGCTACTATATTATACTATACTATATGCATGCAAATGCATTGTGGGTCTTAGGATTTTTCTATTACTCACCAAATGACGAAAGGGATGTTATTTGTACTAAATACAAGATAATAAGAGATTCTGAAATTGGTTTTAGTACAACTTTAAGGTAGCATCAGATCTAACAAGCAACATTTACCAAAATTATTTCATTTTTAGAATATTTTCCTCATTTCATTACTAGTCATGTTTATATTCTCAAAATACCCAAAAACTTTATTTTAGGGAAACTAAAGATTTTTACGATAATATATTCATTTTTCTATAAAAATTAAATAGGTCAAAACATTTGTTGTTTGGGAGAATATTTGAGACTGTAAGGAATATATTAATATGTCAAATGTACATGTTGCTTGCCATTTCTTCACCCCTATAGATCTGCTTTTAATAAGAAGTGCCTACCTTAGAACGCAGCATAGGATGAGTAAATGCTGTGGAACATAGGAAGTGTTGAGCATGAGGGGAGCATCACTTTTCATACATGTCAAGAATGCTCTCAAGCGGCGGTTCTTGTCCTCGATTTGTTGTCCAAGCCAAAGTCGCTTAATGGTAGGTACCTTCCAATCTGGTGGTAAACCACTGACATTGATACAAACAGGGGGGCCATCGTTACGACTGACAATCCACTCCTTGATGGTCACCTCTTTTGGAAGGTTGAACTCTGTATAAAAGATATGTAAATCCATTATGTTACCACAAACACTTAATTTAGTAACAATCTAATCGAACAGTTACAGGGTTCTACTCTAAGATTGTGAACAAGCTTGCCTCAGTTTGCGATTGCTAGACTGGCTATCATTGAGCAATAGCTTTATTGCTAAGGAATCATAAAGTGAGGTCAGTGAATGATAGTGTCATAACTCTAGTGGGGAAATATGAGTGTACCTTCTTCTGTTTGTCCTTTCTTCTGTTTCCTAACATTGAAGAGTAGAGCATATGCATGTTGCCTTGCTTCTCTATATAACTCAACAGCTGACGGGATTTCCTTGCAATTATCATCTTCAAGTGTGACACCTATCTTAATTTCACCCTGCGATTACAAACGAGCATTACTGTAATGTTTTGTTTCATTTATATTAACAGTAAGTGCAAACAAAGTTTAATAATATTTCTCAACTGTTTTTGTTGATTAAGGCATTTACCAGACATCTTGGAAGACAGAACTAAAATGTCAAGAAGATTTTAGCTTTGATGTCTCCCTGAAGTCTTCATAAGTGAGAACTGAAGGGATCTTTAAAACCATAAAAGACTTAAAAAGTGTTCTATTTGATTTACTCTAATGATCAAAATTTGAAGTCAACAAGATCCTCTAGTTGTATGTCAGTGGAGTTTTATATAAACCCGACTAAAATATCTGATAAATGAAGAAATTAAGAGACTTCCAGTTTCTTTCATTGTATGTGATGGTATTCTAGTCTCACCAAAAACACCATCGCCATCTATTCATCAATCTAAATAACAAGTCACTTATTCAATCAAAGTTCCAATATTCACCATGGATGGCTTTAATAAATTAATAAAAATTATTAGCTATAATGAAAGTAATAAGAAAAGTAAGAGTGTACTTTCGATGATGAATGTTATATGGTCATTTGGGAATACTTTGTTAGTTAAAATATTTTGTCACCCAAATGAGAATTTGCTCCCAGCATTCATTTTTGATCTTCTTTCGACCTGGCATGGACCAATTGGTCAATAAAATAGATTGGAGATAACAGTAATATTATTACCAATTTGATCCAAGCTAGTCCAAAGATCACAAAGAATGCTGGGGCCAATCCTCCTTTACTTCCCAAGCAACCAGGAGTTGTATAATACAATGCAGACCCCCTACCTGTGAAATGACCTGGTCTATGTATAATACAATGCAGACCCCCTACCTGTGAAATGACCTGGTCTATGTATAATACAATGCAGACCCCCTACCTGTGAAATGACCTGGTATATCCAGGCAGACATGAGTCCTTTTTGATGACGTTCACTGGCAATGCGGACAATCTCATGTGCAATCGGAGGCAGTCGACTAGATTTCTCAGATTCCTGGTTTGTTGATTCTTTTGGTTTCTTATTTTGCACCTGGATAAGAATGCAGAGTAATTACAAAAGGCAGGCTTCTAACTATCTATAACTACAACTGAATCAAATAGTAAATTCCTATACCAAGAAGTAAGTATTTAATTATTCATTTCACCCTTATCTGTGACATACAATGTGATAGAATGTCATAATGAGTGACACTTTTAGCAATACATTTACTTATTCTTTATAAGAGCAATGTGCTACCTGTATCTTAGCAGCCCATGTGTCAGGACTGGCTCTACTAGGGCTTGAGCCACTACTGGAACTACTACTGCTACTAGAGGAACTTAGTTTCTGGGCATCTGGGTGCAACTTTGGGGTGATGGTGGCTACAAGCAAACACATAGGGAATACATGGTACCAAGTGTGATATACCATTGGAAAGCTGCGTTAACTCACCTTTATTTCTATTATAATGTCTTTAATACTTTGTAGGCCCCAGGAGAACATCTTGTCTTTTGGGAATTGTCTTATTATTCCGGTTATTGATGCTTTGGCTTGGAGTAATAATGTAGCCAATATAGACTTTGTCCTTTCAGTCTTAACATATTTATAATCTGGAGGCCTGAAATCTTTTTGAAGCCCTAGAGTTTGAAGCCCACATAGATTCAGCAAGATACCAGTATGGATCGATTCATCACAAACTCCTATGATTCTCGAGCAGTGTAACAATTACAATGATCGACCATACATTAAATATCAGTCCAAAACAATGAAAATAGCATCCAGGGGTCTCATTAGCAGCAGGCAATTTTCACTGTTTGTTTTCACAAAATCGCCCGTCGTTTTTAGGAACTTTTCAATGTCAAATTTATGAATTCCATTGATTTTGCCATTATTTTCATTTATTTAGCCTGATGTTAGAAATTCTTGTGAAACCCCTGGCATCCTTCTGGAACAGGATCATAAGCCACTGCCCACCTAGTGCCTGTCAGTATCATATGAGCTGCTAACTTTCCATATCTCAATTCAACTCATTTAGTTATTTACCTATAGGAATCTTTGAAAGAGATATGGTATGTTTATATTGGGCACTCTTACACTATTGTAGATGAAATAATAGTTGACTGGTTTAACTTTGCAAAATACAGTTTCAATTCTGTTTAAGAATCATTATTGAAGGCATTTCTGAAATTTCATTGAAACTCAGGAAAGTGTTTATAAATTAACTTCACTTTCTAGAGCATTAATAATACAAATTGTTACCTTCAGCATTTGTGTCATTGAGATCCATTTCGTTGACCTTTTCTTTAAGGTCTTCAATATCTGTATTTTTGGCAGTATCGTTATCTCTTTCTTCTTCTTCATCATCTTTCCCTTCACTAGGAGCATCTATGACAATTTCTGGTGTAGCAGACTTGGTATCCATGTTTCCATAGCCACTTTCAGCCTGCATGTAAACACTGTCTGCGCCCTGATGTAAGCCCTAAAGAGTATATACCAGTGTTCTTCACAGGATTTTTTCTCAAGTGGGTGCAAAATTCTCATTTGCACAATTCGAACAAAAAGCTGTCAAAATATGCCCATTTTCAAGTTTTTTTTCATTTTTAAGTGAGTGCAGATGGACTTTCAGGTGGGTGCAAGCCTCGTTTCAAAATCTCAGGTGGGTGTTGCGCCCACTTGCTTTAATGCTCGGGGGGTCACTGTATACATATGTAAGAAAACATGGCCTATATAGATTATAAAACATAACCTGTACCCTGAGGTAGATACTATAGAATAGAAACAAATTTAAACTGTATTATTGTATTTACTATTTACCGAACCAAGATCCAATCTCTTTTGAGCTCAAATTGTGACAAAAACTAATCTACATACCTTACTATCTTCCTCTTCAGCTTGGGCTGGTTCAGATTCTTCAGTATCTCCAGGTGCATCTACTGGTGTGCTATCTACAGGTGTTTCAGGTACTGGTGGTTTCTCTGCTGGAGTATTATCTTTAAGTGTATCTGTGGGCTCAGTGGATTCTACAGGCTCCGTGGCAGTATCTGTAGTCTGGGTGGAATCTTCAATCTCTGTTGCGTCTGTGGGTACTACTGGAGCATCACTCGTCTCAGGTGATCCTTCTTTTATGGGTTCTACAGGGGAGGTAGGGCTTTGTTTGATTTTTGGCTTGGCTTTCACTGTAGGATAACTGCCTGGTAGTTGGGAGGAACTGTCTGTAGCAGGCACTACTAAAATCAAAAATTAAATATATACATTTATACTATGCCAAGTAGAGTTTTAAGGAGATAAGTTGGCAAGATATATCCCGTATCTCCCGCTTCGGTGCATATCTTCCCGCTTCAGTGCATATCTTCCCGCTTCCGGTAAGTAGTGAAAATGCAATAAAATGACTTTGTATATGAATGATTTGTTTATTTTTACACCTTGCACTATTGCATGTATTGAAATGGCCATATGCCCCTGAAAACTCTACTTGGTATAGGATAAAGCAGTTATGTATGGTCAGTTTGGATATTGGGTTCATCCCTCGTGAGATATGCACATCTACCTTCGGTCCCTACGGTCCCTCAGGTAGATATGCATATCTCCCTCTGGATAAACCCCATATCCAAAACCTCCCAGTGCATAACCCTTATGTATATACAGAGCTGTCAAGTGTCCCGCGAATGGCGGGATTATCCCGCGAATTTGATCAAAATTAGGCTAATTCGCGTGTCCCGCAATGTCCCGCGAAGTCCCGCAATTGTGGCTTTGACCTCCGCGAATTTCTGAAATTGTTGCAATCCCCTATATTGTGATTATCTTATCTTATATAAGAAGCTAAGTTTTTGCACTTTGGAGGAGTAAAGTTTACCTAATTTTAAGTACCTAGCATGCTGTTGTTTGGTATCAAAATAAAGAGGAAGGGTTCAACTTTCATTTTAATTACGAAAATAGAGATGTAGGTCACACATAGTTCCAACGTTGGCCTTTTTACTACCCATGTAGCCTTCATCTCAGAACTGAGCAAATGTTAGGAACCGCAAGTTACAATAAATGGACGCTGATATCTAGTAAGGGTTTGTAGAAAAAACCGGGTACCATGCTGGGTTCAAACTTGGTACCCGGTACCCGGTCAAAAAAACGGGTATCCAAAAAACGAAAAATACGAAAATTTAACATAATTAGACTATGAGAAAACGTGTAAGATTTGTTTTAACTAAGTTTACAAAAATGTATGTAACATCCTTCAAAATTGAGCTAGAAGCTTCAAATAAAAAGCATATTTTAAGGCTATTTTCTTCCTCTATCGTCATGGCCATATTTTCATTGGTTATGGGGGGGGGGTGCGATCGCACCATCGGGGGGAGGTAGGTACGAAAAAAACGGAATGCGTGACATATACGTAATTCGCGTGAAAAGTCCGAACGATGTGCGTACGTTTTTTTCCGGCGTTCGTATTTTTGCTGTGTAGACGATCTTTTTTAAAAAAATCTCTACAGAAATATTTTGGCTTGACAATTGCCAGGTAAAATGCGTATTTGCGTGACATTTTCTGTCACGCAAAAATAACTGGCGTGACTTCAAATTCTTCAGCAAATGCGTGACAAATACGCAAATTGCGGGACAGTTGACAGGCCTGCCCACCCTTCATTATCAATGGGAATATGACCATAGAGGAAGAAAAGAGCCTAAAAATGCTTTTTATTTGAAGCTTCTAGCTCAATTTTGAAGGAAGTTACATACATTTTTGTAAATTCAAAACAAATCTTACACGTTTTCTAATGATCTAATTATGTTGTATATTCGTATATTTCGTTTTTTGGGTATCTGTTTTTTTCGACCGGGTACCAAGTTTGAACCCAGCATGGAGGATTTACTACCCAGTACCCGGTTTTTCTACAAACCCTATCTAGAAAAGTAACCTCATTCCCTATAATTTGATGTAGATTAATCGAACCCCTATATCATGGGCTTTCAATTGAAAGCCCATGCCTACAGTATATGAAAAGGTACATTTTAATATATAACATTATGGGGGTAAGCGTTTCATAGTTGGTCACGACGCTAGAAGTGCAAAGTATTGTTCCGAATTTTTGAATTTCGTGTTAGATTACGGTACTCACACCTGAAGCATGGTTTTTGTTTTTGATAAATTACAATAAAGTTGAATAATATTCCTATGCTTATTTTGTAAAATTGTGTCGACGTTTATTTAAGTTACAATGTAACGGTGCATTATATTTGTTTAATCAGTACACACGCTTTTACATTAGTCCCAATCACGCAAATCCCTTGAATGTCCCGAGACATCCTGCAAATTTCGGTGGATGTCCCGCGAAATCCCGCAAATTTAGGGCACTTTGTCTAAAAAATCTGTCCCTCTATGAAGTTTTTGGTGGTAAACCTGTTAACTGTCCAGCAATTAGGGTGTTTGTCCCTCGAATGGCCCCGCGAAATCCCGCGAATTTGATAAAAAATTTGGCCTATTAGCGCAATCACGCAAATCCCTTAAATGTCCCGCGAAATCCCGCGAATTTAGTTGATGTCCCCCAAATCCCGCGAATTTTGGGCACTAGGTCTAAAAAATCTGTCCCGCGAGAAAATCTTTGGGGGTTGACAGTACTGTATATACAGTATTACTAGTATTAACAATTTGTCCATTTTCATTTTTTTTCTTTTATTGACAAAAGTGTCAAAGCATGACACATTAGTCTATGTGCAAACTAAGAGACTAATCTAACTAAAAACTAACTACAAACTATGAGAAAAAATGGCTAAAATAAAACTACATCTGTAAGTCCTTGCTTAAAGTCTAGATGCATGTGGGATTGGCAGTATAGCACTCTAATTGTTAATTTGCACTAGAATTTTGAAGGAGTGGTAAATGTATTTTCATATTATCCAGTGTATTTTATACAATTAATTGATTTAAAAAGGAAATTACCTTTTACCCTGGGCCTGTATTTGAGGAAGCCTTCCTGGGTGCCATTCAGGTAATATTGCACACTCTGTTTGAACTTGTTCACCTTGCTTTGTTGAGCATTGTTATCTCTAAAAATGAGGAGTTAATGGTTCTTCAATTTACACAGGATAATTTTTTCAACAGTTTATTTTTCAACAAAAAAAACATTCATGTCATCATGTCTCACAATCGTTATCTTTTGCATTAATGATTCTCAGCTTTTAATATTGCAGAATTTTTTGTATCTTACTTAAAGATTTGTTTTCCCAGAACATCAAGATCATCTATGGAAGCTAATCCTCTAACATAATTCAGCACAGCTTTTATGATTGTATCAGGCATCACCTACAATGAATAATATTTTCATTAATAAGTATTGTATCACTTATATTGGCTCACTGTTTTGCAACAATATGGAATTTGACAGGCTTATATTTATATAGCATTTTAATCCACCAACCTTTCCTGCAGGGGCTGGTTAGGATTTTGAAATCGTACTTTGTCCCAGTAATCAGAATTTTGACAAGCTTTGGCAAATCTTTGATAATTGGTTGTAATGTAATCTTTGGGTGTGGTAATTGTCTCGTAATCGCTACAATGATAGGGGATTTGACAGGCCAATTTTTAGTTTCAGTTATAATCTTCATCCTTTCCTGCATATAATGTTGATCCAATAGCAATGAAGCACTTACCTTTGACATATTATATCCAGATGCTAAGTCTAATTGTTCGATGAAGAAATCCCTGAGATCTTCTTCTGCCAAGATATGGTTTCCTGGAATTTAAAAAGGAAGGATTTTCAGAATTTATGGATTCCAAAATACACTAATGACCGATATAAGAAAAAGTTAAATTTTTACAAAAAGTTGAGTCAGGGGTGTGTAAACAATGCGATGCGCAATTATCATAAGTATAATCCTGCTATATTACAGTAATGTCACAAAATAACCAATTCTTAAGAAATTCAAATTTTTTATTTGAGGATTTGTTATTACCTGGGACTACAATAAAAGAGGTTGGGTGCAGCGTGCCAATATCAAGATCTAGTGATTATATATCTTATTATATCTAAATATGACCCTGGGTTAGGTGTAACTACTGTACAAAAAGGTAACTTAGTTTACAAAGCTTTTGGATTCAGAGAATGAAATTTGAACTCCTGAAATGTCTAGAATGTCTAAGCAGTTGATAATCTGAGTTGACATGTCCATCACAAGGTTCAGTAAAATGATCATGACTATTCATTCTTTCAGGTTCAGGAAAATGATCATGACTATTCATTCTTTCAGGTTCAGGAAAATGATCATGACTATTCATTCTTTCAGGTTCAGGAAAATGATCATGACTATTCATTCTTTCAGGAAATATGTTCATTCCCTGGAAATTGATAAAATTTAATGATACTGGAATTCTGCAATTCTTTTCACACAGTCCTAGTTCATAGAATCGTCTACCTCGCATGATATTTATTCATTTTTATAGTGAAATAAAATTTTTCCGACTTCCACCATTTTCCTGTAGACTAGGCTGCCATCTATATGTAAGCTTATTGAGAAAAGGACAAAAACAGGACGACTTCTATTTAAATGCAAATGTTCAATATCTCATCAACAAGACAATCCGTTACCATTTCGCCTAACAGCTATAATTACCGATGATGATGATCAATTCTTGAAATATATATGACGGTTTTTAGAATATTACTTAAATTTATTGAACCCCAGCTAGAAGTTTTGCAATAATTCACGGTGTTCCAGATGGAATTACTTTGAACCAAGAATTGGCTAGAGATTCGAGTAACATCTGCGCTCCACGAAAATGGCATTTAAGGTGCTATGGAAGTTAACAGGAAATGACAAAACAGGAAGTGACAATTTTTTTTGCATTTTTATATATTTTTGGAATAAAGATAACAGAGTTCTGGTTTGACCTCCAGTCAATTTAACTATTTCCACATATCATTTACATGACCAGGATCACAATGTGCATGGTCAGAATGACCCTAAACATGATGAAATAACCTTTTTAGCCCTTTGAAAGTGTGACTGAAAAAAAGCTAAAAGTAGGAGCGTAGGGAAGGTCACTGAACAGAATCTTTTGAATTTTTCAGAAAATGTGTCCAATATATTGCTCTAAATGATACAATCTTTGAAAATTTGATATCATTCATAGAAAAAGAAAAAAAATGAAAAAACTGATTTAAAAAGCGATCTATTTTCCTTTTTATGACCGCCATTTTTGTTTAAGACAATTTTCTAAATTTCAAAGATTGTACTAGTTAGAGCATTATATTGGGCACATTTTTTGAAAAATTCAAAAGATTCTGTTCAGTGACTATCCCTACACTCCTGCTTTTAGCTTTTTTTCAGTCACACTTTCAAAGGGCTTAAAAGGTTATTTCATCATGTTTAGGGTCATTCTGACCATGCACATTATGATCCTGGTCATGTAAATGATATGTGGAAATAGTTAAATTGACTGGAGGTCAAACCAGAACTCTATTATCTTTATTCAAAAAATATCTAAAAATGCAAAAAAAATTATCACTTCCTGTTTTGTCATTTCCTGTTAACTTCCATAGCACCTTAAGGGGGATCTGTATATATTCATAGAGAAACAAATAATACCTAAAAGTGCAGCAAAGACGCAGAATCTGTTAGGGTGCAAGTCCATCTTCTGTGCTACTTCATCCATAATAAACTCTTTTGATTCCAGACATCCTTTGTAGGTCAACTTCAGATTGTGCGATGAGAAATAGCGCGGAGGATCAAAAATAGCATATTCTGCATCTTCCGCTATAATACCATTGAAATTATTTTCTCGGCAGTAAGCTATCACTTCTTGGCAGTGATCATCCATTGACATAGCTGTAGAGATTCCAAGATGGCGTAAAGCCATTCGTAGACACGACCCGAGGCTAATTGGTGCTACCCACCAAACTTTTGGTGGAGGTGTACCTTTATTGCCAATGTGACGCATAATAAGATTGATTTTCTTTTTCTCCTCCAACTCATGCTTGTGCCATTGGTTTATTTTCTCTGCCTCGAGACCACCGTTAAAATATACAACAAGCTCCATGTTAGCTTCGTGACATGCCTGCATGAAGTTGGAGAGGAACTCTGTCATTCGGTTCCATTGTCCTCCACATACCCAATCTGAGTAGTAGCCACCATACAACCTGTCAAGGCAGCTTTCAGCGTCTATGATCAGACTAAGTCGACTCTGTGCTGCATTGCGACCCCGCCTTTTAGAAACGAAATTCCTTGAAATTTTCAGCAAATCAACATTTTTGCAAGCGTCTTTACATTCAGTTTCGATGTAATCCTGTAAACTTTTGATACCCATTTTGAGATATGAATATGCAACTACACTTAATGCATTCTCATACAGTCATTTATTCCACTAGAAGTGCCTCATACATGCAAAGTTCGAGTATTATTTGTCAAAATATTTTTCCATGTGCAGAAACCGGAAACTCACTGCGCCTGCGTTAATATCAAGTATGGCTTGCCAATTCAGCAAATATTATTTATGTATCTTGTCTTCTCTTACTACAGGTGCGGATCTGGGAACCAACAAGTGGGGGGGGGGCCGAATTTCAGGTCAGAGAAAAAAACTTCCGCGCTTGAGGGGAAAAAATTTTGGGCCCCTAAAACCCTAGAGTGGGCCCAAATGTTGAAATATAGAGGCCCATTTTCTTCAAAATTTGGCCTAAAATTAACAAATAAGGCCTTAAAAGGCCCACTTCTGACAAAAAAGGCCCTTTTTCGGGGCCTTTGGAGCCCAATTTTTTTTCTGGGGCCAACCAAGGGGGGGGGGGCAGCGGGCCCCAGATCCGCCAGTGTACTCGGTGTTCTCCCCAAAAAAAATTTTCAACTGGGTGCAAGGTTTCAAGTCTGAAAAAATCAGCACTCGGCGTCGCTACGCTCACAATATCTCAGTGTAGGTGCTTACTTCACTCATTTTTCAAATCAGAAGTTGAAGTGCAGATTCCAACTGGGTGCCAACTGGGGGGCCTTTAGTTTCAAGTAGGGGGAGCCCCCGGTAAAAGTGACATGGGGAGATCACTGGTACTATATACTGATCCGTCCATCCCCGGGGATCCGTCCTTCTGTTTGTCTGTCCTCCGGACATCTCCTCCTAGACCTATAGAACTTTTTTTTATACATAAATTTATTCCTTTAGTAAGCAATTATAGACATGCAATTGATTGCCAAAATTTTATAGACCTATAGACATTGGGCCCTCATACCTGATCAACATACTAAGTGGGTCAGTGGGCATTCTACAAAGGCCAGTGGTTAAAGTTCATTCCAATGCAAAAGGTCAATATTTAGGTATTTTACTTTTTAAGACACTTGGCCTATTATGTGACCCTTGACTGGCTATGATTAGTTGTTGGAGGTCAAGGTCAACTTTATGGGTCAAGGTTATTCCAAGATCAAGACAAATTTTATGGGTCAAGGTAATCCAAAGGTCAAAGGTCAATATCTTGGTATTTGGCATTTTAATCCATTTGCAATTGTGTCCTTGGCGACCCATGATTGTGTCATGTGGCAGGGTCATTCCTAGGTCAAAGGTCTATGTATTTGGTGATTTAATGTCCTTGGGGCTGTTGTGACCCTTGGCGCCCAATGAGAAGTTGACCCGAGATCAAGGTCAATGGGTCAAGGCCATATGAAGGTCAAAAGTCAATATCTAAGTATTTGGCATTTTAGGACATCGGGGCTGATGTGACCCTTGATTAGGTGCCCTGAGGTCAAGGTCATTCCAGGGCCAGAGGTCAATATTTAGGTATTTGGTGTTTTAATACACCGGGGACTGATGTGACCCTTGGCGACCCATGAATAGGTGACCTGAGGTTGAAGGTCAACATTATATTGGTCAAAGGTCAATATCTATACAAGTATTTGGCATCTTAAGCCACTTCAAGGATACCATGACCCTTGGCAACTCATGATTAGGTGACCTGAGGTCAAAGTTAGTCTATGTTTTAATTTTAATAATCTTTATTGAAGAATTGTTAAGTGCATTCAATTCAAACAAACCAAATGATGAGGGTTCATAAAAAACACACGAACATGTGTTTAACTTACTAACATAAGAGTGTTATAAATAATCTTATGCAATTCTTTCCATTTATTTCATTGGAGTTCAGTAATTACAGTGTCAACATTATATTAATATCAAAACCCCAAAGTAGAGCTTAACAAGTTTGTATAGGCCTATTAATTATCATGAATATAATCAAATCAAATGGCTTAAAAGCAAATCAGTAAATGATAGACATGATACCATTTCTAAATGCAATTTACCTATGCCACAGCATCACTCTACTATACCTTGCATTTGGTGTTCATGAGTAACCATTTTGGCTTATTAGTAATGATTATGTTATTTGTTTTTATTTGTCTGTTCCTTATTAATGGTTTATCTGATGACTGTTAGGTGTTAATAAGGTACGTTCAAAAATATACTTAACAATGCAATTAAACAAACAGAGTATCTTATGCATTTCTAGGGGTTAGGTATAGTAGAGTGAGCATACAGCAACAACAATGTACTTTGCAACATTGAAAATAAAATACTGGAGTTCATGCAAGAACTAAGTTTAGTAGGCATTCATGTATCATGCCCCTGTGCAGCTGTGTTCCCCCCATTCTATTTCAAACATTTCTATTCTCTATCTTCAATTAATATGTTGCAAGATTATAGGTACCAGCATACACTATATCCACTTTATCCTGTCATCCTATTATACAGGGTGGCACAATACAGGGAAAGTCTTGCACAGCACCATCGCAGATACAATACAAGGTGAGCAAATAAATTTGTCAAATTTTCTCAAATTATCGCTCATTAATTTGTCTCGAAAGCCAAAAGATATAATACAAATATTGGAAAGGTGAAACAGGCTACAATATATTGATACATTTCAAATTTATAACACTGGAAACTGCTAATTTTTGTTCATTATAGATAATGGTATGAGGATCAATCTAAATCTATAATTTGTACATAACATTACTAGAATCTAATAAATATACATGTATTAAAACATTGTCACAGCTGTAACTAACATATTTGAATCATTTACTTATTTTATATACTAGTATACATGTACATCATTAATATATGATAAATATCACAAAACCATAGTCAAGGTGTATATTGGATTCTAAAATGATACGTGATGACATCACAATATCTAGAACAATTGATTTACTGGTCTGTCATGGGTATGTATGACCACTAAAATTCATGAATGCAAGTAATTGTTTCACCAGTTTCATTATCATATTAATAAAGACTGAGATTCTATGAGTTATGCCAAATATATGACCTTATTTTTTCAGTCTTTCAACAATGATCAGAAAAAATACATTGCTAATGATATTGAGCCATAAAATTAGAACTTTTCACGAAATTATGAGAATTCATTTCCAATTAGCAGTTATAAAGAAAATCACTCACTGAGAAGTTTGACATTTTAGATGATATGCTCTAAATAACAGCTCCATCATGATTGATGCACAGCATGTGAACAATTCCAAAACATGGCAAAAACGGTGATGGCACTAAAACAAGCTTTTCTCAGAATTTCTGGTGAAACTTACAAATATATTATTATTATCTGTCAGATTATAAAATTATCTGTCAGATGACCAAATTGCAAGAATATTCCTTCATAACTCATATACTTATTCCATGTCTGCCTAGGTACAATAATTTTGGGCCACCCTGTTTAATTGCCCCATAACCCAGACCATCTCAATCTCTATTCTCACTTATAGATAACACTATAGATACATTTATGCATGTAATGAAAAAATTGAATGAAGTTATCCCATGACTAAAAGTGATATCCAATATAAAACACAGACTAACAGATGTTACTACTTTCTTTTAAATGCATGGACTATGTTGACTGCAAATATATGACTCAAATTGAAACACATCAACATTTATCTAGATCAACATAATTTCTCTAATCATGGATATCAACATCTTAACAATGTTCCACAAACACTTTGGTTAAGATTAAACGGATATCCATGAGTGAATAATAATCATATCTCTTGAAACATAGGGTATTCTCTATTTGTAAAATAAAATTGGAACTAAAATGTACAAAACATTACCCTTTAAGAATATATGTACAAATCAAGAGTTCAGAGCTCATAAATATATTGGTACTCTATATAATATGACATAAGATCAAAAGAACAACCAACATTTTTTAAACAAAAAAGCTTTACTATCCTAAAAAGCTCTTGTGTAAAGTAAAAATGCGGTCTTATATAATATGGCTATACACTATTCACATGTAATATATTTTATATTTATCAATTTCATTTTGAGAGAAAAGGGCAGAGCATTATATTGCAATTCACCACTAAATCACAATATTTTTCCATATTAACTGTGTATTTTACGCAGAAGGTCAATTGAGACATACCCCAACAGATTGAGTGGAATTCAATAAGGGGAATTTTCTAATATAAAATGCTGATGAGTTCTAATAAATCTTGTTCTTGTAAAATATTCTCAATTAGAGAGAGGTGAACATAACAGTGAATAATAAAACAAATATTTCATATTATTTTTGGTGAATACCTATTCATCTCTCAATGATTCTAGCAGGTTTTATATAGGAGGATCTAGTATGTTTCAACTGCAATAAAAACCCTGTTTCATTCTTTGTTTTATTTAAAGCATTCATCCATGCACAAACTAATCCTGATAATGTACTCTGGCTCCACCACTGTAAATTATGTGTACGAATTAGTACATGCACTCATGCTAATAATTTCCAATAAAGAATGATACCGTGCGATAAATGGTCAGTGATTCAACTTTGACAAGTAAGTCCAGTGATAATGACACATTCTGCCCTAATTGAATTATTCTAAATATGTATGTACATGTATATATATATATATATATATATACAATATGCATGACTTTCATACTTAGCTGGCCATAATAAAAATAAAATGGAAGACATTTATGGCAGTGTAGTATGTAAAGTAAAACAATAATAAAATTGTGAAGATCTAGCTCTATGTTTTATAGCAAATATACAAATGACATATATTTAACCATAAACCATAGAATCTCAGTCTTCATTCTCATACACAACTCATTCCACACAAGAGAATGAAATAAAACATCTCCAGAATGAAACTGAAGAAGGAATAACACCTATTTTTGATTTTTTATATGAAGTATGTTCTTTCAGGCACTTTTAACATACTGAGGTATCGTATTCAAGTTTATTCATGTACATCTAATTGTACACCCAAGTTTCTTGCTTATGCAATAGACACTTACGAAAAGAATTTTCAAAGCCAGATAAGTATCTATAAATAAGCAAATGCCAATGTCTCTTTTGTGTGCATATTTGACAAGAAGCTCATAGATGGGCTCCTATGTCAAATAAACCCCCATGGGCCTATTAGTGAGAACTTCTGGTACTTCGATGCTAACAATTTTTAACAGTTGAGATTAACCTCATATTTATAACAAATAATTATAATTCATCACAGTCTTCAACCTGAAACTCAAGAGTATTTTTTCCTGTTTAGTTGTCCCAATATATGATGTTTCATGCTGCACAACTTGCCCAAATGTAAAATTAATGTACATGTACAACAAAGCCTTTATAATATCAATATACAAGGTAAAAAACTGTAAAAGTACTAAATTATTTAAGTACAGTATAATTAATGTCTACACATTACTTACAACTCACTAAACTGCCACTGTTTGGATAATAGTCTTTGCTAGCCCAAAATAGTCTTTGCTAGCCCAAAGGCATTCATTTGTAGCACTGTCAATGGAGAAAACATCTCTATGTCTGGTCCTTTATCAGCTGCTCTGGTGGTTAAGTGCCAAGAATCAACACTTTTTAATTCAAAGGTGGAATGAAGGGATCAGATTCTCATTATATCAACACAGCTGTAAATGCCTGTGATCATTTTCATATGGTTGAAGCCAGGTAAAAAGTACCAATAGACCTCACTGCCTTTTTCAGTGTAAACCTTGCCATTCCTGCACCTTAATCAGTGGGATGGGATTTAGGGAGTCACTGATCCCCAATGATTCAAAATCAACAATTATAACGGAGGCATAGAGAGTGTGTCCTGACGTTGTAATGGTGGTCTTGGTTTTATCCCCTTGGATTTCATATAAGATGTAAATTGTTCTGGAATCTCAGCTAAGACCTCCTTAGCAAGTCTAGCCTGACTTAAGGCAAGGTCATGTCCCGATAAACCCCCGATAAAGTCTCTGAAGGGCACAAACTGAAAAATAAAACATACAAAATATTTTGAATACAATCATTTTTGGATGGTTTATTATGGATATTTTGCAAACCCATTTTTCAGAAACTGAGTTATGAGTGCATGTACAATGTATTTAATTATTTCCTTTTTTCAAGAAAAAGTCATTCCTTACCTGCACAATGTCTCTCTCTGCAAGACGTCCTTTAGACGATAGCCGCACATCATCCCCATCCAATGTATCCATAGCTGCAAAAAGATGGCAATATGTGGACTGCATATATAGTTCATAGATTGCAAGTTGTTTGAGGATCAATAATATAGGACCAAAAGATTTGAAAAATGGAATATGAGAATAAAGTACACAGATGAGTTCAAATGATTTACAATATGGAAAATACATATGCACTATAAGTTAGTTAACACTAACGATGAGCCCAGTCTCATTTTTGAAATACAGAAATACATCCAGCTTGATATTGCAATTGATATGTCATGGCAACTTAACTTTCACTGGTGATCCACTCGATTACGCTGGTTACCAAAACGAACCGTTTTGGTAACAAAATTTCGGAACGTCGAAGGCACGATTTTTCTTTTTTCCTTATTTCACGCGTTGTAGGCAGAATCCCCACGACGTTTTTTCTCAGAACGTGCATCAGTATCATATGTTTTAGAAAATGTACATGTTTGCGAAAAAAATAGCTCAGAAGACAACAGAATCGTCGATTTACTTCCTCACTTCAGTTACATAAACGGTTTTTCGAAAAACAGTTAAGATCTGCACTTTTAACCGAAACCGTTTATGTAACTTAAGTGAGGAAGTAAATCGACGATTCTGTTGTCTTCTGAACTATTTGTTCCCAAATATGTACAATTTCTTAAACATATGATACTGATACACGTTTGTGTTAAAAAATGTCGTGGGAATTCTGCCTACAACGTGTAAAATAAGGAAACGAGAAAAATCGTACCTTCGATGTTCCGACATTTTGTTACCAAAACGGTTCGTTTTGGTAACCAGCGTAATCGAGTGGATCACCAGTGACTTTGTCATTTTACATTTTACAAAACAACTTTTGAATAACTTAACTAGGCCTGTACAGGGTGTCAAAAACAATAGCATTCACAGCAAAAACTGTTTTATGATATTTGACACCCTGTATAACTTATTCTCTACTTATGGGTCTTCATGTATTTGTGAACTTGTTTTGATATAACTTACCATCAAACTCAGCATTGCCGACCCCTACTATAATGATTGATACAGGAAGCGAAGATGCCTAAAAATATTCATGTATTATTTCATCTACCTTGAAACTAGTTCTAGGTTTGAAATGTAAATGCTTATGTATATGTTGAGCAAATACTAAACTGTGAAATTAAGAAATATAGACCGAAGAGCAGGGGTAATATTGTCAAATGCAGGGCTTAAGGCACAAATGTTTTCGATTCGAAAGATTTTTTGCCTAGCTCTAAGGGGTGTATTCGACGATATTAACCCTGCTCTGAGGTCAATATTACGATTCGAACATGAAAACCCACCAAAATGTTTTGAATATTCATTATTGTTCGCCCTTACTAAGACCTGCCGTTATGACGTCACACATTACACGTTTTACCAGGGGTATTCTTCACGAATATACCCTGGGTGAAATGTTGACTTTGTTTACAGTTTATAGAAGGCGTGAATACAGTCATGTTGAATGTACAATAAAAGATGAGTGGCTATAAATCAAGACATAGAATATGACAGAATTGGAATGAAACACATTTGGAACCAATGCCTTCTGAATTGGGAACTTCATACTTATTGTCAGAGACTATCTATCTAAAAAGGTATGAAATACATTTGTATATAAAAAATTAATTAAGAATCAAGGCACCAAGGACATTATTATTATAATAGAGGCAAATATTAAACTTACATTAACAATAGCTTCGCATGTTTGAGGCATATCTGTTATAATACCATCAGTGAGTATCAGCAGTATAAAGTAGTCTCCACCATCTTGTCTTGCCTGGGCAAACCTAGAGACACAAAGGGAATGATATTGCACATGAAGCAACAATAGCATGCGTACAAACCTGTGATATGGTTGATGCATTGTCAAAGTCACTGACTTAAAGTTACATGGTTGTTGATTGGTCCAAAAGTTAACTACTTTATTACATGATTAATGATTGGTCATAAATGTTTTTAATTTTTTGCATGGTTGATGATTTGTCCCTGATAAGTCCCTGACTTGTTACATGTTACATGACTGGTTAAAATGTTTCTTACTTTGTTACATGGTTGATGATTGGTGCAAAGTTGGTAGGTCCATATAGCTGCACTCTACTCAATGATAGATGGTAGGCCTCCATCACTCCCTCCACACCTTGGCAATATGGGTTGCTGGCATGTTGATTCTGAAAGTATAAAGCAATAGCTGTATTTGACGATGCTAAAACTTAAATTTTTCTTTAGAACCATGAAGATATAAGCAAACATGACTGCAAAAAGTGAAACCAAAGGAACAACCTTAGAGGATATTACATAAAAGCATAAATAAAACCTAATAGTGATTGAAAAGAACAACTCAAGTGAAGATTCTATTTGTTCCAATATATTTGACAAATGATGTTACAGAAAATCAACAATATCTTCTAAAGTGAACAAGACAGGAGAATATACATGTTTATCCCACGATTAATGTGTTATCTGTACAATAACAGCTACTGATATTTCTGATATTATTGAAATCCATGTGATATTTTCCAGAAAATCGTTTATCAAACTCATATGCGTGTGATATCGTTTATCTCACGCATATCCGTGTGATATCACATTTGCATTTCGCGCCACAATATTGTTGGAAATTAGATCAGATAATTTATTCTCTTTTGAGAAAATAGGTCCGTTAATTTATTCTCTTTAAGTTTCATTGGTGTATTGAATTACGATTGTGTATATAATTTGATTAGAAGGCTGCTGAATAACGATTAAAATGGTATTTATGACGAACTATATCATGTACAGAAAGTAGTGCATATTACTGCGCAGTGAGTAAAGTACAAATCAAAATGGCTGGTGCAAATTAAAATTTCTAGTTTATATTGTCTGCCAATGTCCTGGAAACTGGATCAGAACATCACAAGGTGATTGTAATCATGGGATAAACCCAATATCACATAATTTCTCGTGATATCATTTTATCGCCTCGTAGATATCATGGGCTTTCAACTCGGCGATAAAAATGATATCACTCAAAATGATGTGATATTCTGTATATATTGGCACATAATACAGACGAATTGGTACTCAAAAGTGTGACTGTGAGAAGACTGAAAGAATTATGAAATATCACTGTACTTTGTTGATAACATACCAGGAAGAACTCGTGTGACACTCTGCCATCAGGTGGTAGTCTTGCACCAAAGCCCAATGCAGGGAACATTTTGTCGCTAAAATAAAATGCATAGAACATATGTTGTAATCATACCATAGATGATAACATCAGAACAACATTTCAGGGTTTAACCTAAACCATGCAAAATTAATAAATATATCGATGGTTAGTTCTTTTTTTTATTTAAATATTTAGCTTTTGAGTAATTGGAATGGTGTCTAATTGTCAATAAATAGGGAAGAATGAAGTTAATTTCATTAGAGGGGAGTGGGTAAACAATTATTTTATTCTTCAAGAATATTAGTTTTTGAATTACTGTTCTATTCCAATTTCCAAGAAAATCACCAGCTTGATGAACAATGGATTTCTATAGTTTTTTTTACAATCTTGATAGGCACATGAGGGTTATAACAACATGCATACCTGTCATAATCTTGAATAATCTCCATGACAGCTTTGAGTGCCATTGCATACTGGTTGGGCTGGTAAGGGTTAATGTAATGTAAACTAGTAGGCTGTTGAGGGTTACCATTTGAAGCTGTGAAATCTATTGCAACTGTGCAGTGGACTTGTGTGCTGAAAATATATTTTTATTACTTTTTTAGATTAATAAACATACAATATATATCTCCATTAGTAAAACATAAATGAGTGGCAAAATTGTGCTATCTAATCATTATTCATTTTTTTGAATTTCTTCTTGATTTTATTTCAATATTTGCATTTAAACTTACCCTCCTTTGATGAAGTCTAGGAAAGAATGTATTTGTTGAACCTTGCAACTCATCAGTTCAATCTGAAATGCAAAATATCAAAAATCATAAATATTAAGATAAATGTATGTCGTACCTGAAAACTAATATTTGATCAAATCACTAATTTTAAACATGCCATAACAGAAGTAAACAGGCAGTAGTGGTAAAAATGCCATGTATTCTAATAAACATGTTTTTAAAGAAAATGGGAACCATTTTTGAATTTAGAGGCCATTTCGGAATTTCCTTCAAGATCAGAGATTTCAAACATTATAAAGTAATCTTAAGTTAAAAGTTTTAGCTAAAAAAATGTTTTTATGCAGTATGCTGGCCATTATTAACTGAGCGGCCATTTTTAAAAAAACACTGAGTTTTAAGAAAAGCTGTTCGATTCACTCCCTTTATGTATAAAGCATAATATATGTATAAACCCATCAAACAATGAACCCGGATTCAAACAATATTTCAGTCAAAGTAAAAGTGTTCAATTTAGGAAAAAATGGTGACCATTTCAAATTTTGAGGTTATTTTGAAAATTGTAGATCTGGTCAGGCAGTTCAATATAAAGAGCTATCTATCTAGTATATTGACCCCTGACTTACCAAAACAATGATTATGACTCAAACCATGAGGCAAATTGAAGAAGAAATTGTTGTAGAGCGAGAGAGGATTACAAATTGTAAGCGATAATTACATGTATCTGAAAACAATGTGTTTGAAGCTGCACTTGAAAAGCAGGCCGAATTGTTCGTTTAGTGTTTTAACAGTTTAATAATAACAAATGAACCGAACATATTATATCATACCAAGAAACATTGTCTAGAAATGTGCAAACAAGGAAAAGGGAGACGTCGCCTCTTGTCCATTGCTGACTTGTTTGCCAAGCTGATGAAAATATTGTACCTTTTTAGTTATGATAAAAACATTTGTACTGATCTTTAGCATGTTAAATTGCACTTATCAGTTGTAAGCTCCTGTGAAATTTCCAGACCCTGCTCAAATATTAAAAAAAACCTTCAAATGCAGGTATACTTACAATCTGGAAATTAAAGAACATGAAATGCATTGATACTGTAATCATTTGTTATTTTATAAATGAGCATATTGCCGTATACCGATCATTTGTACCATTATGTTCCATTTTTATGTTTTAATGACTTGTAAGAAGATATTCTAAATAATATAAATATTCAAATTATTGGATATTCTAAAAAGAGTTCTGTTGTTTTGGCCAAACCTCAATATAAAAAGTTGTGCTAGCTATAACATTATTTTCAGCTAATGATTATTAAAATATTATTAATATTGCACTGTTTTTAATTGTTGCAACACAGGTAGAAAGATAAGAACAATATAAGTGGAAAATATAATCTTAGCACAACACTTTTGGAGTTATCAATTAGTTATCAATTATCAATTTTGGAATTATCAATTAGAGTTAGTGCCAAATGAGATGTAGATGTAATAATGATATTGAACTGAATTACACTAATTAAATATTTGTATTGTTAAAAATGTAACTTATGTAAAATGTATCTCATAAGCCCAGGTAAGGCTGGCTATTTTAGATAGGTGACACTTTAATAAATGAATGAATCAAATCATGTAATGAAATATTGCAACGACCAATTTAAGCTGCTGTAACACATTTTTCTAAAAGATATACTCACATTTCCTGAATTTTTGTACTTTTTCTTTTCTTTCTTTTTAGGATGAATTAACTGCAATGTAGAAAAGTGCATGTTTTTGTATAAAAATGCCATATTATATTGTGACTTTGTATCATGTGAAACGTGATACATAATCACATACATTTAGTACTGAGATCACCATTGGAAATAAGTATAAGACTTCTACAATAAGAGATTAAAACTACTAGACATGATACAGATTATTATATTACTGAACAATACAAGGTTTAAAAGCCATCTTTTACGGTTTAATGCCCCACCGATTGAGTATTTTGTTCAGAAATGTATTCAATTTCGAACAAAATACTCAATCAGCCGGGCGCCGGCCAATGAAACGCAGCAAATGTGACCCAGGCATTCAAACATTTTTAAAATGTGACATGATATCTTCATGCCCGGTGATCGTACAAAATGGATGATGGGGGAGTAGGCGATTTCTGCAAGAAAACTCAACAAATTTGGAAGATATTAAAAATTTACAACTGAATTGCCAAATGAATAGGCGCACTGCATGGCAAAATATGTTAGAATATAAAATATTCTTCCAAATTTGTTGAGTTTTTTTTTCAGAAATCGCCTACTTCCCCCTCCATCCATTTTGTACAATCACCTGGCGTGATCTTATGAATATCACAGAAACTATGGAATAAGTAAAAATATTTACCTCAAAGATGTTAGCCGACCCAGGTCCTCTGGTGAGCTCGTGCAGGTTGGTGACAAATCCTCCAATGAGGTCATGACTGAAATAAAACATACAATTTATTCAAACACAATTGTCAACTTTGTTGAACTTGAACAAAATGAACTTGCATATAAGATTTTAATCTTGATAAACAATTAGAAAATAATAATGAATAAAAACAACATCTTATGCTCATAATGACATCAATTTGGACCAATTTGAGCCATTCATTTAATTTTTCCTAAAACTGATTTCCATTTCTGTGTTGGTTTGAGAATATTTTCAACAACTCACTCTCCACTTCTGTTCCAGTCATAGCATTCTACTTTGAGTGATCTATGGAAGTCTCCGTTACAAAGAGTCCGCACCAGCACGGTGAATGGCCGCCATGTTGGATTTAGAGTATTCTTTATCACTTCAGTTTTATGTGTCAGCGTAAAACTAAAAATTAGACAGTTAGACAACATAATATATACACAACTGTACCACATTATATTAGACCAGAGTGTAACATATATTCAATACAATGTTTTGAGTGAAATTACCCTCCATATTTTCTCAGGGCACTGAACTGTACATGCTTTAGCTATGCCATAAACAGCCAGATGAATTCAATGTGGGTGCATATAAGTAAGCTCTCAAACTAAATATACAACCACGCTTGACAACTAAGCACAAATCATGGTGAGTCGATAGTCACTTATTTTAATTCTTTATGGACTTCTTGAGCTTGTTGACTATAAATATATTATGTGCAAAAAACAAAGAAAATTATCAAATATTTTGCGTTTCAAATGTCCCCCGTTGTGCATTTTCATAACCACATGGACTTACTTTCCATCCTCATTACATTTGTAGAACACTAGGAATGGGTCTGATTTTCCAAATAAATCTTTTTTGTCTAATTTCTTCCCACAAAATTGCATTGTAACTTCTTCCTATAAAAGTTAAGAAATCATGTGTTGATTAAAATTACTTATACAGGGAGGGAGTTTTTTTTCCATGAAAAATTGATGTGAGGGTAGCCTATTCCAGTGTGCTCGGGTTTTTGTACATGGCACTACAAATCATGAATAAACAAGACATTAACATGCAAAATGTCACCACCTGCCATTTGTTACAGGTGCCAAACGCCAAATGTCATATACCAAACACTAAAATGTTGTGGTGGTGACATAAAAATTACTATAACATCATTAAAATAAATAATTTTATTTGGTGACCATATGATAGACATTTTTCTGTCATCACACTTTGTTAAAATCAAAATATAGGTTAAGGGGGCATGTCATAATTTAGGGGGAAAATCAGAGATCTCTGAAAGAGATATCCAGGAACTATTAAGAGCATCAAATTTGAAATGACGTTTATTTATCAATTTGCAAATGATCCCATAAAAAAGAACAAAAAATAGACAAAAATCAATGCATTAAAATTACAATTTCTAACTAAAATTAGTCAAACTTGGGGTAACTAGGGATGGGTTGCACCATTACAACAATGCTATTCTATGTAAATACTGCTAAATGGCATGGAAAAATCACAAGTCAGAACTGAATCTTTGGATGAATTGGAAATATAATAGGGTCATTCAAAAACAGAGCAAATTCTGCTTCCAGGGATTCTACATTTTAAGCCATATATACAAGGAATATGTCTATATCTAAGTCTGTGGGAACTAGCTGGGATTTAGCAAACATATCGTAACTCTGAGCATTTTACTAACATTAACTAAGATTTCAGTTGGATAAATCCCAGCTTGGATAAAGGAGGAAATGGTTTAATCTAAATTGAAGCAAACTTCACTACATAAAAACATCTAATAAATACAGGCCACACACAAAACAAACAATACCTATATATTCTATAAAACAAAGAAACTTGCAACTTATGCCCATACAAGCAAATCATCTCATGGTGATACATGTACATGTACAATCAAAATGCAGAAAATTCAACTTACAATGAAATGTGCATGACTGACGACTGTATGAAAACAAATATACTGTATGTGAGTGATGTCAAAGTTGGATGTGAAACACATGGGATATAATTATATAATGATGCATATCTACCCTTGGCATTCGTTTGACTTCACTTCTTAAAAGAGAGCTTCGTCTTTATAGTTTAACTAGACCCTGCACGCAGGGTAATGCATTTGGGATTTTGGGACTTCAAGCCTATATCCCTAGAGATCAAACCACAGACATTGATGGACAAATTGAAAAACTGTCTTAGTTAAAATAAAGAAATATTTTATTGGTTTTTTACATCAAAGTTCATGAAAGTCATTTGTGATAAAATAGATGAAAAGTGAAAATCGACATTGCTGTATGAAAATGTGTTATTGATGGGTATCTGGGTAGGTATGTAGGAACAATGCAGCACATGCCTATAATGAACAATCCTAACTCAATAGGCTTTCAAATGAATATGTAACTTTATCTATGTTTGATGAATACACATTAAACATGCTGTTGATGTGAATCGAAACAGGAAAAGAAAACAGTGGCGTGCATATACAATACTCTTCAAGTGTACAAGTATGATTACAGTATTTTTCAAGTTTAGAATTAGGATATTTTTCAAATTTAGAATTTCAAATATTCTATCAGGACAGAATGTTCTACAATAGGTTAGAAGAAAGGATTGGCACAGTATGCCTTACAAAGATACATTCAGGGATTTGGTAAGGTTGAAAAGAATGGCAAACTTGATATATTGGAAAACTACACCATATCATTGGACAATATTATAAGTTTCTTGTTTAATAATTTTCAAGAGGTAACTTTGACCTAAAGCGCCTCATTCCTGACTAAACACATGGTGTAGTCAAATTCTATGAAATATGAAAAAATATGTTTGAACATTTGCTACTTCATGGAATAATTCATTTCATCCATTTGAACAGCATTGATAAACTGTTCATTTAATGATATTGTGAACACATGCATAAGAGTTATGTACTGGGAGGTTTTTGATACAGGGTTTACCATTCAGGAAATATGTGTAACTCCCTTGGTCCAACATATGTTGATATATTAACCACGGTGCCCATGTCAAGCTGCGCACCTACTTAGGCGCGCAGTTTGTTCCGATCACAAACTGCGTGCCTGGCAACATTGCATCATTTAAGTTGGAGTCTGTATTTTGAAAAGTAATTTAAAGACATTTATCCTGCATTGTTTTCTTGTTCAATGCGTTCATTCTGTGGCGAATATACGAATCTTGCAAATACTAGCAAAAACTATGTGCAAATGATTCTAAGTTTTAAAACAAAGGCAGATTAATGGCATTTTCGTCACTGATTTAACGGGAATTTATACGTAAATCGATCTAGCACTTTAAACATAAATGACATATACTTTAGACTCGTATTATATTTAATTCCTTACGCATTTATCATGTATAATTCAAAATATTTCGAGATAAAACAGATAATCAGGATATTAAAAAGAAATAAAGCACAAACTGCGCGCCTATTTTAGCCAGAAATTACAAATTGTGTGCATACACTATTAAAACTACATATTATCATTGAAATTTTTACAGAGGCACGTGTAGGTGTTTTTCGTATAGCTTTGGAAATTTTGCTTTATCGTCAGATTTTATGAGATTTTCATATTGAAAGTCAAAATGTATAATAGAAGTGACAATTAAGTTGGCAACGAAAAAAACTTTTTATTTTCAGATCACCATCTTGGTGGATGGACTCTCATAGTTTCGATTATGGGGTTCTACTATTAGACACACATGTGCATTACATATGGCGCTTACGTTTTCTAATAATACAAAACAAGCTTGGATGGGCAAGCAGTTTGGAAATATTAGGCACGCAGTTGGGGAAATACATGTGAATCTAGGCGTGCAGTTTGACAAGAAAAATGTTTAAATCACGTTTATGGCATATTATCGTTTTGAACACAAACTATGCTGCTTTAATCAGATGGAGTGATCCTATATATTCTCGCATACACAGATACAATGGCTGAATAAACGGCAAATGGCGATAAAAAGACAAATATATAACTTTACACTGTAAATTTTGAACACAGAAATTACTTAAGACCCTTATATTGAGATAACTAGGTTTACATCGGGAACAACATTGAGTACTATGAGTAAATTAAGTTCATCTTCACAGAATGGTACTATCTTTAGAATGAGACTAACCTTGTATTTTTCGTATTTTGGCTCTTTTTGGAAGGCATGTCCTCCCCATCTTCAATTTTGAAATATGCGCGCAGTTTGTCAGAGTTTCAAACTGCGTTTCTAGTAGGCACGCTGCTTGACATGGGCATCGTGTTAACCAAATCCCCAAATATTCAACATACTATGCTTTATATAAGATACCCTACATATTTGATTTTGAGCAGACTAAAGCACATGTGCATATGGAATAACTTACAGGGTGGGACAAAAACAACCCTTGGAATTTATATCTCAATTAAATGCTAAAATGAGAGTAAATTCATTTGTGACACCCTGTAGATTATTCAATTTCACAGTACTAGTCAGACCTCATGATACCATGGTAACTTAGCAAAGCACAGTAGGGCTACATGTATTGGTAAACCCACAGTGATCAGCTGAATACAGATAAAGAAATTCTCAAAGTATTTTGGGGCCTGGTTAGTACCTGTTACTCTAGTTTAGTCATGGTGATTTTGCTTTTCCCATAGGTTTGTATTTGGTTCTATGACACATCCATGGCTACTACATTGTACTGTAATGTACTGTAGTGCATTGTACTGCAAGGAACTGTACTGTAGTGCATTGTACTGCAAGGAACTGTACTGTAGTGCATTGTACTGCAAGGAACTGTACTGTAGTGCATTGTACTGCAAGGAACTGTACTGTAGTACATTGTACTGCAAGGAACTGTACTGTAGTACATTGTACTGTAAGGTACTGTATTGTATTGCACTGCCCTTCACAGAAATTTACTTACTACACTGCACTATCCTGCATTGGACTGTTCTACACTGCATTACAATGTACTATACTGTATTTTGCTGTACTACACTGTTGCCTCTGACTTTTTGAGTAAAAACAAGATCACCATGTGCAAGGATATAAAACATGTATACTTACCTTACAGGTGCTCAGTTCCTCTGCCGTTACTACTTCAGGTAATATGAAATATAGGCAAACATTAAAACACATAGTTCACAGGCATTTCAAATTAATTAATTAATTAATACAATTTGTCACCAACATTCATAAATATATTTAATGAAAAAATTCGATTCTACTTTTTATTTTGATCTTATATAATTGTAAAAATAAGTAATTATAAATTCTTGTCAGTTGCGGAACAATGACAATGTCTTTCTAAACAGATTTGATCTGAAAAATAAGTGTGCTATGTACGACCCACATTTGATGTGTTCATTTTGTTACCATAACAACTGTTACACACACGACTGAAATAAAAGTAAATTGAACTTACAAATTATACTGCCACTGTCTTTCTTAGGGCCTCTGAAATATAATGATGAGAGTTATGTTGTACTACAATTGTTATGCTCTGGTCGTTTAAAGGAAGATAGGATAGATTGAAGAGCTCCATTATTGAACACTTTGCGATTTTTGCAAATGAAATGAGACAATTAAAATGTTATTCAAATCTGATATATGCAATTTTTGCCATTTTAGCGGCAAAACTTATCATCAAATAAAAAAGAATTATTATATCTCTTAAATATTTTCTAAACTTCAAAAATAAATAAATTTTATTAGCCTATCTATTTCAAAAAGAAGTATTTATCTGTTTTTAATATTTCAAAACAATTTGTTTCAATGAGAACTTAAACAACTTTTCAGCACTTATGGGTTAATAAACAACTTACTGTAAACGTTTTTGAAGTCTAGCATGTGTCACTACCTCACCCAAAGTGCACTCCATTTTACCCAAGAAGTCCTGCAAAAATACCTCTTAATTCTTGAATCCATACAGGGACCTTTTTAAAGTCAGATAAAAGGATAGTAATAATTTGAACTTACATTAAAGGGACTTTTATTTGTAGATTCTTCCTTGAATTAAGGAATTACAGACTGTAATATGTCAGACTGTGATATGTCAGACTGTATTATGTCAGAAAACTTCCTGCCTATATATTGTTACTTCGTTATTAATTTATTATGATGTTTTTTAAATGGCGAATGCAAGAAGTTCAATTTCTATTTTTCAGAATCACTATGTCAGACTATGTTTTTGTATTAAGTATATGTACACTGTACTTAACTTTCAAATGATATTGGTTTCATTATTAGAAAATATGACTTACATGTTTACTCAGATCTCTGCTTTTTGAATCAACATCATATCTGAAATTCCACAAAAGAGAATATTACCAAAAAGTAAGGGTTTTGAATTGTCTTATTTGCAGTTAACGAAAATGAAATACTGTGCTAAGGGCTGATGTGAAAAAGTCAGTTCACCAATGAGGATTGAACCCTCAACCCTTGCTGGATTATCAAGCACTCTTACCCTGAGCTAGAGGACTGGCTGACTTTTCCACATCATCCTATTCTTCTCAGTAAGATGTCATTGTAGAGAGAAGTATATTATTTGGTTAAATTAAGCTACAAATATAACACAATCTTCAAAGTAATCCATTTACTTACATTTCAAACTTAATTTTCTGTGACTCTTCAAAGAAATACTCCATTTGGAACTTTTTCACAAAATCTGGATTTAAATTGTTCCATATTATTTCTGTCCTCCCAAACTAAAAAACAAACATAAACATTGGTTTATAGAATATACAAAGGAAACAGACACTTTTAAGTTTTTTATAGGCTATTGTAAGAATAGGATATTCAATTAAATTACCTGCACATATTATTATGCATTTTTCGGGAGTAGAGTGAAAAACTGAGAAATGTGTCTTTATTACCCAATTTATTAAACTAAACAAAATAATGGCTTTTCAACTCATGCTAATGCCATTCCTAGATGTATAAATTTAAACGAGGATAATCAAATGCATCCTAAAGTCAAATTAAAAAATCATCAGAACTTTTTGAAGGACTAAATATTTTGTGATAATTGAAACTGCAACTTACTTCTTTCCATTCACGTTTTCCAAATTCTTGTATATAGACAACACCCACTGAAAATTAAAACATATGTACAGATGTATAAGCTAAATGAGAATAAAGGGGTCTACTTTTTAAGGCATATCTAAGTTATTTAAAAAAAAAAGTTAATAACAACAGTATTTAACAAATAACTTCATACAACTATTATAACTTATTGATTTTCCAAGCATGGGGTAATTTTTGATATTTTGTTAGTCCAGTGTCATTTTTTAAAAGGAAATGTAAATATAAGATTAGATTTTACGAGAAGGGATGGGATCAATCCAATTTGGAACATTTCAAACTCCTCAAACATTAACTTATTGTTAATTGAATTGAAACAACTTTTTTCACTTACTTGGATCTGATTTTGAAAATGTATCCATATCTAATAATTTTCTGAAAAACAAAAATGTAATGCATTTGTAATTTATTTTCAACATAAATCATCTTCCCATTTATCAAGTACATGAGATACCTGTTATTCAGCATTTCAAATGGTCTGATGCTTCAAGGAATGTTTCACATTTCAAGAATGGGAAAAAGCGTACCCAACAAAATCAGTTTCGTTGTTGCCGATTGGATTAAACTTGATTGGAATAAATATAAAATGCTTGTTATATAATTTGATAGGTATTCATAAATGAATTATGAGTTAAATGAATCTAAAATTTTATGTATCAACATACTTGAGTACCATGTACATGTATAGTAGTCTAGATTTACATATTTAAGGTAGTTAATAATAATCATTCTATGAAATTTACAGCCGGTATTCTCATGCTACTAAATGCTATTTAATATAACCTTGCAACCATTGTGACGGTCATATCACTACCACGGTCATGACAGGCCTTGAAATATAATATAGCATTGTTAAGGTTATACCAGGCTTTAACATTACCACGGTCATGACAGACCTTGCAACCACTGTCACGGTTATATCAGGCTTAAACATTAGGCCGCGCCTGGAGAGCCTTAAATGCTAAAGAGCCTTAAATTTTAAGGTTCTTTAGCATTTGGGCTAAAGAGCCTTAAATTTTAAGGCTCTTTGCATTTTGATAGCCAATTCTGCTAGAGAGCCTTAAAGGAATTCCAGGCGACAGAAATGACGAAATATTACTTCTGGGACAAGATCAAACGACTTTGACATATTCTATACCCAACCTATTTTGTAATTTAACAATCAGCACAAATATACATACCATATTAGCAGATATCGGACAAATTCAAAAAGAAAATTTTTTTGATCGATAAAATCACTGATTATTAAACCGGAAGTGACTTCTCTGAGGTCCTCGAAGATGAAGAAGATAACATATAAAGATTTCAGTCATTTCAACTAACTTTGCCGTCGATTTGAATGGTTTTAAATGATCTTCTAATGCTTACTATGACTTCTATTAGTACTGTTTTGAATTCCCCACTTCATAAAAAAACATTATCACTTTTTGCTTGACTCATAAATTTACTTCCGGTCTACCGAGAGAAATAAAAGAACCTTTTCAATCCCCAGTCTAAATTTGGCTTTTTAAGGTTCAAACATCGACTTTGAAAAGTAAATGTTTGTTTGTTTGATGTTCATGCATATATCGAAAATATATGTCTCTGGTTCACCAGAGAGGGTGTAAGACCAGGCAATCACGTATATAGCCAGAAAAAGTTATTTTTACCATTTTATCCACTATAAATCGCAACGTCCGTTTAGTAAAGATTTTGATGTATAGACATTTATTGATAGATTGCAATGGATTGGAGGCTAGGATAAAAATGTTGTTGTTGTGTTGCATAAGCCGCTGTTTCCTCGACAGTTCACCTCTTGTACTGTAAATTTTCTTTGTGCTGTCTCATGTGCTTAAATTCTGAGGAAGATCTGAGACTAACATATTTTATGTTAGTCTCAGGGAAGATGCAAAAATATCTTGTCACGTGAAAAATTCTAAAATCAGCATTGAAATCTAATGGGCAATAGATTTGGAAGTGTATTCTGTGATGTCCCTGTATTCACGATAAACTGCGTCAAGATGTGCTGATCTAGAAGAAACAAGATCCTTTTTCATCCCCAGGTCTTCATCATACTTTTTGCCATCTTAAAATGGGATTCCCTGCATCTTGTGACTATAGCAAAGCTGATACAAGTGATTAATTTCATTAAACATTGATGATGGAGCGATGGAGCAAGCCCAAGAATTCTAGAAAAAATTGTGTACATAATTTCCGGACATCAGAGAACCGGGCGGAGAACAAACTTCCGGCTTTTTACTCAAAATAAAAAGTACTCCATCGGGGAATCGAACCCACGCCGCAGAAGTGGAAACAAGCACCCTAACCACTATACCAGAGTGTTTTTCCATGTTGGGGCTAATTTTTTTGCAACTCTATAGTGATATACATGTGTGAAATTTTTAAGTGGCATTCTGGGTTGAAAAACTTTCGAGAGTGTTATTTTATTGTTTAGATGAAGAAAACTTCAATAAAAAACAATATAAAAACGGATTATTAACACAAAGGCTCTCTAGCCAAAACACTATGTTCACAGCTAAATAGCCTTAAATTTTAAGGCTCTTTAGCATTTTGGCTAAAGAGCCTTAAATTTTAAGGTACTCCAGACACTTCGTAAACATTACCACAGTATTGACAATATAATATAGCATTGTCACGGTTACATACCAGGCTACCAAGGCCATGGCAAGATCCTTGTGAAACTTAAAAACACTCAATAACATGGTGACGGTTGTGCCAGACATAAGTCTTGCAATAGATAGCATGTGTATAAACCCGGAAGTAAAATTTGATTGTAAAATGTTGTTTAGATCTATCATGGTTTATTTTGTTTTCGAAACCAAATTCAAACAGTAATTTCAGCCTTTGATGGGATTTAGGGGTATATAAATTGCACCAAAAAGATGAAGCATATCGTAAAGAATAGTTTTACAGTATATTTACCTGCATGATATGGATAGTTCGACCTGTGTTGCGGGTACTGAGGCAGTACCTGCTTGGAATCCTTGAGCCATTTTGGTTGCTTGTTTATGTGTACGAAAGATGAATCACGGAATTGCACAATTTGTAACATGAAAACAAGAGTTGTGGCCTGAGCAGGGGTATATATTGCACACCTGAAAATCAAAAATGAATTCCAATAGATGTAATAATGTTTAAATCATATTTAGTTGTGTATTTATGTAATGATGGGACTAATTCGAGACAGAATAAATTAATCAATATTTTCTGTGGTCACGTGACGAACATTATGGCGGAAGTAAAAAATGACATCAAAAATTTCCAGCTCTTATTTTATCGTTTGTAACAGGATATGTGCAACAGAAGATGTGGGTTCCAAGCAAAGAAGTTAAATATGGCGTTGGTAAGTTGTTATGAGTATCTTTGCTGCCCAAAGATGTATTTAAAGTGAACGAATATATTACAGTTTGTATTTGCTGATGATTTCCTATATTTTTTTACAAAAAATAAGATCAGAAAAATACATGTATGTTTACTAGCTCTTACTATATTTGCACATAGCCATCTTTAGATATATCTCTCAGGAGATAGCTTTGTGTAAACTAGCTCTAGTCTATTAAATAACGGAGTGGCTCCAGGACCGAAAATTGTCGGTACTGGAGACTGTCCGGGGGTATTTGCTGGGGTACCGACAATAATCGGCACTCTATCGTCACCTAGTAGTGCCAGATAGAGAACCGACAATTGTCGGTACGCAAGTGGCTGCTACGTGTTTTTGCTAAAGAGCCGACAATTTCATGAATAGATCCACTATTTTTACTATCGAAATAACCTCATCACTGGTAGCCTAGTGGTTAGGGAGCAGGACTCGAACACACTCGGTCCCGAGTTCGACTCCCGGCAGGACCCACTTTTTTCTTTTGAGGGGGGGCATAGTGCTTCTTTTGCAGTATGGAATCGTACAGACATTAACTTGTAGTGAGCCATAATTTATTTCGACAAAAATTGATTCAACTTCCATCAAAATTGTCCTACAAGCTTCAATTAAAAAACATTTTAAAGCTCTTATTCTATCTAATGGTCGATATATACAGTTAGGGGAGGGGATGCTTTCGCCCCCGTCGCTCTCTACCCTTACTACGCCATGGCACAGGAGAAATATCTCATTTGGAATATATCACTGTTAACTTTGTGTTTGGTAGCTCTCTCATGGGAGATGGAATCGTGGCCATTAACTAAGGGAGCCAAATGCAACTTCCATCAAAAATTGTGCTATAAGGTATGAGTACCGTAATCCAACACCAAATTCGAAAATTCATAACAATACTTTGCACACATGGCGTTCGTGACCAACTATGAAACGCTTGTCTATGTCTATGTCAATAATCCGCAAAAGGCTAATAAGCCCATATAAAGCAGATATATAATTTAACAGTGATAGAATTTCATAGAGCTTACCCCCCATAGTGTTACTATCAAAATGCACCTGTCCATATAGGGGTTCGATTGACCTACATCAAATTATAGGGAGTCAGGTTACTTTTTGAGATATCAGCGTCCGTTTATTGTAACTTGCGTTTGCTACCACTTCCTCAATTCTGATATGACGGGCAAACGCGTAGTAAACATGCTCACGTTCGGAACTATTTTCACCTACATCGCTATTTTCGTAATTCAAATGAAAGTTGAACTCCTCTTTATTTTGATACCAAATAGTGGCATACTAGGTACCCTAGAAGCCAACTATGGGTTATTTAGTATGATACCACAGGTTTTTAAATGGACTATATAGGTCATACCTTTTGGCGGATGGATATGGAACCTCATACCATAAGCTTCAAATAAATACATTCTAGCTATTTTCTTGGTAGAGATTAAAAGGTGGATTGGATCGAGTGGATTGGATTCATGTAAAAGGTGGATTGGATTGGCTATCTTCAAAATATGGATTTTCCTTTAAAAATTCTATTGATCTCCCTCTAGGAAGATTGGTGCTCTCTTCACTTGCACAATGTCAAATAATAGATGTAATATTATTTTGCTTGGGTGGGCTAGAAGGATGACCTGGTACCCACTTTCTGATTCCAAGTGTAATTTGAGACATTTCATAAATCATAAGGCAGACTGGTTTGAAGATCCATATCATCTGTTTTCAATCCAAACTGAACATACCAGAAATGATTTGTGAACATTCACACATCAATTTGAATGACAAGTTTTCTTTTTCTAAAGATCTATGTCTTACAAAAGTTGATTTACAAGGGAAAGCAGTTAAAATATCAAGTGTCCATGAACTAATTGGAGTATGTATTTGTCATTACATTGTTCTAATTTCTCAAAAGGGACCTGTAATCAGGTAATACTGTAGAGGAAAATTGTTTAGAAGGAGATCAACAGAAATTTTTTTATAAGAAATTCCACATTTTGAAGATTCCTGATCCAATCCACCTTTCACATGAATCCAATCCACTCTATCCAATCCACCTTTTAATCTCTACCATTTTCTTCTATCTAATGGGTAGCAAACGCCCCTTTCTACGCCTGATCGGCTCAGGAGAAATATCCTGTCTGTTTAGAATATATATAGCCGTTTACTCTGCATTAATAGCTCTCTAACGTCTTACTTGTTCATGTTTTTTATTGGGTTTTCAACGTTTACTACCATTCCCCGTTCCCGGGCTACCATTTTTTGACTGGGTTTGGTAATCCCCGGGTAACCGGGGCTAATGCCCTCCCCGGGTTTTGCACTTGTTCCCGAAATATCCGTATGATATCTGAAATATCCCCCCGCATGCGCCAGAAAATTCGAAAATCAATATTTGTCGGTCCTCTAGCGTGTAAACACAGCATATCTCCCGTACCGACAATTTATTTGTCGGTCCTCTAGCGTGCCACCACATCAGAGTCTAGAGTACCGACAATTGTCGGTACTCTAGCCTAGGGCCGTGCCATTCGACCGGAATCGGTCCGAACCGCGGACTTTTGTTAAAATACCGGAATTCGGAATTTTAATATCATGTTCCGAAGGGTTTCGGAACAATATCGGACCCTTACCTTAGTACTTGCTTTGAATCGTTAATATCCGTGACCATTGTTCCTCCAGTCAATTACGCATGCGCATTATGATCAGAGCAGCCGGAAGTGAAAACAAGTAGAAAAAAGATCGAATTTTCTCTCTTTTTACAGATTTTAGAGTCTATTTCTTTCGTAAAAACATTCAAACTTGCTTGACAGGAAAGGTAAGTGTTAACCTGACAAACTTGGACGACGATATCGTCATGATCGCCGTCGAACTCACTCATACATAATTATTTTCATTTGTGAACCAAAAGGGGTTCCGAAAGTTCCGATTCCGTGAGACCAAGTTCCGGTTCCGATTCCGAACCGTCCGAACCGGTTCCGGCACAGCCCTACAGTCTAGCCTTTACGATTAAATAAAGCACTGTATTAACTATTCCTTTCGGAGCATTAGTTTGAAAATCATTTATCAACGTCGTTGACTGATATATGAGATCCTTCCTACACTACTGGGTGCAGTAAATGCATTGTACTGAAATGTCCAGGAAAACGGATTAGATTGCGATTTCTACCATATGCACCATGCACACCACAAATCCAATAGTGGTTTACTCGCCAGTTTATAGACCAGTGTAATCATCAAGTTCTTGTGCCCAGTTTCTTTCATGTTAATCTTGAACAGAATGCTATCTTTCTTAGTTTGTGATTTACTGTATTCTTCACATCTCTGAAGAAAATAGGGAACCAGTTTCGTACATATAGGATTATAGGTAATTGTCGGACAAATGGCTGGCTGCACTAAGTGTCCAACAGGAACAGTATTGGATTCCCACCCTCTAGCGTAAGATAAGGGCTTGCTTTGCTTGCAGTGATGCAAACCAAAATATTTGCACCCCCCTTGACATATGCTGGCAACACCCCTGGGAATGAATACAAAATAGGGTACATAACAGACAAAATGGAACAAGTGGGAAGTGAAGAGGATGTAGCTTTTAGGTTACGTAAGATAATAAACTCTGGAAAATGGGTTTGTGTCACATATGCCCCCCCCCCCTTCCAATATGGTGCTATCCATGTTGCAAGACAAAATGACAACTCTCTTGAAAGCCCATGAGTATACCAATCACATTAGAATACAGTCATTTTTGAGAGTTAGTATGTATAATTTTTGATCCTGTGTTGTGTATAAGGGTACTGTACAATGTGTCTACGGCTCTACGGGTCAGTATGTGCATCTTAAAGTTATGCTTTTTCTCTTGCAGCTGTTTGTCGCTTTGATGGTTGTAAAGTTAGCCATGGACTGTCATTGCAGATAGGTGACTGTGTACAAGTATTGGAAGAATGTTCAGGTAACACAATTATTCATACCCAAACAAACATTAAATCATTAACATCAATAACTCTGCAAGTTTTTAGAATGTACAGGGGTTTCACTAGAATTTCTCACAATCGGCTAAATGAATGAAAACAACAGGCGAAATTCATGGAAATCATAAATTGAACATAGAAAAGTTGAAAAGTCACTAAAAACAATAGGCATTTTTGTGAAAACAACTGGTGAAAATCGCCTGTTGCTAATGAAACCCCTGATGTATGTAAAGATTTTCATTTCATTCAACAATCAAAAACAATATTTCTTTTCAGTGTTTGGTAAACACTTTTTACACCTTTTTAAAATGAGAAAAGCATTAGACATAATAGTTAGTGTATTTTGTATATCACAAGTTAATTTCAAGTACATGTATGTATGTATGTATAAATTACAGTTGTGAGTGATCAAAAAGAGAAAAATTTATGAAAACTTTTGAAAAAATGCATATATGAAGACGAAGTTGGAGAATTGTATCCATAAATTGTATATTAATTGTGTAATAAATAATAATTGTCAGGCTAATCTCTGTTACTAGTAACTAATTTTGATTGTCCATGCAATGTATTATATTTGCTATGTTACTTTTAGGATGGTACAGAGGAATCAATCTAAAGACAAAGAATAAAAAGGTACTTAAAATGTTATTTATAAGTGTAAAATAAACGAAAGCCAATAAAATAGCTTTAATTGTGTCTGTGTTTTCTCCTCATTTTCCCTTGTTCTTCTGAGTGGATAGTAGACTCTGGAAGAAAAACATCATCTGCCTTGAAATATAAAGCTGTCTGAACATAATATATTTTTATTGTTGTGTACTAAACATTCCTCGGTGTGTAAATTTAGCAATTGTATGTGCAGAATTATTTGAACGGAATTATTATTGAATCCTCAATGTTTTCTTTCAGGGAATATTTCCTGCTAATGTTGTCCATCAAAAACCATGCAAAGTTGACAATGAAGGGTAAGTTTACTTTTTTTATTAGCTAATTTTTATGTTGTATTTAGGTTCATACACTTTAGCCAGTGTTTCCTTGCAACGATTAAGATGATCATTTTACATTTGATTGAGAACTACCCTGGAGAGATCGCTGACATATTAGTGAATAGAATAGTAAAAGTTGAGGATTTTCATGTCAAAATAACCTAATCTTTTGTTTGAAATATTCCTTCTATCTTACATTTAGTAGAGTAAGTCAATTCATCTAGGGGAGCAGAGAATATAATTGTCTGAGTGAAAATATAGGTATCTAGTGACACATTTAATGCCCTCTTCCCCAGAATGTGATGATATTGACTATATGACTATACACTAAAATATCTAGTCACTTGTAAACTATCGCAATGATTTGAAATAGAAGTGTATTTTACATTGGGTTTTAAAAGAGGAGATCTTATACACTATACTAAAGACTGTACATAAACTGTAATAGATATTGAGGACTGTAGAACCCTGTAGGCCCCGATACTTCATAAATCAACTGGGAACTTTTTAATATACTGGTAAACACTTGAATTGTGAAGAAAATGCCAAATTGCTTGAAAGAGAATTGAATTGAAATATTCAAGGCAAATTGATTGAAATGTTTCGAGTGGCAAAAGAGACGAAAGCAGCAACTTGTGATTGAAGCATATACTTGAAAGAAATGTTCCTGCTTTTTGTCATATTGGCTTAAACTTCACCTTATCTGGCCATGGGCCTTTCAAAGGTTAAATGCAAGAAAGCAGCAACTTCAGGGGTTTGTTGTGTTCGAGGAAACAAATGAAACCATTGAAATAAATGAAATGAAAAACATATGGTAAGAATGAAAAGATGCAACCATTGAATGATTGAAACATTTGAAACACATTTTTAATTAACAGCCTTATTCTAATTACTCCTTTGAAGTTATTCATTAAGTGTTGAAGATCTATAAAACTGGAGGTAATAACGAAGATGTGAGTAGGTAGTTACCAGTTTCACCACCAGGTGGGTCGTTTGGGTCAGATAGCATGGCGGTTATTGTAGAAAGTTCCCTTTAACTTAAATTACATCTGTTTTAGAGGTTCAATTTTCATATCACCCTTATGTATCTAAAAGTTATGCAAATTAAAATGTCTCCAGTAAAAGAAAATATTATCTGTCCAATACAAGAAAAGATATTTCACTTTTTGTGATTCTGTAACATGGAGTCTATGGGGAATCTCCCCGAACTAGAAAAAATATAAAATAAATTTTCAAAGATGATAAAAATTTTCGAAATCATATTTTAAATGTCCTTTTACATGTAGATTTCAAATATGACATCACTTTGACTGAATTTTGAATATTTTATGATGTAAATAAAGATTATTTCTACTCACATCTAGTCTATTTTAAAAGAATGCTTATTTAAATGTAATGATTGATGTGATTTGTAAATGCGAATATCATGAAGAGTCAATAAAAGAAAAGCAAAAGTACAATGAAATAAGTTTGTGTCAAGTTAATCTTTTGTTGACTTTATTTTGTGATATATGCATATTTGACAACTTATTGTTATCAGTTTTATAGCCAATGGCTCCTTTTATATATCAATCAGGATGTTATAGTTACATATTATGATATCTTAATAACTTCAACTGCTTCTTGATAGATAAAATGCTTGATTAGACATGACATTTCATGGGATTTTCTGGCTTGTAAATATCATATATTTTGTTTATACTCATAAAGACAAAAGCAGTGTTCTGGGGGGGCATCTCTATCTTTGATCACTATGGCTGATCGGAACAATAAAGTCTTGGTGGAATCAAAGGCTATGCCTTCCCATGAAACTCATGTTCAGTTGATCTCTGTAATTGATTTGATTGGTCAAAAGTAGATTCAAATTAAATCAATAGAAGGCCGTGCTTTCTCAAGATGTGCCATTATTATTTTTTACAACTAGCATTCAGGGTCTGTAACAAACTGTCACACTTTTGCAATGATTTACCAGACCATGTGGTTACATTTTATCATGTTATTGCCTTGTTTAGAATATAGTGAATGTTGTTACAACTGCTTATAAATAGATTTAATTACCAAAGGAGGCAAAGTATAAAAGTGCTTCAGATATTGACAAAAATATATTCAAGATAACCTTCTTTTCTGTCAAGAGTCATTAAAAAATCTATTTATTTTGTACACTATGCCTTGCTAAAAAAAAACATTGATGACTTTTGACCTGTCGTGATGTTGTCTAAAAACACAAGCAATGAAACATCAAATATATCATTTATTATAACCCTGGCCTTGTACTAGTATCTATTTTAGAATCATGGCTATGATTTGTAATACATGCTTTAAGAAAAGCATTGTTTTTTAATAACTTTTTAATTACTCATTTGCAATTGTCAAAAAACAAAAAGGACCTTTGTTTATTAGGGTCAGTGTGCTCTACATGCCATCATGTGAGTTTTGCAGTAAATCTCAGAATGATTTAACTAATGATTAAATCCAATACCATTATTAAAGAGGTAGGGGAAAATAACCTCCCATCATACCATAGCCAATGTGCATACCACAATATAAATGTGAACCTCTTTTCCATTGTTAACCTACTATAATCGTTATCACTGATCATTGATCATTGATTGCATCACTCAAAATCTACAAAATCTACCACTTTAAAATAAAAATATGCCCTAAATGTTATAAACTGATACAAGTGGATATAGAAACCAAAAATAAACTTCCTGGTTAAATAGATTTGGAAAATTTGGTTTCATAATATCTACTGAAATGAATGCAGATTGATAGCAAAACCAGGATGTAAATAAAGCCTTAACTAACTAGTATTCTATACCAGTCTCAAAAGACATTGTTGTTTATATTGTATTTAAGTGTTTTATTTGACACTTTTTAGAATATGAACTATTCTCGATGGATAATACTTTTAGATTTTATTGTATTATATTAAAGGTTTTTATGTTATACAAAATCATTAAGTTAAATTTAGAAATACCTGTGCGATGTAAGATAAGTACTGCTGACCGATTTAACTTTATAATAACTGAAGCATTATGAAACCAAGTTGATTTAAGAAAGTTTAACTAAATTTTGTAAAGATGCATATTCACTTTCCATACCAGAGCAATATAACAACTATTTGTTGGAACTTGTTAAATACTCCTCAAAGTTAAGTTATACAGGGTGTCCATCAAGTCTTTTTACAATTACAATACAATGCATGCATAACATGTAAAGAGACTTGAACACCCTGTATAGCATTATGTATTAAATATTAGCAAAGCAACATTGGCAAAGGTATATATGGGGATGTTTTAAAAAATTGTGTACAGTATCATGAAATCCTGAAGTTAACATTTCTGAGCTTTTCTGGATAGTTGCAGACTTAGGTACTGCAGTTTTGCTTTACATTGTAACAAATTTCAAGTACTCTACATGGTAAATATTGCATTGGCTTTAAAATTCTTCGCATGGTCAAGCAGTGCCTTCACTAATTCTGAACATTTTCAATAGGGCCATTCAATATAAAAAATTCTCTATTGAGTAGTGATATGATTTCACCGGAATTACAGAAAATGCATTTCAAGGTTGCCCCATTTTAATTCCATTTACGAGTAGTCTTTGGAACAACAACTTGAAAATATCTGCATAAATTGGGATATTTAATACATAATGGGCAATGGCTAACCTAATTGTGCCTGGGTGAGGCATCATAATTTTTGGTATAAATGGATTGTACAAGTATTAATGTAACATTTTTGGATGGGGCCTAAAATGAGATTGCACCATGTACCTTTTGATGGATGGATACACATGTTCATATTAATGACTTTTAGATGCACTATTTCAACAAATATAATAAAACCCTAATCCAGGGTTCTCTCGTAACATTCAATGTTAAAAGTTGAATATTATGATAAATTTAATAATTTTTCATTTATTTGTAATTAATCTATATATGCTTAGATCAATTTTGTCATTTTGTTTCCAGGCAACAGTTTAAGTGATGGTTTAAAAGTTTTAAGCATGCTTTGTGGCATGTTCATTGCTCTAACCCTTAAACATCGTGAGATATCACAGCCTTCTCTCAGTGTCCTTCTAGAATGCCGTGAGTTACTTGGCAATAGCCTTCGATCTGATGGGGGCGTGGCCCGTCCAGATTTCGGCCAAAGTGATATGACGAATCAAATCCGTATTTACAGGTCACGTGACAGTGAGTGGCGGGTAAAAGAACTCCACCAATCAGATCGCTCAGTTTCAAATAAGTAGAGTTAAATTTCAATTGATATTCATAGGGACGTGGTCTTGTGGTAGAATCCTCGCTGAACACGCTGCAGGCCCGAGTTCGAATCCCGACGCCACCCTTTTTACTTTTTTCAACTAAATGATTGTTCTTTGATATTACGCAGAAAAAACAATTTTTATTTACATAAACTTTATATTAGAGCTTGAAAATGTAAAAACAATTAAATATGTCAACATTTTGCGTTTTGGAGCGATGTGCAGGTTTAAAGTTTTTGATCATGTACCCTTCCCTTTTGGCATTTGCGCTTATATATTCAAGAGAAGTGTATACCATTGATAGAAAATAAACAGGGTTTATTCCCTAGTACTAAAACTGGAAGCGGGAAGAGTTTGTGCTACCACGATGATCCCGGAAGATAGACCGAACGATAATGGTACCTCGTTAGGAAAAAAGGATTTTTCTAAACTTGTTAAATACACGATCAAATCGATGGAAAACAGACTAGGTATCGACTACTTGTGTAGAAAATGAGATAAAGACGTGATGTGAGTAGATATTTACCCCTCGAGACCCTCGAAGATCAACAGGTTAGAGAAATCTTTAAAAGTGAAAAAAATATGTAGGTCATGTCGGATGTCATTTTCGTTTCATAAATTCAACTTCAAATAAGTCGGGTTTAAACGCATGGATTGCCAAGAAACTCGGTTATATATAACTTTGAAGCACCATGGTTGTAGTGAACTACAAATCATGTATAACATCGTGGGGAAAAGGTATATTTTCTAATTTTAGAAATTAATCAACTGTGATTGGTTAGAATTCTGACGTCATTGAATATATTAATATCATTATAATATCATTATAAATCTAGGCCCCGCCCATTCGATCGGCAATCAATGCAAAGTATATCAGAGCATTCTTGTGCATAGCAGAGATGGTCTGAGTATCAGAATGCCCTTAAAGGCCCTGTGCAAAGTTAAAATATTTGAGGCATTTTTCAAAAAGTAGACTTTAAATAACTAGTTGGTCTTTATTTTTTAATATTTGAATTTTCTGCCATTTTAGCAATAAAAGTCAAGATTTTTAGATCATTCAAATGTCAAAAGTTATACCATTTCAAACAAATCATGCCAAGTGGTTTAAACTTTCCATGGGGCCTTTAAGTAGAATCACTAAGTGTTTCATAAACGTTTGCAGTAGAGGATGAATAAGTCAAATCAAATATAATTTTTAATTGCTTGTATTCTTTACCTTGACTGTGAAAATATTTTTTGTACATATACACTTGTTTTAGGGCTCATGACCAATTATTTGATGAAATTTCAGTGAAAATGTTATATAGCATTCTATTCACAGTGAGTTTACAACAGATACTTTAGATATTTCACCTTCTTAGGCCATTCAAAGTTAGATGTATGTTTAATAAAATGATAAACTCATGAGATGAAGGCAAATTTTGAGAAATGTACAACATATGTATTTGTAATATGTAACAAATCCAATGAAAGTGGCACCTTAAAATGAGTTCTGCAAAGAGAAAAGATATGCATGTCTTAGCTTCAGTTCTGTCTTCATTAAAAAGGTTATCCAAATTCAAAGAAGTTAATTAATCTGTTACTCTGTAGGGATTTTGGCTGTTTTTGACTAATATAGACCCACTTTTCCATCTGTGTATCTTTCCATCAACACTTTTTGAACAAAGAAAAACTGCCATTTTCAGAACCAGTGCTGATCATATAATGGATCTGGAATAAAGTTATGGATTTTTTTTAATTTATATTCACCTCCTACTGTTTAGACTCTCAACAGAATTTTAAACAAACGCTTGACTTTCAATGGCCTTGTGCTAACTATCAGTATGTTTCTGTGAGATTTGTCAGTGCTCAAGTATTCTTAGATGGTTGAAATGTTATGTTTAGATTACTCATAGTGAAATGTTATTGATTCTTGAGACTACTACAATCCTACTTGATGATTGCAAAAGTCAGGATACCATGAAGCCCTTGTGTAACTAATTTACAAAAACCTATATGAGTATGACCCTCACATTACCACATGACTGGTCCCCAGGTAACTCTATGTGATTCCCAAGGCTGTATTTGACCCCCCCTCCTGTAATACTACATGGGCATCAGAAGGGCATTGGGTGCATTGGGTGCAAACTGCCCAGATTTTTTTGTAAAAAATTTCCCAACAAAGCATTCTCCCCAGTCCCCATTGACCCCATGAAACGTCAGCAGTTGTCAACATATTAAACACACAAATCTCAACATTGATTCTGTATAATGTTAAGTACATTGATTACAAAAATCAACAATAATATTAGCTTATCATCTGGCATTATATGATACAGTTATCTTAGGTAAGCTCAAATACTAAGCTTATTATCAACAGCTTATGTAACTTTTATCTCAGTATTGCTTCTGGAATTACTTATAGATAATGTTCTATAACATCTTCAGTCAGAGTTGGTGTCCAAATGCTAACAAGTGGAGTGAAATGAAGTTCATTTCATTTGCGTTTATGTAACAACATTTTGGAATCTTGATTAGTTTTTCTTTTTAATTCTCAAAAATCAGTATTCTTCACGAATGAAATCACCATATACTCGTAACCCCCTTTCCTCTACCACAATCAATTTTGGTCGTCTACAACTGCTGAGATTTTGACAGCATCCCTTATAGAGTCATTTCACCAACTTTTGTTGCAACTGAGCAATTTATCCATTTGAAAATTAGTTAGCATCTGTAAACCTGTATAAAGGGAACACCTTTGTTTCCTTTAAAAGTGTTTCATATGGGATGTTTTCTACTTCTAGGAACTCTGAAAAGTGTTTCCATACAAAGGTGTTCCATTTACTGAGTTGTTACATCCAGTTGAGAATTACTTAAAGGGTGACGCATATCGTTTAGCAAATCGAACGCTCGTTTCTGGTGTTGCTCACCGTTTAGTATAAAAGGCCCGATCCCGGAATAATACTCAAGGGTTCACAGGTTTGAGGTCGTTGTGTCAACACCTCTAACTGTTATATAGCATAAGTATATTATAGATCGTCACACATTTATAAAAGGGTAATTTTTATTTTGACAAATCAATTCCACATTTATGGGTGAAGTTTCAGGATCTTCTATTTGTGTATAATAAGGAAAAATTGGCATCTAAATTTCCCCATAACGTAATAGCACACAGCTTGGCATATGAAATATCCTACAAATGAAACAAAACAAGACAAACCGGTTTCTAATACAAGGATTTATATTGGCTGTTGTACATGTATTCTTTGAACGCAATCACTCTTTGGATAACGTTTTCAAAATCATTATAAACGGATTACTTTATCTCGAAGAAAATTTCAATTAACTGGATTTTACAGAACTCCCCTTATTTCTTAAAAATGGACTGATCCAGTTGATTCGCCTGGAGCCGCCATATTGTTTTTATACGGGATGCTAATCGGAACCCTTTAAAGGAAATATTTTTTGAAATTTCTGATTTGGGTTCATTCACTTCTGAACAGTGTGTTCTTACAGTGATTACCACTTACAGTCATACAGTATCAAAAATCAGCATGATATTTCAAATACTAGACAGAATAAGTTAAATGATCATTTTACATACAATTGAGAAAAAACCTGGGGAGAAATCTGACATATTTGTGAATAGAATAGAAAAAATTGATGATTTTCATGTCAAAATAACCGAATCATTTGTTAAAAATACATGTACTCCATTATCTTGCATAGTTTAAGGATGGTACATTTATTTTCAATTGATGCAACTTTTAAAATACCTGATAAAAAAGAATTTTTGGGAATAATATTTCAACATACCATAATGTTTTTAAAAAGTATACAGAAAACAAAAAATGATTTAGTCCGAGAAAACATATATGTTTTTGGTACCTGTTAATGCATATCATTTCAGAAAAGATTATTTCAGTTAATTAGCTAGAGTTTTTTTGTTCTCTATAGCATGGACATGAGGACATGAGCCAATCATGAGGCAGGTGAGGCCTTTGCCTCACCAAAATTTCAAGGAAAATATCAATTCAGGCATTCAATTGAAATTGTAAAAATAAAGTCTTCACTGTTTGTTACAAGTGCGTTTGATACAAGGAAGTAGATTTAAGTTAAATGTTGATATAACAATGTTGATAAACTACTGTGAGAGTGTTCTATATAAAAACCTTATCAAGCCTACTTGAAATTTCTATTGTCATTTCAGTCTAATTTGAAACCAATCAATGACGTTGTATTGCTGAAGTCACGATTTATATAATGAACAATTGATTATGTGCAAAAAGTATGCCTTTGGAGAATTTTATATTCATTTCCTGGAGATCCTTACGTGCTTTATGGTCGCACATACCAATATTATTTATTGCTTCCTTCTGCTAGCTAGTATTAGCAATAAGCCCCTATAAGTCCTCCATTATCTGCCCATCCATGGTATCTAGAAACATGCCAAGGGTCAATATTTAGTGGAATGACTTCATAAATACTTTTTTATAGTTGCCTCACTGATTGGGGTTTCGGAAGTTAATTCGTTAAACTGATTGGGGTTTCAGAAGTTAATTCGTTAAACTGATTGGGGTTTCAGAAGTTAATTGCTTACTGAATAGGGTTTTAAGAGTTGATATCTTCCTTATTGGGGTGTCAGTTTCTCATATTTTCTTGTCATTTATCTCATATTTTAAATGCATGTATATGTTCAATGTATGTCTTAATATAAGTTTTTCTCTTCATATTTTTGAATCTGAATTTCGTTGGTGACATATTACTATGCTCAAAGTTGCAAGTGTAGCATATTTTGTAAAGGAGTCAATTTTGGAACATAATGCTGAAGAAATTAAAAATTATGCAAATGGAATTACAGAATCACAAATCCCCCAAATAAGAAATAGACAATATTAATATTATTATGGTACAATGTATTTATGAATGTCAGGGCATTTGCCAACAATATATGTACATTGTATATGGTCTTGATTCATAATTAACAAATGGTTCCATTAGCAAAGGTTACTATGGTGATGGAGGATGAAGAGGAGTAACAAGAGTCATTGGAGTATGATATAACTCATGTGTTAACTTTATTATTTTTTTGTTGAAACTTTTTGTTAATTTTTTTTACAGGATGTTTATAAGGTTGATGCCAAGACTTAAGTAGATTTTGTCAATTGTAATGTCAAATGTAATCTAGTTATGCATACCTTTGTTTTAAGTCAGATGAGGTTAAGAATTCTTTATAATTTATATTTTCAGACCTTTTGAGAGTGTGACACCACTGGAAGATGCTGCTGCTAAAGAAGTAGCTGAGATACTTAGAGAATGGATGGTCATTTGGAAGGAGCTATATCTGGTACAGTTGCTTTACTTTTTAATGTGAGATACTTAGAGAATGGATGGTCATTTGGAAGGAGCTATATCTGGTACAGTTGCTTTACTTTTTAATGTGAGATACTTAGAGAATGGATGGTCATTTGGAAGGAGCTATATCTGGTACAGTTGCTTTACTATTTAATGTGAGATACTTAGAGAATGGATGGTCATTTGGAAGGAGCTATATCTGGTACAGTTGCTTTACTATTTAATGTGAGATACTTAGAGAATGGATGGTCATTTGGAAGGAGCTATATCTGGTACAGTTGCTTTACTTTTTAATGTGAGATACTTAGAGAATGGATGGTCATTTGGAAGGAGCTATATCTGGTACAGTTGCTTTACTTTTTAATGTCACAGCACAGAAACAGGAAAAGCTAGATAATAAACAAACGACTATTACTTGTTGAAAATGTTTTGATTGGTGCCCCTAGTTTAATACATGTCCTTCTTAGACTTACATATAAGTATAAATATAGTAAACATACACGAGGAATACTAGATTTAAATCTGTGGTCTACTAATTTTCAATAAAATGATTTTTTGATAAATTAAAACTCTCAATAGATGCCAAGAAAGGTACTTTTTGCATGTATGCTCAACAACAGTTTGATATGGGTTATCTTGGGTTATGTTTTTACGAAGGCCCCCCACGAAGTGGGCGGAGCCATTTGTTCTATGGACCGACTGTCGACCAGTCACGTGACCAAAAGTCCGCCATTATTACCTTATATGGCAAATCATCAAAGCAACGATCACGACGTCATATGATGTGTTTGTGATGAAGATATGACGTAATATAACATAAACTATGACATCAGTTACTTATTGCCCTATCAACTAAACAGACAAGAAAGCTAAACGTCACACATCACAGTGTTTATTATATTTTAATTTGTGACGTCATTAACATGTTACCTAGCCAACAGAAAACAAGCAGTAAAATTTAGTTTGTTCATATTGTCTTTCTCTGTGGTATTTCCATAAAAAGTGGACCAGTTTTGTCAAAATACATGTAGCATTATGGCCTTCGTATTTTTCTAGTGTCATTTTCACTTGATTTTCTTGTTAGAGTATTTTGGTATATTCTGAGTTCTATTCTAGGAGCAAAATGTGGAGTTGTTCCATGGGATCAGGTTTGTCATGATGGAGTTGAAGGAATGGAGGCGCCACCTATTGTCGGGCACAGTTACCCAAGATCTCCGCAAAGAAATAAGGACGAAAATAGTCAACAAAATAGACTGGGGAAACAGGTAGGGTTAACTTGCGAAAAATGTTGGAAAAAACATTTTCGATAAATATGGCAATTTGGTCTCTCAATATAATCCTAAAAACACCTGAAAAATATCTATTGATGAGAAAGTTGCTCAAATATTAGAGTTAAGAAGGTTTAAGATGCAGTAATGTCAGAATTCTTAAATTAAAAAGAGAAAGTCCACTTGCGAGAAAACCTTAAAATCAAAGGATTATTCTGAAATAAAGTCAGAACTGTAGTACCTTTGGAATATTAGGCATGACATTTGAATATCATTGGGCAAATATTGCGAGAAAATTAACTTGGTTTTTCAGAAAATTGGGTCTAGATCTAGTGCCTAGGTTACAATGGGAGCAAGTGGATGGCGATGAGATCAGCGCTGTAGAGCTCTATAACATACACAGACAGGCCTCACACCCAGGAGGAAGAAAAGAGGTATATACAAGGGCGTCAAATAAGTCTGTTCTCCCCACTTAACTTTTTTATTTTTAAAGTTATCATACTTTCCCATATATCATTCTAAAGCTATTGGAAAATGCTGATCACTCCTAGAAAATCAATAATGAACTCTTCCTAATAAAATTGCTACAATGTTTCTTAAAATGATGTAGTTGACCGTTGATTGCCTCAAAAAGATTAAAATTACCAGGACAATGAATGAAAAGTGAAATGTTGAAACTCCGATTATTAAGGACAGGGTCGAAAAATTAATCGAAGATCTACCAGAGGAGAAACTTTAAAGCCATAAAACATTGCTCACATGTATCAAGAAAGCTTTTAGAAGCCTTGAAAGTGCAACACCCCTGTTTGTGAACATTTTGAAATCGTATCCTTGTAGAATTGAGGCAGTCCAAGCTGCTTTGGGGAATTATACGAACTATTAGAAATGTGAAATATGAACATCACAAAAAATGGAATTTAACCAATCTCTCTTAAATTTGTTGTGTGATCAGCAAATTAAATTCCCTTTAAAATGATATATAAAAAACCTATGTTATTTCTAAATTTAAAAAGTTAAGGGGGGAGAATAGACTTATTTGACGCCCTGTACAGTCTCAATTTCTTCAGAATAGGTAGAATATAGGGAACCTTCTGTTTGAGAATAAGGTTTGTCTTCCTGGGAATCAAATGCTCAAGATGTGTGACCTTTATGTATTAGTTCAATTATCTCAAATTATAAATATTTTTTTCTAAAAACAATACGATTTCCTTTTTCTCTGAACAAATAAAAAAGATTTATATTAAAGGACCTGAGCAATAAACATTCAAATTATTTTGTATTTTTATATTATATTTTTTGTATTATATCTGATTTTAAAGTTGTAATATTACGTCTGTATTATAGAGCCAGGCCTCCATCGTTTTCAAGCCAAGGATTCTCACCCATCATCTCTATCTTTCACTGAAGAGCTTCGGATGTAGTGTGGGAGATGAAACTGAGGTCTATTTTACACTTTATGATGCTAAACACAGCAGAACCATAAGGTATTACCACTTGATGTTCAATTGTTTAATTGTCACGATAAATCAAATAAGGAAAAGCCTATTTCCAAGTACAGTTATCTTGTGAATTCATTGGAATCCTTAAACAAAAATATGTTATTGTATTACATACCTAGCGAAGCATTTGTATGGAAGTCAATGGGAAAGTTAGCGAGCTATATCCACCGATATTGCCCGATTACCCCGATATAGCCCGCTTACCTCGTTTTGATATTAGATTTCTTTAATAACCATGATAATATCATGACGTCACGTCATTGATACAAAGTAACCATGGGAACAAAGGCATGTAATACATCAGTTATGTCACTATGACGTGAAATATGCCTTCGTTCTTGCCCAAATATAGAGCCTCCCAAGGTCGGCCTATATTGGGAGAACTCAGGCATATTTCACGTCATAGTGACATAACCTCTAAAAACGGATCATCATTTGTTTAGCCAAACTTGATGCAGGCAATTCAATTACCTCACCGAAATTTCACAGAAGTATTTATACTGTATACACCCGCAAGGATGTCATGTAAAACCTTGTAAATAATATTTTATATAAGAAAAATAAAGCTGGATTGAACTGAATATTTATTCAGACATTTTTTAACTAAACAGTCGAAATGAAGTTCAGAAGTAGCAATATACCTCATTCAGCCTATTTCTTTTCCTCGTCTTTCACTTCCTTTTATTAGTTCACATGGTGAGCTTTTGCAATCACTCACTTGTCCATCTGTCTGTCTGTCCGTCCGCCCGTCCGTCCGTCCTTCCATCTGTCTGTCCGTCCGTCAACAATAGTGGCACGTTTTAAAACCTCTGTCGATAGGATTCCTGTTTTAAGTTATTTCTGTTCAACATCAATACAGAAAACTCCCCTATGACTTCTGCTTCAAAAGCTCGCCTATTTTCAAAATGGCTGTCACTTTTGTCTCGCGAAATTCACTTTTGACCCTTTTCCTAGCTTTACAAATAATTTCAGGTGTCCTACATTGTAAAAATCCATGTCAATGTAAAGGGTAGATATATGAAATAATTTTGTTACAAGAAATCAGCGAAAAATTATATCCATTTTTTTATTTTCAGCCATTTTAGTTAACATTGATTTGTCTATCTGACTCGCGAAATCCACTTTCCGTCAATAACAGTGGCACATTTTAAAACCTCTGTCGATAGGATTCCTGTTTTAAGTTATTTCTGTTCAACATCAATACAGAAAACTCCCCTATGACTCCTGCTTCAAAAGCTCGCCTATTTTCAAAATGGCCGCCATTTTTGTCTCGCGAAATTCACTTTTGACCCATTTCCTAGCTTTACAAATAATTTCAAGTGTCCTACATTGTAAAAATCCATGTCAATGTAAAGAGTAGATGTATTAAATGATTTTGTTATGAAAAATCAGCGAAAAATTATATCCATTTTTTTATTTTCAGCCATTTTAGTTAACATTGATTTGTCCATCTGTCTCGCAAAATCCACTTTTGTACCATTTACCTTAAACCCTGTGTCGATAGGATTCCCGTTTTAAGTTAATTTTGTTCAACATCAATACAAAAAACTCTCCTATGACTCTTGGTTCAAAAGCTCGCCTATTTTTAAAATGGTCGCCATTCTTGTTTCGCGAAATTCACTTTTTGCCCATTTCCTAGCTTTACAAATAATTTCAGCTTTCCTGCATTGTAAAAAGCCATGTCACTGTAAAGAGTAGTTGTATGAAATAATTTTATTACAAAAAATCTGCAAAATATTATATCCGTTTTATTATTTTCAGCCATTTTAGTTAACATTGATATGTTCATCTATCTTGCGAAATCCTCTTTTGGACCATTTCCTTAAAACCTCTGTTGATAGGATTCCGGTTTCAAGTTATTTTTGTTTAACATCAATACAGAAAACTCCCCTATGAATCATGGTTCAAAAGCTTGCCTGATTTCAAAATGGTCGCCATTATTGTCTCGCGAAATTCAATTTTGGCCCATTTCCTAGCTTTACAAATAATTTCAGGTGTCTTGCATTGCAAAAAGCCATGTCACTGTAAAGAGTAGTTGTATGAAATAATTTTGTTACAAATAATTGGCAAAAAATTATATCCGTTTTTTTCAGCCATTTTACTTAGCATCGATTTGTCCATCTGTCTCTCAGTCAGTCCAAAATAGTGGCAAGTGGCTTGAAATAATTTTGTTACAAAAAATCAGCAAAAATTATATCCGTTTTTTTTCTGTCACCATGTGAGCCCAGTACCCACGGTACTAATTTTTTCATACATACTTTAAAGTTCAAAAAGGTTAGGAAAAAAGTAGCATCCTTGATTAAATCCTTTTATTCGGTTCCATGTTCAGTATAGAGTAAATTTTGATTTATGAACATCTAATGTTATTTCAGTGAGAGGTTCTTAGCAAGATTGACGAGAAATGGCCTCCCAGTGAACCATGACAAGATATACAACTACTGTGCCTTGTTTACAGACCTGAGCAATGATGACCTACTTTTAGACATGTACCTTGTGGCACATATATACAGGATAGGTAATGGTTCTTAAGCCAGAATATGATTGCAACATTACTATATTTATTACTCCACCAAACAAAGTTTGAGTCGGGGTATAGAGAAGCCTTCCATTTTTCCCTTGTCTATCCTGCGATAACTCCATGTTGGTTGACAGATTTGGTTCAAATTAACATATACTTATCTAACCAGAGAAGTTGCTACTTTGTTATTTCTTAATCCTAGCATTAAAAGTTAAATATGAATGTTATGTTTTATTCAGAGGGATTTGCTACTCCATGGTGTTGCTGTTTTCCAGTTAGCGATGTTTCATTTTTTGACAATTCTGCATGAGATTTACCCAGATTAAACTGCACTTTTAAATAAGTATATTTGCTTTTTCCAACTGTAAACCACTTCTTTGTCATGCAGGTAAAATGCTTGTGGAAAAAGAGGGTAGTAAATCTAAAGTTCCCCTGAAGACATATCGTCGACCATATGGTTGTGCTGTGGTTCACATTCAGGAGGTTTTGCTTGGAAATGCCCTTATTGAAGAAAACGAAGATGGGAGAGAGTTGCAGATGAAAGTATATGTGTAAGTATATACCTGTAGTCTTATATTTATTAGTATATAGTCTTATATTTGTAAGTACATAGTCGTATTAGCAGGTGAGCTATCTGGCTATTGCAATCACTCACTTGTATATGTTAGTATAGTCTTGTATATGCAAGTACATTGTGATTTGGCTTAATTTTAATCAATTTAATTTAATTAATAATTTACATGTCTTTGTGGAAACTATATTGTGAAAATTACCATTTCAAGTTCCTGGAACTTTTATAATAGTAAAAAATATGAATTTCTTTTCAATTTCATGGGGGTTGGTCACACCAAAAGGGTCCCCTCCAATATGTTACGTATCAAATAATTTGTATTCTTGTGTTACAGGGCACATAAAGAGGAGGAATTTCCTCAAATCCATGAACATATCATTAAGAAGCAAAGCGGGAAGTACAGCCTGTCCTCAGCCCAAACTAATCTTGGTAAGCAACTCAACAATTTTATTTGGAAAAAGATGGTGTAACTCCATCAGTTGGGATTTCCTGTTTAATTTGTTAATCTATAAGCTAATTAATGAAGGCTAATTACGTGGTATATATTTGAGATGTATCAGGTTAAGTTGAACTCATTAGTTTACTTACGGTTTCATTTCGCTTTATTGGTAATGTTAATATCTGTACTTGGTACTTAGTACTTGAGACCATTTTAATTCCAATTAATTGAAATATTTTCCACCATAATGTATAAATATCTTCATAAAAATTTGAAATGTTAACCATCTTATTAGTTATGCGTAATATAATCAGGAAAATTAAGTAAAAATCCTCATCTTAGAATCCCCTTCCCTTAAAATCAGAAATACCATTTAATTGTGAAAATAAAATGCAAGTGAAAATAATGTGTTGTACATTAAATTAATTTCCAGGAATTGTTGTTTCTATCTCGATGCACCATGGAGAACTGGTTGATGTTCAGAAGGCCAAGCCTATCATATTTACCAGAGGAGTTGCAATGGTTAGAAAAATGGGATTTTCTGATGTCATTATGCCAGGTTAGTTGTTATCAGAAACATTTCAAACAACTCTAGTATCAATCGTAGAAAATCAAATGTAATTGTGTAAAAAAATTATAAGATGAAGTTACTAATTTATTATCAAATTAATAAGCATGTACATTACATGTACGATGAAATTCTCTTCCATGGTCCAACTTTTTTTGTGGGTGGTGTTTAGCTGTTGGAGTTCGGCTGTTTGCATTCAGTGATCTGTTACAAATGGCAGGTAGTGAAATTTTGCATGTTAATGCCTTGTTGATTTATACAAAGATAGCAAGTGTGTATAATGTTTTCAGGTGATGTTCGTAATGACCTATACCTCACCCTGTCTCATGGTGACTTTGATAGAGGTTCCAAAACATCTTCCAAGAACATTGAGGTCAAAGTGACCGTTTTAGATAAAGATGGTGCTATTATAAAAGTAAGTTACTTACATGATCGTGAATGTAGATTACAAGTGTGAATGTTCTCATGTGAGACAATTGTGTCAAAATAAAATATGGTATTTTTTTAACCAGTGGAAAGATATATTTTGCAGCAAATTTCACGAAACGATCAAATACAGTTTTATATCAGATATTTCAGAAACATATGACTAGCACCCTTTCACGATGGAACATAAGAAAGTGGATATGATTTGCTACTTTTGCCTGTACAAATATCATATCCATTAGTGGATAAAAATCATATCACTCATAAATCATATGATATCCTCTGTATTGTCTTTTCAGGATTCCATCCACTATGGTGCAGGGGAGAACCCATGTAGTGAAGAATATTACTCCACTGTGTTCTACCACAACAATGTACCCAAATGGAATGATACAATAAAGCTCACTGTGCCAATTGACAAATTCTATGGCTCTCACTTCAGACTGGAGTTCAGGCATTGCTCAAGTAAGATCTCTTGTATTAATATATATTAATATATCGCATGATATATACACAGCCAATATGCAACAGTACCATACGGTACCGTTTTGGCAATGATACCGTAGTGTACCAAGAAATATGGTACCGTACGGTACCGTAGACTAAAATGTACCGTGAACACTGTGCGACACCATACTCCAACGGTACCGTATGGTACTATACTCTTAATATACCATTAGATACCATGATTTTACAATGCGGATTTGGGGTGTAGTAGGCCGATGGATTTTTCAACAAAAGATGTTGATTGTTGAGGAGAGGTTAAACTACACATTTTAAGAGAATTTGTGTGTGAATGTGTTGAATTAGGGTCCTCTAGGTATATTTTTCCTCCTGTAGTATCTACTTCTCCGAATGTATATAATAGGTATAAGGAAATCAGTTGTGATCAGGTAACTGAAAACAACAATTGAGAAAGGAATAATAGGGAATAGTAAACTCTTAGAGTCATGGTATGACACATTCATGTACAGGTTCTCTTAAAATGTGCAGCTTAACCTCCCATATGTCTAAGTTTTCTAACAACTGTTGATTGGTTGTGTGTGCTGATAAGCATACTCATTCAAAACACATGTAATTGAAAAATAGCAAACAACAAGGTTCTAATAATAGTTGATTATTCAATGTATCATTGTTGTACCTTTTTTTTAGCCAAGAGTCCTGAAAAGAAGCTGTTCTCATTTGGCTTTGCTAAGCTGATGAATGAAGATGGAACTACAATGAAAGATGGATGCCATGAACTCTACCTCTATAAGGTGTGTCTTTTATTTTAACTAAACTAGTATTATCCACTTTAACATGAGAAGTATAAAGGTAGAATAGCTTGATTACCAATGTAAAATAACCAAAGAAATATAGGTACAGCGTAAAAGGATGTCCCATAAGGTCATTGAGTAGTAACACCTCAATTGTTTTGTTGTATTCAAAGGAAAATCATCATATTTCATGTAATTTTCAGTTATCAAATTATGCATAACAGATACTCTCTTATATCTACTAATGGATTTTCTTTTATACACATACAGACAGAAGATGTGTCGAAGCTGAAGTCAGTAGACTATTACATCGACCTTCCATTTATGCAAGACAAGATTGAGCTGACTGCTGGTGGGAGTCAGGGAAACACATTCTTCCAACGAGCAACTAGGGAAACAATCACCATAGAAACCAAACTCTGCTCAACAAAACTCACTCAAAATGGTAAATTTTGAAGCATTTGATGTTATCTGACACCATTATACAGGGTGTCCCAAAAAAAGGAAACCAGCAATAGATTGCTTATTTCTCAAATATGAATAATGATAGGAAAATTTCACAGCTACCATCTGGTAGATTGTGATGTCCTCTTTCTTATGATACCAAAGTTGTCTATTTTCCTTCACGGATGACTGAGTTATAAGGGATTTAAGTGACCATGTCGGAAATGAGTTTGTACCACTTTCAGCCAAGTCAATTTCACCATCATAACAAAGTGATAAGTAACAACAAACATCAGAATCTATTGCTGGTTTCCTTTTTTGGGACACACTGTACAATATACGAAGTATAATATCGAAGATTGTCTTAGCATCTATCATATATCTATAAATTTGCTTTCCTTTGTTCGTATAGATTATAATGCTGATAAAAATCCATGCTTTTTGAAATTGAAAAACATAATGGCTAATCGCCTGTTATTGTTTCTGTAGTTGATCTTTTGGGATTTCTAAAATGGCGGAGTGAACCTGAAAGTGTGCAGCTGACACTGGAGAAGTTAAGGATGTTAGATGGGCAGGAGAAAGTCAAGGTACTCAATTATTTGTTTGAAAAATATGTAATTATGTGAAACAAAAAGAACGAACAATAATGCAGGAAAATCACTGGATGTAGGGCTAAAGTAAATAAAAAAATGTTTTGGATATATATTTCCTTGTCTGTTTTAGAATTCAAAGTAAAATCAGTGATTCAGCACACTTGGGAAATGAATAAACTGTGATCATAGCATATTCCATCTACTTGATGTTTGAAAAATAAAAAGGTTTTCTACAAACAAAATAATCCTAAACATAGATTTTTACAACATTACACTGTATAAGGAAGAAGTATTTTCCAGTAAATCATCAATTTTTGATTGTATTTCAGTTCCTGCAGGATATCATGGATACGCTGTTTTCTATGTTTAGTCTTGAGGAAAACAGTGTCAGTCCAAAGGCCAGCCAAGTCTTCCAAACTCTGGTAAGATTTACCCTCATAAAGGCCCTATCCAAAGTTTGAAAATATTGTTAAATCAACCGGACATATTTGTCATAATGCAAGAAATGTTTGACACATAGTTTTGAATAAATTAACTTTTTGTTGATCTGAATTATTCTTGTTTTCCAGGTATCTATATTTGGGTTACTGGAGGATCGCAGATTTGAACATTTCAAACCAGTTATGGATGCTTACATATCAAATCACTTCTCAGCTCCTTTGGTCTATAGGTAGGTATTTATACAATTATTCATCATATGTAGGGTCTTTAAAGTACCTGCTTATCTGCCAATGGTCTTTGCAAAGTGTATTCACTTTTTAGTAGCAGGGCATCAAAACATCCTATTAAAATAATTGAAATGGAATGTTGCAGTTGTAATTCACATTTTTTAGTTGTACTTTGTGTGTTTTAGTTGCTATATACTTCTTTCAGTTGTAATTCACACATTTCAGTTGTAATTGATGTGTTTTCAGTTGTTATCCACAAGTTTTAATTGTAATTCCCATGTTTCAGTGACCTATTGAACTGTTTGAAGGACCAACTTGATGGCATAGATGCTGCTGACAGCAGACCTGAGACTGGTCAGGTTACATTTCAGGTAATATGATACATTACTACTCTTTTACTACATGGAAATATTTACTGTGTTATGGTCTCACTATTGTTGCTGAGCATAATTTCAAATGAAGTTTAAAAAGAGTTAAACTTTTATTAAAATTATTGCCAGCGGAATAATGAGACATTAAAGAAATAATTCTCTGTCAGATTTATGAAAATAGCCTATACACAATATGTGCAAATAATAACTAATCCCGATATTTTTTCAGTTGTCCGATTTAATAAAGATTACGTTGTGTGGAATCATCATAACCTTAAAAAAGTCATATTGGTAAAATTAGAGAAATTAAAAGTTAAATGATATACATGATAAATATCCATCTTTGGTATGTTCATTATACTTCAGTATTTTACTTTTTAGGTGCTTGAAAATATCTTCAAGCTGATTGTTAAATCCAGAATACTATTTACAAGGTACTCCTTTAAAATACACCTTTGTATTATTTTAACCTGTTGAATACAAGAACATTTTTCATTATTATTATGCTTTTGCCATAATGTTTGATGTTTTGTTCGGTAATATTACTGAAAACTATTACTATATACATGTATATTACTATTTTGTGTAAATTGAACTTTATGTGTAAGTAAGAGTCATTTAGTTAAACTGTATCAATATAATGTATGTAATGTAATATATAGACGAATAAAATATTTTTAATAATAATAATAATTATTAATAATAATTTAGTGAGCCATTCTGTGAAAGATTAAGATTCCAGATGATAACAGATGAACAGAAATCAAACCCCTAAAAACAACTTTAAATTATATATTTTAAATTATGTTGCAGGGCTTCAGGAGGCAATGTAGATGAGGAGTTTAAGATAAAACTCTACCAGGTGTTCAACTCCATTGGCAAAGTCTTGTTTCATTCCACTGATGCAGCACCATTCTCTAAAGCCCAGGTATGAAATTTCTTTAAAAGTTTCATTAATGAAAACTTAGAAGTATAGAGTCATTGCTGCTTAAATGGAATCACAAAATAAGTTGAAAGTTTTCAAATCTAAGATCATTTGTGCAATAGTTATGTATACAATGAAATTTACTCATTTGATGTTGTTTCTAAATTATTGCTGATTACAACCTCAGTTTTCAATTGAATTATTCAAGATAGTAAATACAATTAGATTTCACAAATCAGTTTGATAATATTCTGCATGAAACAGACCCTTAGCTATTTTGACTGACAGCCATCCCCCAGACCCCCCTCCCGCCCCCATCCATCCTTCAAATAATACATATTTTACAGGTTTGGGGATATTGCTACTACAAAAATATAATCTTTGTATTTCAGTTATTACTGGTTGAAAACATAGCCTCTATACTTCCACATCTGGCAGAGGTATTAGATCGCACTGAGTTGAGCAAATTAGTCAGTGACACAATCCAAATGATTCCCAAGGATTGTAGTTCAAAGATTAATCGTGCCAAACTGCAGTGTATGAGTGACATAGTGAATGGCGACATATTTAAGTATTCAGGTAAGTTGCTGTGGTGTGGAAAGATATAATAAGATATACTAGAGTGGTAAACTGACTAATAATTCTACATTCCACATGAAAACATGTATGCTCTAGAGAGCTAGAGTTCCCCAGGGAGAGGTGTTTGCGATAGGGCTCCCCAGGGAGAGGTGTTTCTGAAGGGGTTTCCCAGGGAGAGGTGTTTCCGATAGGGTTCTCCGGGGAAAGGTGTTTCCTTAAGTGTTCTCCAGGGAGAGGTGTTTCCGAAGGGGTTCCCTTGGGAGAGGTGTTTCCTTAAGTGTTCCCCGGGGAGAGGTGTTTCCTTAAGTGTTCTCCAGGGAGAGGTGTTTCCTTAAGTGTTCTCCAGGGAGAGGTGTTTCCTTAAGTGTTCCCCGGGCAGAGGTGTTTCCTTAATAGATGTTCTCAATGTAAAGGTGTTCTCATTAAGACTAATTTTACTGCATTTGTTAAATAACCTCGAGTATGAATATTCATTTTGAATCTGTCTTCTGTATCTTTAATGGTATCTCATATTTTCAGAACCACGTGCAATAATTCAAATTATGGTGCTAGGACAAATAAAGCGGTGCCTCATCAACAAGCAAGATCTTAAACCATGTGCAGCACTGCTTGGGGACATGCTCACAATATTCCATGATATCAAAAAGGTAATGCTATTTGAGTTAATACTGGAGTTCAGTTCACGTAAGAGGTCTGATGCGTTTTGGCTCTCTTAACACCCCCAGAACTAGAGTGAACACAGTCAAATTCAAAATATGGTAATTAATATCTTAAATGATAAACCACACTAAAACTGGGGGCCAAACTCTTTCTTTAAAAAATTTGGAGATAATAACAACAGCGGCACCCCTCCTTGAATCAAGATTATTTTCGCAGATTTAGAGTATAAATAATAGTTTGTGATATATTTTCTTGACATGGCTATTCCAGGCTGAATGTATTGACAGCAGTTTACGGAGTGTAGTTACAGTTCTCTTAGATGTCTTGGTTCAGACAATTATAGCTGTAGACAGGACAAGTGAAGCTGCTGTAAGTATTCCGTCTGCTAATTCTGTTGCATTATGGGTAGAAGTATTCAGACAATCATAGCTTTGTTCAGACAGGAAAGGAAACACCATACAAAACAGTACAGCTAGTAGTCTGCTAAATTGATAGTGCAATTGATATTCCTCCAATCTCATTGATGCATTATAGGTAAAAGTAAATGAAGATTTGTTCCATTCAAACAATTATATAGCAGCAGGCAAGCACAATGCTGAAGTCAGTATTCCAAATGCTGATTTTGTGCATTATTATAGTGCGCCTTGTCTTTGTTCAGTATTAATGTATTTATAATATATCTAAATTCTGTGAGAGTCTATTTATATTGTGTTATATATAAAACATTTGCTTACAGGGCCGGCTAATTTCATGTCTTATCTCAATGTTGAGACTGATGTCCCCCAAGCACTACACGGCTGTGATAGAAGGATATATTAATAGAAAGCCACTGAAGGTATGTATGTGTATTGGTGTGTTTGAGGTATATATGTTTATTGGTGTGTTTGGGGTAGGGGTCACACGGTTAACCGTGGCTTGCGGTTACCGCGGTTCATACCTCCACGACGGTTAGCTCGCACACAATCTTGAAAACCGCGGTTCTTGAAGAACCGTGACATTTTCAGTTTCACTTCAGAAAAATAAAAATGTAAACTCGGAATTAAACTCCATTTCAAGCTTTCGTGTAATACCAATTAACTAAACATCGTCTGGAATCGTTAATCATCATGCAATAATGCGAACCATACCTGATATTTACGACGATCTTCTGATATAGACGGCAGATAACAAAAACAAAAGGAAAATGTTGATAAATTTCACCGGCATATTGACCCGGAAGTGACCTACGCTAAAGGTGTCACTCCTGTAAATAGCACTTCCGGGTAGGACAGTGTTTTTTAATACTTTAAAAACGAAGCCATGCCAACTTCAATGGTGTGTATAGTAGGTTTAAGTGTCTGCAATGTGGCCATTTGAGGTATGTCTGTAAAGCTGAGGCCAAGTACTTTCTAAATGTGCCATTTTAAGAAAAAAATCGCAAGAATATAGTCCCGTAAACTGGAACTACTTTATTCGTTAATTTTCATCGGTGAAGCAGGGATTTTACCTAAAAATGAGTCCCTATGTTGGCGTAGTGATATTTAAAAATCGAGACGCAAACCCTATGTTAAATATAGTGTCAGGATGAAGGTTATGTATAGGGGAACGCAGAAATATAGTCATTGTATGGGCTAGTTCGTTCGAAAATGGCGATATGTACCCCCGAACTTGAATTTTGTGATTTTTTCAATATTTTTCAATGATTTACCGTAGTGACACCTAAACATTTCGCGCAATTCTATTGGTTGATAGAACAGTATACTGTAAAAAGCCGAACGCCGAATGCATTGAATTTGCGAACGAGTCACGTTCTGTGTATTACGTTCGCCTTTGATCCATGTTGAGTCCTGACAAAGTGTTGAACTTAAGTTATATTTCTAAAGAAAACATTTATTCAGTTTAGTGAAGTACTGTGCTAATTTTGCCAACAGTTGACAAGTTATTTTATGTGTTGAAAAAACTTGAACATCAAACAAGAAGATCAACACAGTGAACACACAGATATTTTGGGAGGGAGGGAGGTATAAAAAGACTGAACAAACAAACAAACATTGTGTGAAACTGGATACTTACAATACTGAATACAATAAAACACTGTGACACACTTAGTATGTTTTCTGATTTTCGGATCAATTTCATATATTTTTGCTAATTTCACGAGGCCCGTGAGAACCGCAATCAGAACCGAACCGAACTGTGAAATACAATAACCGAATCGAACCGTGAAATCTCAAACCGTGTGACCCCTAGTTTGGGGTATGTATGTATATTGGTGTGTTTGTGGTATATATGTATATTGGTGTGTTTGGGGTATGTATGTATATTGGTGTGTTTGTGGTATATATGTATATTGGTGTGTTTGGGGTATGTATGTATATTGGTGTGTTTGTGGTATGTATGTGTATTGGTGTGTTTGGGGTATGTATGTATATTGGTGTGTTTGGGGTATGTATGTATATTGGTGTGTTTGGGGTATATATGTATATTGGTGTGTTTGAGGTATAGAAAGCTCAACAGGAATCTCCATCACAATTACATAGAATCAAAGTGTGAGATGTATAATGTAGTTTCAGAACATATTGGGATATAGTAATAGATATTCCCTCTAGGTGAATTCATAAAATATCCATACACATAACTAACATTTATATTGTTATCCCTTTGATATTTCAGGATTTCTTGCTCCATATTCTAATAGTATTCCAATCCCTAGTGAAACAAGATGTGTTTCCAAGAGACTGGATGGTCATGAGAATGGTCTCAAACAAGTGAGTTAGAATAATCATAAAGTTACAAGAGTCCTCATGGACTTAATGAGTCTCTGGTAGTATGATTTTTGAATTTCTCATTTCACAAATAATATTTGGAAATGAATCAGCGATTTGTAGATTGATTACATTTTAGATTCGCCTCTTTCCATCCTTTTAAAATGTTTTAAATGAATTTTTTTTCAAAAAGTTGTTGAAAAGTGGTGAACACTCACAATATGGATTTTTACCTCCCCTCTGACATAATTATTATAACGGGCATTTTTAAGCAACTCGGTCATAACAATGTCTCATTTAAATGCCTTGTTCTTTTCCAGTGTGATACTTACTGCAGTCCAAATCTTCTCACAAGCAATAATTGAGAGGTTCCTAAAGAATAAAGATTTTGAATATGATGTGAGTATTGAATGAGAATTCTGAAGTTACAAGGTCACTTATAAATTCCTTTACATATTTATTTGTCTCAAATGATCATGTATAATACTCTTCATCAAACAGACCAAGGAAGTATGATTGATAAATTAAGAAATGCATTAACAGGGTTCACAACTAAAATGAACTAACTTGGAAACATTATATCCACAATCTACCTACAATTGGCATTTAGTCCATTGCCCAATAGGCAACTGTTTTTCCAAGTTCATTGCCAAGAGTGAAAATTGGTTGCCATTGGCAGTCCGGTAGATGTGAGTTTCAAATCCTTGCTTAACACTTAGCTCCCATTCACTTGTACTCAAAATACAAAATGTCAGTAATTTCATTTAATAACTGTCATGTTGGTTTATACTTTGTTTCATATTTTAACATTTTATTTGATGTAAAGATCCTCATCTGTTTCATGTTTATTTGCAGCTATGGCAGAAATATTTCAGTTTTGCGGTATCTTTTCTCACACAGCCTTGTCTTCAACTGGAGAACTTCTCAGAGCTCAAGAGAAGCAAGATAATAGACAAGTAAGGAAATTAATAGACAGGATAAGAAATAAATATTCAAGTTAGGAAATTAATAGACAAGTAAATGACATAAATGGGCAAGTAAGGAAATTAATAAAAAAAGTAAAGAAATCAATAGACAAGTAGGTAAATTGGATGGCAATGCCAGGATATCATTTTGGATGTCAATCACTGGAGAACCGAATATATGTAGACTTAAATCATCACTGTCACTGTTATAATTATGATTCCTTCCAACTCTATTCTAGATATCGTGATATGAGAGTGCTTATGGGCTTTGAAATACTAACCATGTGGAAGACTCTGGATAAACACAAGATCATATTCATTCCTGGTATTGTGGGACAATTTCTCGAGGTGACACTAGTTCCAGAAACTGAGCTGAGAAAAGCAACATTGCCAATATTTTATGATATGATGGAATGTGAATATGCAGATAGGGGAAACTTTAAGCAGGTGGGTTTTCTTCTGTACTGTTCTAAATTGAAATATAACATCAAGTTGTTATATTGATTGGTTGACATCGCAAAATGCATGGGAAAAATCCATGTACAGTAAAACCTGTCTAATCTCAATCAAATCCGGACTTGCCAGAAGTATTTAGAATGACAAAGTTCACATGTCAAGGTTTTTAACATGGAAGTATATGACAGGTAAAAAAGGGTGTCAAAAAATCAAAAAACATTCTCTTTGAGAGGTGTTCAGATTAGTCAGGTGTTTGGATTAGTAGGATGCATTGGCAATAACCTGTAGATACACAAAATGTAATTGTGATTCAATTTGACAATACATGCATGGTTCTTTAAGATCCTAGACTATGCAACGAATATTGTATTATGATAGATAAAAATTTGCAATATTCCAGGTGGAGAGTGAATTGATCGATAAGCTTGACATCTTGGTTAGTGAAAACAAGGGTGACAGTGAATACAAGAATCTCTTTAACTCAATGTAAGTGAACCTAGCAGATATACCATTAGGCTATATTTTGTATTCTGTATTATCTTCTTCTTAAGATTGCATCATTATAATACAATTATGAAAATGATAAAGCCTTGAATTATTGTGCATTTGGTTTCTGTTTTGCTTTCTAACTCATTGTCATTCATATGAAAACATTTAGAATATAACTGCATTTGATTCATTAACATGGATTGTGTGCTGCATTGCTTAACATAACCTTATATAACTTATATATAAATGTTCCTTGCTTACAAGGGAGATTATGGCGATTTTGTAAGTGGTTAAGTCTAAACAGTGGAGGGAACCCCTGATATCCTAGATTTGCATATTATAGTTTATCCTACAGTTTTAATTTGACCAATTTCCTGTTTGGTAAAGGGTCTCAAACTTTCCAACTTTACACTTCACATTAAATCCAAAACAAAACATCCCATTCCCAACCTCTCAGTTCTTTATTTTGTGCATTTAAGAAAATATGGGGGTTGTCAAAAAAGTCTCTTATCCAAAGAGTATATATATCTATTTTTGCTAAAATTTGATGAAATTAGAGTAAACATTTCAAAACTTTTTGGACAACCCTCATATAGTTTGTATGTTATAAAATATAACATTTACTGGTATTATATAATTATAAGTGCTCCTAAAATACATCATACATGAATCAGTATATGTTTTTTAATTCTTTGTTTAGTTTGCTGTATAAGATGAAGCAGACTCGTCTGGAGGAAACAGGGTCTCAGTTTGTCATGTCTGTAACCAGTCTCCTGGAGAGACTCTTGGACTACAGGTAAATTACTGATCACACACGATTGTACTGTACTGTACTGTATTGTACTGTATTGTAAAACATTTAATCCCTGGGCATCTTGAATTCAGGCATATTCGTGTGAGTGTACAACTGTACATTCAGGAATACGGGATGACGCGAATTTAAAATTGTATACCTGGAGGCACTTGTAAAAATTGCAAAAACAGGAATACATGAAAATAATTCCTGTGGATACAATTTGTTAAATCTACTGTACAGTACATAATGCATGTTAAAATGTGGTTTTAGTTTGTTTTTCTAGTGTTTTGAATTTTTTTTGCTTTATAGCTTTCATTTGATGTGCAATAATACAAGTCATAGATATGGACTGAATCAAACATGAAAGTTATAAATCAGGCAGGAAAGTTGTTGATAAATAAAATGTAACATTTGGGCAAACAATCATCCTTCAAAGTTTTAAAATGTAATTTTTGGCATATGCTGTTATCAAAGTGTAACATATGTATACTCATATTAATGTTATGATGTGTTTTTGGTTTAATAGGAATGTCATTGAAGGAGATGAGCGAAGAGACAAAAGAATGACATGTACAGTGAATTTACTAGTAAGCTCCTTTTCTTATCGATTTAATACATACAAGCACAGATAGTAAATAATTTTCTGATTTTTATAAAATGTAATTTAATTTATTTTTAGCATTACGTTTGACATGTTGGAGATTGTTTTTATGTTTTTATTGATTGTTTTTCAGAACTTTTACAAAAATGAGATTAATCGTGAGGAAATGTATGTTCGATATATCTACAAACTGTGTGACCTTCACCTGGCAGCTGACAACTACACAGAAGCTGGATTCACCCTCCTTCTCCATGCCAACCTGCTCTCTTGGCAGGACCACACTCTCCACGCAGATCTCAAATATCCTGGCCAAATGGAATGGCAAAGAAAGGAACAAATCTACTTAGAAATCATTGGCTATTTCGACAGGGGAAAGGTAATAGGAACTGTTATAGAGAAATACTGGACCTTGTATGCATTTATGAATTAATAAATTTGCAATATTGATATCAAAATATATAATAACAGTTTGTCAGGGAGCATTAGAAATTATTGCCATAAGATAAAGGACTGGTAAAGAAGGTCACATTTTTTATTTTCTACTAGTTTAAATTAAAAATATTCAATGTTAAAGGATGATAATCTGTATATTTTAGTATTTCAGACCAAAAAGAAAAATATGAAAATACGTTGTCTTTCAGAGTTGGGAAAATGGTATTCCTTTGTGTAAACAACTTGCTCATTTCTACGAGACTAAAATATACAACTACACAAAATTGAGCGAAATTCTCCGGACACAAGCAACTTTCTTTGACAACATTCTAAGTGAAGCTAGAGAGTGCCTCAGACCAGACCCGGAGTACTTCAGGGTGGGATTCTATGGCCAACGCTTTCCAATGTTCTTAAGGGTAAGTTGTCTCTATGAGTGGACTTACGTTAAAGATGTAACAGCCATACAAATACTTATTGAATTAAGAGGTTTTAGATGTTTTCATTACATAAACAATGGTGTATTTGGAATGTATTTTCCATTGAGCTCATGTTCATAATATGGTATTTTTCAGAACAAAGTGTTTGTGTATAGGGGAGAAGAATATGAGAAACTTTCAGACTTCAAGGATCGTATGAGTGAAGAATTCACCAATGCCAAGTCTATGCGCAACAGTTGTGTTCCAGATGAATCCATTAAAATGGGTGAAGCTCCTTGTATCCTTATCAATAAGCTTGATATCAAAACATCTTAGAAAGCTATTTACTCAAACAGTCAGATAAGATACGATTATTTCCAATCCATTTGATGGTATTTTCACAGTTTTTCAAACTGATGGCATTCTTGTTTTTCTTGCCAAGTATTTCAAGATTGTAACATTCAAAAAGATTCTAAAATTGAGAAAGCTCAAAAATGAAATCTCTGTCTTTAACTTACCCTTAAACATAAAAAACTAGTATATTCATCAATTCAACTTTAACCTTGCCTTCCTTAACATACAACAGATCTACAGATATGTGCAGTTAAGCCTGTCCCAGTACTAAGAGAGGAGTTTGAGGGGGGAGGGGTGTCGGAGAAAATACTCAGCTTCTACAAGGTGAATGAAGTAAACAGATTCCAATATGACAGACCATTCCATGAAGGTACTAAAGATCCTAAAAATGAGTTTAAGGTGAGTGAAGTTTACTTTCATGAATTTTACTTATCCAGATTTAATCATGCAAATGTCTTAATAATTTTCCCTGAATGTCAACATTAGTAGCAATATCAACTATAAGGAGAAGCCATATATTGTCTGGTCTATTCTAATACGATAATTGGCATCACAATATAACGAAACAATTGAATAAGAGTTATATAATGGAATATGGTTGAGTAATAACATACAAATGAAAACATATTTTATTCCAGACATTATGTATTGAACGAACAACAATGAGAACTGCTGGTGAATTCCCAGGTATTTTACGATGGTTTGAGGTCACTCAGAGTGAAAGCGTTAAACTGACCCCTATAGAGACAGCTATTGACAGTATGGATGGCGTCAATTTAGAGCTAAGAGGATTAGTGAATAAGTACACAATGGACAGTGCTAGGAATTTAAACCCTCTTACGATGAGGTTGAATGGAGTTATTGACGCGGCAGTGAATGGTGGTGCTTCCAGGTACCAGGATGTAAGTATGTGATGCGCGTAAATACTTTTGAGTTTGAAGATTTTTTTGAACCTTAAGCAGTTGGAAGAAACTGTATGTCAATGGATATTGCACAGAATTTTGAATGAAGTGATCTTACTTAAAATCTAAGTTATATAAAGTGCATTGGATTCAGAAGTCTTTAAAATTAAATTCATGAACTTCAATGTTTTCTTTGTTTTGATTTTGCAGGCATTCTGTAGTCAAGAGTTTGCAATAGAACACCCGGAGCATGACTCTCATATCTGCCAGCTTAAGTCTCTCTTCTCTGAACAGGTAACATCATTAATAAATATGTTTGAGAAAAATCCAATATTAGCAATAGCAATTGTTGAGGGAGATATATGCAGATTTTTATACAGAGCAGTCTAATTGTGATTCAACTACATTGTTGATTGATGACCTAGGCAGTCAGACATTGGAAATGTAGATAAACAAATAAAGAAATTTTCTATGGTTTATGGAAGTGTTGGTCATTTGGTATTTTCTAATTTTATAAACTGACTTTTTCTCTACAGATCCAGCTTTTAGAGGGTGCCCTGTCACTCCATGGCCGTCTAGCCCCACACCAGGTCCAGCCCCTACACCAGCGTATGGTACAACTTTTTGCTAGCATGAAGAAAGGCATAAAGGACTCTGTAAGTGTCATTGACAATTGCCAGAAAACAAAATGAATATATGAGTTTACATGTACAGTAAATACAATTTTAGCAAGGCAAACAACAATTTTATAAGTACAAAGATCAACAAATCACAAGATATATACTTAAGATAGTAACATTTTGTAGCTAGGGCAGCCATGATACTTTTTTCAACATTCAAAACCACCTTACAACCTTGTACGCATAAAAACAAAAATCTTTGTTCCTCGCAAATCTTGAAGTAATTTTCTCACTAATTCGTGCCTCAAACATTAGAAAAATTATTTATTGGCATAGCAACCATGAATTAGAATACAAATATATTTACAATTTTTGTATTCAATATTTTAGGGATCTCCAAACTTGAGCTTCACGCTGAGGAGAACAGACCGCACCCCTATCCCTGACAACTTATCAGATGTTATACGACCCATCACACCAACTAGTCGAAGCTCTGCATCTAATTCCATGTAAGTGAGCTCATTAGGATTACAATAATTGTATCTTGCTTGAACTAATACTGTTTTATTACATGTGGGTTTTTTAAGTTTTAATCAGAATTTTTTTTACCCTTTCTAGTATAGGGTAGTTTCCCTCTAACAGAGAGCTTTATCTTTGAGTTAACCTTTCAGATAATCCTTTGATCTAGCCTTTAACTAATCAGAATACTGAAAATATGGCTATTAAAAGTCCAGTTATTTAATTAAAATTTTATGCTTTCATAAGTACCTGACATTCTTTTCACAATGAAACTCTCATTGAAGGCTTGTGACAATTACTTTTGAGGTCAGAAGCGTTCTATCAGAGTGCTTAGCTTTTATATGTTGTCCAGTGTGTGTCAAGGATTTGAGATCTTCTTGTCAAAATAGAATTCCAGATCAGTTGTCCAGTCATTAATGCCTTGGTCACATTTGCTCCAATTTTCACTACGGCGCCCAGCCGATTGAGTATTTTGTTCAAAATTGAATACAATATTGAACAAAACACTCAATCAGCCAGGCGCTGGCCGATGGATCGGAGCATATGTGACCTAAAAACAGCTGGTCTGTAAAGTTGTTCTCTGTAAATTGCCTTGTCACCTATTTATGCTTGATATTATATGTCTCTGCTCATTTGTAAGAGTTCTGAGGATGAAATAGATAGTACAAAGTATACCAGTCATGATAAAGAAAAATATAATCTTTTGAGGATATGAGGGACCCTCTATTGCTATTGGGGAATTTTATAGCTTTTTGGGAATACTCATTTGACAGCACTTTGAGAGAAATGTTTTTTTTCTGCCATGGCTGTTTCAAACCAGGTTGATTTTTTGTTTCTTTGGAGGAAAGAATACCAACATTAATGTGAATTCCAATCAGATGTTTTATCAGCAGGGTTTGACCAAGCCCTTTAAGTGACCCCCTTCCCTTGAACATCCTGTACTGTTGTCATATGTGTATGTTTTTTTTATTAAATGTTACGGGGTAAAAAACATGGAACATGTGACTCATATCTATAATGCAACACATGGACAGGACAGAATCAAAGCCCCATAAACCATAAAAATATAACCAATATTATTTTGCTTTCAATATAGCTTTTATGTTGATGCGGATACAGATAGTCTAATACTTGGGGATTTGTAAGTGTAGTAGTGGTTGTGAAGACTCAACAAAATATCTGTATGGTTATGTTTTATTTTAAATGGTGGTGCATTACATAGTCGTAGAGTAATTTGCGTTATTGATGGGTCTTGAATAATGGTAACTCCAATGTCTATAATCGTGACTTGCTAAGGTCCATTTTAAGTCACAAAAGCAAACATCATAACAACTAAGATGAACTGTTTTGGAAGTGAATTCATAGAATTTTCCTCATTTTTGTGGAAATAATGACTTCAAAATATCCATTATGTGTTGACTCTTGACTCAATTCTTCATAATTTGCTAGTTTTCTCCACAGTGTGCACCACTAATTTAATTTCAAATCTATACGGGAAATGAGAGGAAGAAATGTTAAAGAAGCATATATTTAGGCATAAAATACAAACTACATTCAGATCAGATATATGTTGACGAGATCACCATGACCATATTGCCTTTTTTTGTAGAAGCTTATTCTGATGCTTCTTTGCATGTCTTCAGATTTACTGCTTGATTAGTTTGGTTTTATATAGTAAGTTTTATTGTTATTTAAAGTGGTATTTTACAATACAATGATTTATAGAATACAAAAGAAAATTACCATACAACAAATTGATTGAATAAATGAATCAAATAAATCAACTGATATCTAGGAATATTAGTATGTAGTATAAGGAAATTTATTTATTGCTTGTCCCCAAAATTGAACTTTTATATTATGTGTGTGTAAACCTAGATATACAGTAAAACCTATCTAATCCAATTGACACTTGGAGTGGCCAAAACTCTTCAAATTGGAAGGTGTTCACATATCAAGGTTTTTTAACTTCTATGTCATAGTGAAAAAGTTTCTCTTTTTATTATTTCTGCTTGCATCCATACAGAGGATACAGGTGTGTATATACTTGCCAATTTCTTTGCCTTTATAAATCTTTTGCTTGTTTGTTAATGTCTTTTTGTTTGTTCTTTCTTTTTTTGATTAATGTTGCTAAAGGCGTGCCACATAGCTTGGCATAATCTGTTTTAAAAAGAGCATAATAGTCACTTACCCAGAATACAAACACTTGTATGTTTCTTGTATGTTTTGGATAATTGTATGTATGTATTTGCATCATCGTAGTACAAGCTGTTGTATCAGAGCACATTTCATTGCAAGGCAGAGAGATATGATCAGTGTCAGAATTAACGTAAAGCATCGCATAAAGTATTTTTACTCTTAGCTGTCACAGAATGGTGTATAGAAGTACATGTTGTAAATGTTCACTCAACTAGATTCATGTAAAAGTTTTTACTTTTTTTATTCATTTTTCAGTTTGGTGTTTATATTTTATTATTTCTTTGCTTGTATAGTACGTTGTGTGTAAATTATTGCATTGGTGCATTTGGCATTGCTAAAACTATCAACCTAGAAATTAAAATATATATCTGCAACATTGTTTAATTAAAGTGAAAATCTTGTAATCTGATTGGCTCAGGTGATGTAATTATATGCCACATTTTCACATTGCGTGATACGGAATCTATATTACATACTGAATTCACCAAATCACACACTTTTACAACTCTTCATCATTTTATTTTATCACCAAAGCACCGTACACTGAGTTTTACTAAACTAAAATCTGGTTCAATGAGCTCTCATAAAATACAGAAGACATTGCATGAGAAAATATTGATAGAAAGTCTTTATTCCATGAGGCACCAATGAATAACTCATATAACACCATGATCACTCCAGTGTTTCAGAAGAATAACATATCTTCCTTCAGGATAAAATCGATATCTAATCCCTCCCTGGGTATAACCTCTATGTATTTTACGGACCCTAACTATGGAGACACTGCTAATAATGTAACTCCTTTGTAGAAAGAATTGTTTCATTGAATAGATATGTGTCATTGTTAGTATTTTTTAAATCACTGATATGATTTCAGATTTTTGCATTCACCCCAATCTATTCTCATTATGTCAAAAATTTCTGAAAACATACCATATATGAGTCTATGCTATTTAGTCAAACATTGTGAAAGGATTGGTATCGATATGGAGAACTGAATTCAACAATGTTTTTCTCTTTAACCAATTATTGAAAACATTCTGTAAAAAACATGGTAGTTTATGTAATGTTGACTGATTGACAACAATTTAATGCGAAAATAATTTATACATATCTATTGTTTTTTGTTCCTTTTTAACATTTCTTGAGAATGAAATAAAATATCTTTCCAAAGCTTGTTTGAACAAAATAGCATATACAATGTTTTCTTAGACTTCCCAATATTATAGTTGTACAAAGGAAATTTTGGTTGATTTAACAAAAAGTATTCATAAAATTAAAACAAAACCCCCGAAATAGATAAAAACTAAGATAAACCTTTAATTTCATTAACAAGATACTTTTTTTAAATCAACCAAACTTTCCTTTGTATAATGACAATATTGAGAGACATAAACACGAACATATGATACCAAGAACATAAGAAATATAGAGAAAAGTATATATATCTATTTCAAATTATATTCTTACCATTCAAAAGATGACCATTAAATTGACAATGTGTAAAATTTTCAGAATTTTTTGATGACTGGTTTAAGAGAAACGTGTGTTCAAAAAGTTCGCCATATCGATACCCATCCTTTATATTCATGAATTATTACATTGAGACTATTCAAAGATTCAAAGATATTTAAAACTTATTCTTCTGTATTTGTAGGTCATCCTCGGGAAGTCAGCCAGGAAGTAACCGTTCAAGCGCCATCTATGAGGATGATAACATGTACAGTAGTGCTGCTGATGTAAGTAGCGTATAAATGTCTTCATTAGCGTCACAAAATAACTCTAGTGTCCTTTTTTTATAGACATTTTCCATTATTATTTTGTTCACTACTTTAATTATTTTATTCAGATTCCATTTTTGGCTTTATCACTGTATAATACAATGTAAAATACTAATTCATTCAGATTAAGATAATGGTGGTTCTAAATAAAAAATGAATGTATATGGTACAGGATTCTGATGGTTTGAGGCTTTTTACATTGTATGTCGAGACTATGACTGCCTTTCGTTCATTTTAGTTTTTACACACAATAGCTCAATATAATACATGATATTGCATTATTCCTCAATAATGAGACAGTCACTATTGGTTTACTATAAACCCCATATGTGTTTTGTAAAGAGGTATTGTATTGTGTAGGAACGAAATGGCTTTGGGCTTTAAACTCATATCTCTACTAGCAGGGTAGATAATTATTACTATTGACTGATCACATGACTATTGACTGGTTATTAGTTCTTTTCATCCTCCTTGCTAGCAGGGATTTATAAACTTTCAGGGAACTTGTTCATCTATTTAATATCAATCAACCAAGAGCAATCCAATGAGCATTTAAATACATATGGGGTACATAATGATATTGTTGTAGTTGCTTTTTATCTTTAGATTCATTTCTGTAGGCATTTTGCTAGTATCCTAATATTGTAGTATTTTATATGGAGACATTGAAAATCACAATGTGTTAATATATTCACAGTCACATCAGTCGAATACGTACATGCATGGCATGCAAAAAAAGGCGAAGTTAAAATTGATTTAGTGGAATGGACATTATTAAACTTCTATGTAACATAATATTCACACTAGTCTCTGTCTAAAAACATCTCTGTAAATATTTCTCTAGTTTATCATTCACACTAAGCATAATGATCTATTAACTTACCAGGATGATAATTATGAACATATGGACTTTGATGGCCCACCAACAGTTGAGGTTTGAAACAGTTGTTCAAATTCACAAATTCACACAAGCCCAACAGACTTCAATTCATCACTTTGCGACCAAGGAGAGATAACGCAAAATTTTGAATTCATTTGTAAACTAAATTTTTGTAAACAAGATTTTTTACAGATTTGACATTGTTGTATTTTTCTGGTGCATAGTTTTGCTAAACTCTAGTACCGTACTCCCCCCCCCCCTCTCATACATTCTCCACAAGAGAGACTTGGATAGGAGGGGGGGGGGGTCTAGAGGCCTAATGTAAGACTAAGAATGGAATTCAGTGATGAAATTCCTATGATTCTCCTTTTAGAAAAGGCAATGAGTTGAATTGAAGTTTATCGGCCTAATAAAAGAAACACTCTGTAATAACCCTAGTGCACTTTTTGTGAAAGTTTTTGACTTTATGTAACAATATGTAAGTTCTTTCACATTCATATTAGAAGATGCAAAGATTCACATTAACACAGTTCTATTGATATAAAAACAATGTTTTAATAACCCTTCATGGTATAGGCTAGGGGCTCATACTTTTACTTATTAGGCTTTTTATAAAATATTTAACATTTATTAATCTGCTAGTCTGAAAAATCCTAACCATTTGACTACTGACAATGTTTCCTGCACAATTATGCACTTGTAGTTTGATATAATCCTTTTATAATGTAGAATAAGGCTTTATGCATCCTAGTTTTTTGTGTGATATGACCCTTTAATTGTAATGATGTCTAGGGAGAATCTCAAAAGATTGATCTCGGATTATTATTAATTTTATTGGCAGAATTTATTTGTAACTCCTCCCTCCACCCTCTTGAGAAAAGTAATTGTATTATTTCCCATTGTCATAACTAGCACATATGATAATGATCACCCCCACTAATCTGTCCATCCGTCTGTCTGTCCGTCTCTCCCTTCGGTTATTATGATGGCACCATTATGATGCTTAGGGAGTATTTGAGTATGTCAAAGGATCGATCTAGGATTATTATGAATTTTATTGGCAGAATTTATTTGTAACTCCTCCCTCCCCCTTCTTGAGAAATGTTGATTGTATTATTTCCCATAGTCATTGCTAGCTCATATGATTATAATCGCCCACTAATCTGTCCATCCATCTATCTGTCTGTCTGTCAACACTTTGTCGGCTCATTTGTTTTACTCTTTAACAGTCCAAATATATATTGATCTTATGAGATGTTCCCTAGCTGAATTGATATCAGTATTTTGTCTTCTGTTTTGTCCAATTTTTTGTGAGAAAAAAACTTTTGAAAATCCTACAAAGGAAATTTTACTCAAATGTGTGATCTAGATTATTGCCTATGCCTACTTTATATGTTTAAAGGTTTCATGTAGCTATTTGTGTCATGATTATTACCATAGAAACTCAGCATAATATGCCTTGTAAGCATGACCTCATGTTATGTAGGATGTAGATATGTACGAACCCATCACCCCTACGCCTCCTAGTGCCACCTATATTCAACCCAGTCGGGCACCTGGGCGCGTACAATCTGCTTACTATCAACGTACCACCCCGCTACAGGTCAGTAATCTCTACGTCACAATTATCTGTGTGTCACAATTGTTTATGTGTCACAATATATATGTCACACCTGTTAATATAATCATGATCTTGTATCGAGTGCCTCTAGTAGTTCCTTATGGCAATATACTGATACATGAAAGCAATTCCAAATGGATAGTTATTATTTATCTACTAAAATATTTGCTATTACTAATCCACTTTGTTTTAAGTGCAAGTAAGGGAGCGCTCATGAGCTTTGTACTAGTGATTCTACATGTAAGTCATTTTGGAAGTGTGAATTTTAACAGAACAAAAAAAGATTCGAAATTTTTTTTTAACAGTTTTTATTTGATAGAACAGTCTAATACCAAGCGAGCACTCACAAAATGGAATCAGTTTTGTGTAGAATTTAGTACAAAGCATTGTGTGAAGCATGAGACTATTTTTATTTATGCTTTGGTCATATTTTCTCCGATTTTCACTACTGTGCCCTAGCTAATAAGTATTTTGTCACTTATTTTGTAAATTTTTTTTTTTACTTTTAGATATGTAGACATTTCTTTGTTTTAGTTTATGTGTGTTACTATAGCTCTCATGCTACTAATTATACTACATATTGCTGCTTTGCATGTCATTTGCTTGTAATCTATATCTGTTTTAGAATTAGATATGATAAATGATGAATTACATTAATAGTAAAACACCTTAAGTGGAACACCTCAATGAGTGGAACAATTACCAGTTAAAATAAAGTAAAGAAAACTCTGGAAGTGGAACATTTCCTAAGTAGAACACTATCTTGAAGTTCAGTAAAACCTGTATATTATAGTTGAACACTTCTGTTGAACACCTCCAAACTGTCAAACATACATCAAAGGTGGTTCACTTGGACAGGTTCCACATTCTACTTATGGTCTTACTGCATGTGTAGTTGTATGTACAATTGTTGAATAATGACATAACATATTTGTACAAGGTACTTTTTCTATTCTCGAAATATTGTAGATCACTTTTCCTGATTTCAATTGTACCACAGCAATATTGCAAAGTAGAATTGAATTTCATGAATTGTAATCTACAATATTTCACATAAATTCCCTCCTCATTTTTGTAGAAATCCTTACCCTGATTGATGAACAGATTCATATTAACAATTTCTTGGCATTTACTTCCAATTTTACTATTGTATGAAATAATCCATCAAATTTAACTGTAGGCAAAGTATTTAGGCCTAGTATACAATTATGAACTGAATCTCCTGAAAATTCTATAAATCTCCTTCATGTTCCAGACTGGCTCAAGATCATCTCAGATCAGCACAGGGAGCAGCAGTAGAATCCGTAACAACAGTGACCCCAACCTCAATGCCAATATAGGTAGGACTACACTGTCGCTTAATTTTGTACCTTAACTGTGTCAAGCATCATTCAGTGTCTTATCTTATTAAGAAAAACAAATCATATACAACTCAAAAGGGTTTACATCCCATGTATGTCTAAGCCCGTAACGAAAGAAAAACTGATTTTGTAAATGGATATGTACCTTGACTCTATTCTTTATATCTCAAAAATTTTTGTTGGGTTAGGGGCAAATCAGATTTTTGGGTATGGTATATGTACACAAATTAATTTGAATCTACTCAATTTGTTCCAGGTAATATGAAGGTGGCACCCTCAAGCACCAGTCTGGACAGTGGCATTGGCACAGATAGTAACAGAGGGAGCACTGCCAGTACAGGGTCAGGGCTTGGCAGACCCATTGTGACGAGCCGACAGAGCACACCAGTAGGAGGAAGCACTCCCATGTCCGTAACTGCCACACAAAGGCAATTAAGTACTCCCATCATTAACTCCAGCGGGGCTCTCACTGGGTCTTCTACGTCACAGGCTTATAATGGTGGGGCCCCTAGGCTGCCCCCACGCAGAGCACAGACTGTAAAAAGTTCTGGTAAGAAATGTAACAAAACAATTTTAACTTTTGTTTGGTGTATACAAGGTATACAAGAGGTAGACTTACTTGACTCATGTTGAAATATGGTTCTTTAAAACATTGTTAGAACATGGATAATATTTTGTGCCATTTTCATTTTAATTTTGTTTCTTATGCAGATGGGTTAACATCAGTTGCAAGAGGAATACGACGTCACAAGACAGAACCAGATGGTATAAAGTTCAACCAACTGGATTTGACATCACAATCGACTCCATCTAAAGGTCAAACTGATGCTCCTCCATTGCCTCCCCGCCCCTCCCCTTTGTCTCCACCAGGAGGAGCCACTGGGGCTAAGATATCTGGGACATCATCGCAACAGCGAGACATTATTCAATCACCGCAAAACTCTTCTGGAAACCCAACACCTGTCCAGTCACCATTAAGTCCAGAAAATTTAAAATCGCCAAACTTAAAACCTGAAGAAGCGCCACCTTTACCCACAAGAACTCGGCCTCCTTCTGTTCGTCCAAAACCAGCACCGAGATCTGTTAGTCCACAAAAAACACTTAAAGCATCGGAACAAACTGACCCATCAAAAACCAGTCTACATCAAACCAATCTCTAGAAGATGAGCATCTAGTTAAATGGGCCATCATCAGAAAAATAATGCAAACCAACCCCCCTATAAATCGTACAAATATAAAAGGGTAAAGTCTCCACCAATTTGAAGATGCTGTGTGTATGAATTGCCAAATCATACCACACTGAAGCAGAAAACAGTTCAATTTGTGTAGCTGCCAACTGAAGAATGAAAAATGTATGAAATTGTACCATCCAAAAACATGGGACCATGTTGAACTCAAAGGTTACTGGCGCAAACCAATCATACTCATTGAGTTCCTTTTTTATGTATACTTAAATTGTTGCTATGCACGTTGTACCATTATTACCATACAGGGCTATTTCTTAGTTTTATGTGTGATTTAAACCATGAAATATGAAGGTTGGAAATTATTAATGTCATGTTGAGTTTTACAACACTGTAAAGAAATGTGCCTGATTAGGGTCAACTGTTTTATATTTGCTTGTTGTTAATATGCTAATATTATACTTTGTAAAAGTAATGTATGTACATAAAATGGAAAACATAAGCTGGCTATTGTAGATAAATTCAAATTATTGACAATAATTTCATTTATGGCAATGTGAGAGTCGGTTAAGGTTTAGGTATGAACAAGCCCTAAGAAGACCATTCCCCGGTTATCCCAGGTAAATGTTTCTGGTAAGTTACACTGAACGAAACATCAAGCTTCAGATCTCGAGAGTACGAGATGAGACTTCAGACGAGATATCGATAGGATTGTAGTTGGAGGGTTTTCTCCCTAGGTGCGTACAAAATCCATTAACATCAATGTAAGTTATACATTTCGATTCTTTTTATCGACATTTATCTCTTGTATATACATTTATCTATCGCTGAATCGTTTTGTGAAAGTTTTATCGTAATATTTCACACAAAAAACGCCAGTTTAAAAATGTTCAAAAAAAAAAAAAATTCAAACACGTTTTATCTTTTGTCTTTATGACTTTGTAGTATTATGTTTGAAGTATTCAATTGATATCTCGTACATATGGTTTAAAACTTGAATTTATACAAAAGAATTAATTTATTGATGAATGTGGACACGTCACATATTACTCGAGTCTCTACCTTACAGCTAGATGTAACTTCATTTATTTCGTATGTACTCGTATTTCGTATGTAAAAATTGCTACACGCACCTAGAAATTATTTTTGATAAATTTTATAAATATTTAAGAATATTAATTATATTTAGGATGAAGCGTTGCCTGTCTGGATTTAGATATTTCAAAATTTCTTTTCGAAGTTTGACACATGGTTAAATTTTCTCGCTGTAGCTAAAAGTGGCTTCCGGTTCCAGACGTCAATAATGTAGGAAACTTTGAAATTATTCTCGCTTAAGAAATCAAATATTACAATAGATTCAGACGGAGATGTGTGCTGATGTTTCTCAAATCTATACATAAAGGTATATTTCATATTATTATGCCGTATTTCCTGTGCGTGTGACACATTGATTTACAATATTTACAACACCAAGGCAGCTAATCTTTCTACTCAAAGCCGGATTATAGAGAAGGTTTGGACCTGAGTAAGTCACATACATGTCCTCAAGTTACGTTCAATAGACTCCATCCAATCTAATAATAGATATTTCATTTATTTACAAGTGTAAGTAACCTTGTAGGCTATTAATTAAATATATCTATTCTATTTATTATCCCATTCCAGAGATTTCTGGTTGTTATTGGGATTATTCATAGTACCATTAGGTACAGATATCATTTTATTACTTGATATATATTTATCTCTTGAGAGAGCTATAATTATTCCTTTTCTTCTATATTTCTGACACCTTATTGCACATAATAAACTTTACTCTGAGGATAAGACAGGAGTCAATAATATCCTTACCTTTCTTCTCCCATTATACAAGACAATTAGAGATACCTAATGTTATTAGGGTCAGCATTATAGGCCCAAGTTTTGTTCGAAAAATAGAAGAATCTAACCAATTTGACTTTAAATTAAAGGAAGACATAGTTAACTATAATACCACCATTGTATATACAATTAAACAATTTCAAGATAATGTAAAATATAAAAATCCCTATCCAGATATGGCTATATTACAGCTAGGAAAAAATGATCTGGTTCATAGATCATCTACCTTTGTTCCAAAAATCTCATCACTTTGGCTGAACAATATTTAGATATACATCCTTCATTAAAAGCCTTTTACTTTGGATAATTATTTCAACGCTCATGGCATCCTTTCAAATCCTCGATCAATACTGCTTCAGAATGCATTCAATATAATTCAATATTTTATCTACCAATTTCAAATTGTTATATGATATTCATCATCATAAGGGCAATAGACTTTTGTTCCTACATCACCCACATACCACCCAATATAGAATCAATGGTCAATTTTGATAGATGACTCCTACGATCCCATACATCTCAATGAAAAAGGGAAAAGCGTTTCGTCAAGTCCTGGAAAGGCGCAGTCCTGAGATTTCTTGATTACATTTATTAGGTAATAATAATTAGACTTAACATTAGAAGAGACGGCTACTCTTCTCTAACCAAACATAAGCCAGAGAGTCGTTAACCATTCACAATAGTTTATTCACTTAGTTTTCCTTCATAAGTACTATACTTATATTAGGAAATTTAGTTTCCTATTTACTTATATTTTATCATATTTATATTATGATAAATATATATTATTTTGTATATCATCTGCATTTATTCATGCAGTGTATACTATACCTTTAGACATGATATGTTATCATATTTATATTATGATAAAATTCATATTATTTTATATTTCATATGCATTTTTTCATGCATTGTATACTTTACCTTTATTCTTAAAGGTTATCATATTTATATTATGATAATTCATATTATTTTATATATCATATGCATTTATTCATGCATTGTATACTTTACCTTTATTCTTAAAGGTTATCATATTTATATTATGATAATTTATTTTTATATATCATATGCATTTATTTATGCAGTGTATTCTAAATCATATTTATTATGATTAGCCTTATGGGCATTTATTATGATTAGCCTTATGGGCATCATATTTATATTATGATAATTCATAATCTTTATATATCATATGCATTTATTTATGCAGTGTATTCTAAATCATATTTATTATGATTAGCCTTATGGGCATCATATTTATATTATGATAATTCATAATCTTTATATATCATATGCATTTATTTATGCAGTGTATTCTAAATCATATTTATTATGATTAGCCTTATGGGCATCATATTTATATACATCTAACATGGAGCATGTGCTTCTATTTATATTTATCTAAATGTTTTTATGTCTTGAAGTTGCTTACCCTCTATATAACTACTAATTATTTCACTGCAAATGTCTGAAACTGAAGGACCTAACCCAAGTATTACTATAGAAGAGTATCACACTTCTAATACCCTGACTGCAGCCAAGTCTATGCCCACTTTAATAATAGGCAACTTTACAACAATTTTTCCCTTATCCCCTTTCCCTTCTTATTCCACTACATCTTCCATTCAAACCCAACATTTCATTCTCTCTAAATAGACCCACAGCATCTATTACTCGCCCTATTCCATCTTTTGCATCAAGCGCTAATATCCAACCCTACCCTTTCATCCCTCCAGTCTCTACTAACCTTTCATCTTTTCATAATTCCCAACCCGTCTCTACAGCTTATGGATTAATTCCCAACACAAATGCCATGCTACAAGGACAGGTGTCAGTAGCTTCAATGAATCCAATTCCCAGTTTTCAACATATTACATTACATTAATTTGTCCATATTTCAGATTTTGCGGATTTACTTTAATTCATTTCTATGATGTTCTTATATTTTGGTATTCATGTATTGATTCATGATTGTATTGAAGAAGACATAAACAATGATTATGTCCTCTGTGAGATGTAATCTGACAATTCTTTTGAATCAAGACATTTGAATTTAAACCCTTCAAAGAAGGGAAAATCCTTTCATTTCCAGAATGGGTCCGAGCATTCAGTATATTTATTGCTGTCTATACCCAAAGATTTCATGATCAAACCCCTCACCTCTTGAAATATATATCCCCTTGTCCCTTTAACCACACCTGCCCAACTTGCAAAATGTTACTCCCGCAACAACGGCAGGCAAGCCCAATTCCCCAACAAAAAGCGCTCAGGTACTGGAGACTCCAAAAAACCCTTCGAGTGAACTTATGTCAACACAAGTTGTTACTCCAGTTAAACCTGAAAGACTCAGATATTGGCTTGAAGGCTATGAACATCAAGAAGAAACAGTTCATGGTTTCTAGTACGGATTTAAATTTCCTCACTCTGATTTGCCAGAACATTACAACATTACTCATGATAATTTGTCATCATTTCTAAGAACCCAGAAGCTCTCAAAAAATTTAAACAAAGAGCTTAAAGCTGGTAGAATACTTGGACCTTTTGACCAGCCACCATTTGACATATGTTTGATATTATTTCACCCTTATTTCTCGTTCCTAAAAATCTCCAGGTGAATTCTGTGTTATTCACAACTTATCACATCCCAGAGGCCAATCCATAATAATACTATCCCAGACGAAACTTCTACAGTTAAATATGCAACCGTACAACAAGCCATAGATATTATAAAACATTTAGGAAAAGGTTGCTTCTTGTGTAAGACTATTAGAAGCTTGTTTGCTCATGGAAATGGCAAAACAATCATTGACACTTTATGTAACATCATCCCCTTTACCATTAAGCCAAAACCAAAGAAAGTCTCAAAAAGAGAACTTTTATCTGCTATAGGATTCCTTAGCTACTGTTGTTGTGTGATTCCTTTCGGTAGATCATTTATTTCAATATCTATTCATCTATCTAAAAAATGAAGGAGCTACATTATAAAATCTTAATCAACACTCCATCTATGCAGGATTTATTAATGTGGAAATAGTTTCTAATTCCCTTTAATGGGAAATCTATTTTCCTTACAGAAGAACAAGAGACAAGAG